CGTAATCTGATTGCAGTAAAGCGTATCGAGACTTGTCGATGGTTGCGACAGCGATGGAGACTGAATCGAGAGGTGGAGAGTTTGAATTGCTGTGACGAGGGGGATGCGAAGTTTGAAATGATGAACGTAGCCTCTTCGTAGGTGTAGGCGCAGGATGGTATGGTTGCTGAGGTGGTCCCCAATTTTGATTGAGGCTGGTGCAGGGTCAAAGGGCTTGGCTCCAAGTGTCAATACGGACGGACAAGTTAATGGAAGGGCAGGTGAGTGGATGCTCCACGGGGCATTGGTTGTTTTGTGTTTGTAGGGGAACGGGTCCCTGTAAGGAGGAGGGATTGTGCGCTATTGATAGGTCCAGTTGGCGAAGATGAGACCAAGGCTTTGGGTTTCGGATCTCTGGGTCTGCTGAGACGGAACAAAAGCTTTTGTGGTCCTTATTTCTTTTATTACTTTGTGCTCTCTTGCTTAACATATATTTACTTTCCGTTTAGGCAGCTCTATTCTCTGCACAGCCAAGTGACGTACGTTGACCACGCGGCATCGCCAAGCCTCGCCCAGAGTGAAGCGGAGTTGGCTCACAAATGGAGTCTTTTACAGAGACAACTGCCAAGATTATCAACGACAAGGCCCAGTCAGCCAGTGAATGTTGTTTAGGAGATCCATGAATTCGTATTTGAAGACATCGACTTTGAATGTGAGGTTATACTGAACTTCAGGCACCCTTTAGAAGCTGTATTATAAGCTCGCCCACGAATCAACACTCGAGATTCTTGCATATTGTAGGTAGTCATATCCTTAACTCTATAAGGTCCAGCTATCATTTTAAATTACGATTCGAGGAGTTTGTGGTGGTATAACAAGAACAAGACTAGCTTTGTCTTGCGTCAAAAGATATTATACGGAGTACCTTGGTTTACTTTCATAATTAGCGTTCTACAGAATTCTATGGACCGGCTAACGGATACGTGACAATTGATCAACTTCTGTCAAGTTATATGAATGAGCGAATCCTGTCAGGAACTCATCTAGACCTACCCCAATCGAGATCTTCTCACACGAATAGCCTCAGTTCAGCCCTGTCAACAACACCTAACTAAACGTTCCATGGCCTGCACGATCGTACCTTATTCTTACCACGTGGTGAGGTGGAGTGTTTCCTCCCGTAGAAGATCCGGGGACCTGCCAAAGTTACCTATAAATAAGCTGCCTCTACACCATTACATCATCTTTAACACGCATCAATTCTGTCTTTGTAGCTTATCAAGCAACACTCATTGGTTTTTGACTCATGATCTGACTGTGAAACTCAACCAGATAACCAGTGAACCGCCAATTCTATTGCACCAGCTGACTCATTACAAGCTCTCTGCTATTAAAACCTGGCACATTTTTGGAAAGTCAGTCCAGTGAATGAAGCCTCACGGAAAATGACTTATACCATTCTCTCAAACGACCAGGTTAACTCCATCCTGGAAGGTCTTACCGTTGACGAGCTTGATGAGTTTCGCCATGTTCTGGCTTCATCTCTACACGAATTCTCTACCGGAGTGCCGGCTCTCGAGGAAGCCTTTCAGCAACCGGAACGTATCTCAACACTACATCCAGAGACCATGGCCAAGACGCTTTATATGCCCTCATGTGCCCCCTGTGGAATGGGCTGCAAAGGTGAGACTTCATCTTACGGTACAGACGAGTCAATCTAACTAATTAGTGATTTCTTTGGCCAGTACAGAAGCATCCCAGCATTCTAGTGTTACGCAGATTAGTCCTACTGGTGTTCTCAATCTGTTCAGGCCAGATGGATCACCGCTTGGAATCGTCAATGCAACAGCTCTCACAGCATTCAGAACAGCTCTGGCATCGACGTGTCTGTTGGAGCGCCGCAATCATGTCAAGACCTTGACCGTATTTGGTAGTGGCCTTCAGGCTTACTGGCATATTCGGCTTGCCCTGATGATCCGAGGCAGTACTATTAAACACGTTCATGTTATAAATCATAGGTGGAGCGATAAAGCGACTGGAATCCTGAAGAGATTCGCCAGCATCCCTCCTGAGATCAAGAAACGAGAAGGCTGGTCAGACACTAAGTTCGGTCTCCTGATCCCCGCATTCCACGAGTATCGACGCCTGGTGAAAGATCAGATAAGGGACGCAGATGTGATCTACTGCTGCACCGCCTCGCAAAAAGACCTCTTTGATGGATCCATCTTAACGTCTCATGAGGGCCGCAAGAAAGGACGACTCATCATTGCTGTTGGAAGTTATACGCCAGAAATGCGGGAGCTTCCAGACGACCTTATCCAGCTAGCAGTGAAGAGGGAAGACAAGCCCCATCGACACTTCCACAAGCATGCAGTCGAAGGCGGAGTAATCGTTGTTGATAATATCAAAGGCGTGCTTAAAGAAGCAGGCGAGATTATCGATGCCAATATTGGACCCCATCAACTTGTAGAGTATGTGCTTATTCCTCCTCTCCAAACTATCACTGACATCAATGGCAGGCTGGGAGAACTTGTGATGCTCCATCGTCTAGCTATAGAGGAGTCCGACGGATTTTCTAGTAGCCAGGCATCTTTCTCTTCTGACATGGATAAGCTAGATATCCATGGTAGGATGAGCTCCATGTCCACGGTCTATGGCAGCGGAAGCAATGCTAGTGAAGCCCCGACCAGTCCTACGGGTTCAGTAGATTCAGAAGGGCGCAGATCCAGCTCCCTTTTCCATTCAAGGAAGAACTCCAGTAGCTCTTTGGACAAAGAAAAGAAAAAATCAGAGGACCACCTATGTCGTTGGTTAAGAGATGGCACTGTAGTATACAAGAGCGTCGGGCTTGGGCTGATGGATCTCGTTGTGGGAACACATCTGATTGAGGTTGCGAATGAAAAGAATGTAGGAACTTGTATAGAAGGATTCTAGAAAGGATAAATTGAAATAAATACTAAATGCTCTTAATACATGCTATATATACTTGTACATGAACTCTACTCGGCCACCCAGATAGCGGCCATACCCATACCAGTTCCCACACACATAGATGTTGCGCCAACCTTCTGGCCTGTTCGCTTCAACTCATATAGAAGAGTAGAAACTTGTCGGGCACCAGTGCAGCCTAGGGGATGACCAAAGGCAATAGCACCTCCCTTGGGGTTGATCTTCTCCTGGGGAATACCCAACTCGTTGGCACACCACAAGCACTGGCTGGCAAAAGCCTCATTGATCTCCCAGATATCGACATCATCCTTGGAGATACCGGCAAGATCGAGGGCCTTGGGGATAGCCTTCCAGGGGCCCTGTCCCATAAGAAGGGGCTTGACACCAACGATCGAGGCGCAAACGTACTTGCCGAGGATCTTCTGTCCGAGCTTCTCGGCAGTAGATCGCTTCATAAGAAGGACAGCTGCAGCACCATCAGAGATCTGACTGGCGTTACCAGCATGGATAGAACCATCCTTAGCAAAAGCAGGGCGGATCTTGCCCAGGGACTCAGCGGTGATGCCATCTCGGACACCATCATCCTTGGAGACAGTAATCTCCTTAGTGTTACCCTCCTTATCCTCGAACTTGACCTTGAGAGGAGCAATCTCCTCGTCAAAGAGTCCCGCTTGTTGGGCCTTGACAGCCTTCTGGTATGATGAGGCAGCGAAGGCGTCCTGTGCAGCTCGGGTGACGTTGAGGTCCTTGGCCATCTGTTCAGAGAGGACACCCATGGGCACCTTACAGTTGGCAGCCTCGGGGTGGTTCTCAAAGGCTTCTGAGAACTCGGAGACAGCGCCAGGGCCATAGTTCAGGGACATGCTCTCAACACCAGCACCAATACCAATATCGATCATGCCAGTCTTGATCTGGTTGGCGACATCGACGGTAGCCTGGAGACCAGAAGAGCACTGTCTGTTGAGGGTTCGGACGGCGATAGATTCAGGGAAACCGGCGACCAAGCTGGCGGCGCGCATCTCAGTTGCGCCGCCACCGGGGGCGAGAACGGTTCCAACACATAGGTCCTCGACGAGAGCAGGGTTGATTTTTGAGCGGTCGAGGATGGCCTTGAGAACACCAGCCATGAGATCAGCAGCGGGGGTATCCTTGAAACCGCCGCGGCCTCCCTTGGTGAATGCGCTTCGGCAGGCGGCGGTGACAACGATCTAGTTATGGTCAGTGAACTATACCGGTGCATACGGCAATGCTTGGCAACATACATCGTCAGGGTTCTTCTGGAGGATCTTCTCGCGACCGCCAGCGGTCGGGTTACCAGAGATCTGGCCTCCAATCTGAATGATTCTGTCGGTGACTAGGAGGATAGTTAGTTTGAGTTTGCGATGATCGCAGTGCGACGAGAAGACATACCACCCATTTTTGCTATGATATAAGGGTAGGTAAGTATGTGAGGGAGAGAGTTGAGTACTGGGTATAATGCGCAAAACAAAGGACAGAAGTTGGTTGAGGGGGAGAAAAAGTATCAGAGAGGATTATTATACAGAGAGAAACCTCGTTAGACCTCGGATGTTGTGTAGGAGTAGACTCGGGCTTGGTCAGCTTTGTCACAGGAGAAGATGGTAAAGAATGGCCGAAGATGGAGACTACCTAAGAACGGACTTCAAACCGTGAGACCGACCGACCGAGGCATCTCGTCGCCCCAGTCTTGGCGTTGTTAGCGGCTCTTTTAGTGTCCGATCACATGTTATTTCCCCAGCTTTCAGCGCGGGGGAAGTTCTCCAACTGCTTTCACTCTTGCGTCACGAGGTGGCTAACAAAGTAAGAAATACTCCAAAAAATGACGACTTGATCTGAGTGTGATAAGCACGTGGTCCCCCAATTATCACAAGGAAATAACCGGCCCCCAATCTTTTAAGTTGTTGAAGATTGGTAAAACTGATTCATGACACTGCCATGCCCGAACTGGGTATCAATATTAGAAAACATATGAATTTTGATACAAGCTCAACTCCATTCTCCATCAAGGAAAGGAAACAAAAATTACCAAGAAGAAAGCCCCGAGTTGCAGATTGTTATTTCATACAAGTGTCAAAAGAAGAGGAAAGGCCACCACAGTCCGAAACAGCCGGACTCCAGGCGCTCCTGTCATCGTCTTGGTATGATTGAGATGCTATCGACAGAGCATCCCATTCCCATGGTGAACTAGAGTCTTCGCCAGAACCCGAGTCACCCACGGATTTTGGTACTGAAAGTGAAGTGTCGAACGTTGTATCAATCCTAATAGAAGGTATCGAAGGTACCGTAAGGGCACGGTTACGACCAGTGGTAAATTGTTGTGGTGCCGGAGGTGTAAGCACATACGGTCCGAGGATATCCTGAGGTTGCTGCAGGTAAGGAGGGCTGATGCCAGTCCATGGTAGATATTGGCTAGGAGGTGCAGATCGAGATAACTGTTCTATCTTTGGGTTAGCTACATTTTAACATGAGCTAATTAGGACGACATTCTACCTACCTGTTTCATCAACTAGATGGAGAGCTTTGAGTGCATCAATGCCAAGCTCAACACTGACCCGCTGGTCTGGAAGCTTGCCAAGCCGAATTGACAGTTGTTTCTGAACACTACCAATCGTTTCCACGTCAATTACATCCAGCACGCACCAGTGTCGGGCATCTTTCCAGCGAGGCTTAGGCACTGGATGTATCTTGACGCCCCAGTTGCGAGCAAAGTCGTTGTCGACGACACTCAAATCCCGAGTAAGATAGCACTTGGCAATACACGGTACTTCAGTGGTCTGAGTTTTGAGAGTAACTCGGATCATCTGCCCATCTTTGACTCGTGCTGACCGAGTTCTTAGGGTGCTTGAGAGGGGCTGTGCTGGCGTCTGCCAGTTGGGCCCGGATAGCTGAGTAATAGGAGACTGGCCTTGGCTTGGAGGCTCCTCATCTGTGAAAACGGCGGACTCGTCAATGGATAATCGAGGGAATGGTGAAGAGTCCTGAGAACCGAGAGGTGGAAATGGTATGGAAATTTCGGGTTGATTCGCCTGGGTTTGAAAGCCCAGAGCATCAAAGTATCTGTCACTTCCAGCCCGCCGTCGGAATGACTCAATCGTATGAGAAGTAGTAGACGAACTACTTCGACGTCTCGATCGATCCTTGGAAATAGGACTGAGTGTAGTGGGTGACCGCGAGCGAGACGAAGCTTGTCTGATGGCTTCTTCCACGCTGAGTTTCAAGCGACCAGGCCTACCAGCCAGAGCTGGGTTTCTTTGTCTACTCGGCGGAGTCATGGGTAAGTATTAGAGTGTAGAAGAAATGGATATTAGGCAGAGAATAGTGCCTGGTAGATGAGTAAATATTGTTAAAAAAGACAGGGACCTTGATTCTTAAACGTGAACTAGACACAATGAATAATGTAGCGGCGGGGTATGAGTTTCAACCTGATATATGTAACAGGTAGATGAGGCTTGTTGTCCGAGTAAAATCACCTCTGCTAGGTTTTCCCTCGACATCGTGACAGGCAGCGCAGCGAATATGCAGATATCTGTGGCCAGCCATTGGATAAGGCCATGTAACAGCATGTTTCTTTTTCCCGAGGCATACTGGTCCAATTGTCTGCCTCGATCCTCTTTTCCATTAAACACCTAAAAAATAAGCGTTTTGAGTGGTCTCTGGTACTTGTCGCTCTGCACAGCCTCGCTTTACCGACTCGTTGAAGGCGGCTGTGCTGCTAACGGTGAAATAAAGAGCCGCCTCGGTGCGTTGTACGACTGAGACTGACCACGCATGGTTGAAACCGCATCTCATCACTCTTGATGAGGCGCGGATGCGGATTTAAATCACAGTTACATTCCACTCCTGTAACTACCATCGCCTTGTCACAATCACAGGCCTTTCAACCTCAATTTGAAAGGCAACCAGATATGAGGTTGTCAGGCTGCTGCGCCTCATAGACACATAAGTCTCCGGGCGTCAGGCTCTGACAGAAAGCAGATTCAAATGACCAGTTTCACATTAAATGATTACGAGATAGCGTACCACATGGAATAACACATTCGCCTCGTCATCGTAATATGTTACGACTTCGAAAGCTGAATGCCGCCCGTTTCCGAGTTACCTCAATGAGGCCAGGACATAAAAATGTCCATCTATGCACCTCAAGGACGTCAATGAAGACTCAAAACCAATAGTTACCAGAAGTTACTACAGTCAGTATATCGCTGCTTTGAGTATGTCCTCTCTTTCTGACTTGCACCATAGACTTCCAGAAAGCTGTTTTGACGGAATTGCCAGAAATCACATTACAAGTCTCCCCAGTAAAAACTTGACTCAAGCACCAGGAAAACAATTAGATTGGTTAATTTGATGGTCCCCAATATTGCCATCAAAGCCTTGTTCATGCGCTGTCCAGTAGGTAGGACGGATGTCCGAGAAAACAATGAACAGAGTTGTTACAATGCATTGGTCAAGGTATGGATGTTTGTTCAAGCCCCTGTTACACGACTTTAAACTAATGCCTTTTTAGGTGCTCGTGCCTAGCCATCTTTATGCTGGAAAAGGAAATATTTATAGTATAACCCGTTCTGCGGAAGCATCCATGAGAGGGAAATCTCGTAAGAGACAACTGAAGGACCCCCAACGGAAGTCCGTCTATGGAGGTCAAGTGCCTCGAGCCTACGCAGCATCCTTTCCTATATCCTATCCTAAAGAGGCGTTGAACTGTTCGACATATACATCCCCAGGAAACAACGAAATTGAGGATGAGGCGACCGACACTCGCTCGGAAAGGAATACATACGTTCAAGGAAGAGTCGACGGAAAGACTGAAATTTCACTGGTAGATGGCTTGGAGGAAGAGATACGTTGTTTGGATATTACCTTCGAGAGCCATCCCATAGATGGCGGCATCGAAGAAGCATATATACAGGGAGAAGCCTTGACACCCCCCGAAATCAAGTTCTCCGAAGACGGTGATATGGACGATAACTACTGGACTTGGGACCAGGATGCTCAAAGATTCCGACACTGGGATGCGGAACTTGGAGAGTGGTTGTACTTTCCTGAGAGGTTTGATTGAAAAGATCTGATAAAGCTTAGGCGGGTTAGCATGTGTAACAGCAACTTGATGTAGTCAGCACCATGAAGGAGAGTTCCATGAGACCAGTCGCTGTAGAATCCGTTCGCTGTTCAATACTGTTATGTTTCAATTTCAGCTAAGTACCACGTCACTTCATACTCTGCGCCATATAGTCCTTAATCTCGTCATTCGTCTTTCCTGAACCCGTATGCTTCAAATCAAGCCTTGCTTTCAGGCTTATCCTTGACAGTCTTATCATCGGGTGAAAAGCTTAAACTGACGCTGTTCACACAGTGACGCTCATCAGTGGGCGTGTCAAAGCCCTCGCCCTTGAAAACATGTCCTAGGTGACCGCCGCAGTTGGCACACACAATCTCTGTTCGTGCCATACCGAAAGCGCGATCCTCATGACGGACAACGGCCCCAGGGATGCTGTCAAAGTAGGCTGGCCAGCCGCAACCAGAGCTGAACTTGTGGCTCGCCTTATAAAGTGGTGCATCACAACCAGCGCAGGTATAAACACCCTGCTCAGGATAATGCTTGTCAAACTTTCCAGAACCAGGAGGTTCGGTACCCTTCTCACGCAGGATACGGAATTGCTCTGCGAATGTTAGCTACTGTGTAGAAGAGATGGTAGCAGTGCGAGAACATACCCTTGTTGAGGACGGCTCGCCACTCGTCGTTTGAACGTTGATCAGGGTAAGACATATTGGAAGAGTTCTTGGATGAAGTGCCAAATAAAGCGCCCAACAGAGGAATACCAGACATAGATCGAAGGGGAATAGGTCGAAAAGCCAGGTGTGAAGGCAGAGGAGGTCTCACGCGGGTGATATTTGAGAAAGTGTAGAAGAGTGTTGATAGTAATGGAGAGAAGCGCATTGAGAAAGGACTTGTATATGATTATTTATATTTGATTGAAGACCAAGCTATCATTCATGACTTTCAAGAGAGAGGTTATAAGTCCCCAGGTCTTAGTGGCAACCGGTTGGCAAATGTGACAAATCATGAGTTGCGAACTGTGGAATCATTTGCATCATCGAATTATTGCTGCTAAGCCCGCCACAGCCACATCTTAGTTATCCGCTTTATGCCCTTTGGGGCCCAACGGTTCGAGTATTTGCGCTTGAATACGCCGGTACAATTCCAAATTCGGTAATTTGATGATTCAACTTTGTGAGACGATTACTCTAAAAGTTTAAAAGTCTTATTGTCTTCGAGTACGATAAGGCTTCGGTTTCAGCCCCCATGTTTCGCATCTTACCAAAATGATCTGGGTCCTAAAGATATCTTCAGCTCATCACGTGAGACAGATCCATTTACCATTGAAGAATGGACAATAGGTCTGAGTTTCTTTGAGACAATTAGCAGGCTGAGATAATTAATTCCAAATTCCTTCAACCTGACTCTATTCACAAAAGAAATATCATGGTGCAAGGTGAAAGGAAAGCTTCGCTTCGATCGTCTAGTGGCTGGTGCAGTCTTGTAACCCCCGCCAATTCCAGGGGCCAGGTACCTACCACGCAGTGGAGTGTCCAGACCCGCCCCGCCCATGCATTAATTCCGCTGGGCAGCTGAAGGGAACTAAAACATCACCGACTCGACCACCTTGGCACCTCCCTATCAACCACCTTCTTCCAATTCTAGGCACACCCTTTTCGAACAGGTTGCCACTTTGCAACAACACTCGTTCAGAGTGACGCTTCGAATTCCTTCACCTCGAAGCCCACCAAAACCTATTCCGATCGTCCTGTTTATTTTCATTAATCAGATCTCACCATGTCCAGGAGAGCCCCGAACCCCGCTGCTGAGCGGGCGGCGCAAAACCAAGCTACCATCAAGAGTCTCCTCAAGTTGGAGGCCAATAAGGTCTGCTCTGATTGTAAACGAAACAAGCGTATGTATTAGACTACAAGTTTGCTAGCACATTCCTTCTGACCTTTTCAGATCCTCGATGGGCCAGCTGGAACCTAGGTGTCTTCATCTGTATCCGATGTTCGGGCATCCATCGTGGCATGGGCACTCACATCAGCCGAGTCAAATCCGTCGACCTCGATTCCTGGACCGACGAACAACTCCAAAGCATTCTGAGCTGGGGAAACGCTCGCGCCAATAAATATTGGGAGGCCAAGCTTGCGCCAGGCCATGCCCCTTCCGAAGCCAAGATCGAGAACTTTATCCGAACGAAGTACGAACTCAAGCGATGGGTTATGGACGGTCCCATGCCCGATCCCGCTACTCTAGATGCTGATGGCGACGACGATGTGCCCCTTAGTATTGTCAAGGAGAAGCAAGTCATAGAGCGCAAGGAGTCCATCAGAAAGGCATCCCTAGGCAACTCACAAGCACCGAAATCTGGCCCTGCACCCCAGGGAGATCTTATCGGCGGAGACCCTGTTCCTGTGCGATCAAGCAGCGCTGCCCCTCAGGCGGCGAAGGTTGCTCCCAAGGCCGAGCCTGCTCCCTCAAGGGCAACAAGCACAAAGGACTCACTACTTGGACTTGACTTCTTTGGTGAACCCGCGGCTCCTCCTCGACCGGCTAGCACAACTGGTACTGCCCCGAGCGGTCAGTCTCGTCCCGACTTGAAACAATCTATCCTATCTCTATATGCTACTGCGCCTAAATCGCAACCTCCTGCTCAACCTCAGCAACAGTCATCTGCAGGAGGCTTTGGTGGCCTTGCCTCTCCCACTTTCAGCCACCAGTCTCAAGGCTCTGTTGGTGGCTTCAACGACGCCTTTAGTAGTCTCAGCATCTCGAATTCCCCTAAGCCCGCCGCTCCCGATCCTTTTGCCAGCCTCAGCTCCGCCAGTCGTAACACATCAAGCAGCAATACTTTTGGTGGCCTAGGAGGAGGTAGCTTCTTCAACAGCAAACCTTCTCAACCTACTCCTCCTGCCCACCAGCAGCCGTCTTCCAACTTCTCGAGCTTCGGTGGCTTTTCCTCCCCACCGCCTGCGGCTTCTGCTGCTCCTGCCGCGCCCAAGCCCGCTCAATCCTCCGCCATGGGTGACCTTTTCGATCTTTCTGCACCTGTGACCGCATCGCCTCCTCCACCACAGCCCGCAGCCGCTTCTACCAACTCTGTCTTCAATCTCTCATCCCCTCAAAGCCCTCCTACCGCCGTGCCAACCAGCACTACGACAAATGCTAACGCAGCCGGCTCTATGGGTGGTTTCTCTGGTGCTGATGTTTGGGGTGGAAGTGACTGGGGAGCCCCTGCAGCTCCCACACCAGCTCCCGTCCAGAAAGCCCCTGAACCACCAAAGCCCGCGGCCAACGACTTTGGCTGGGGCAACACGGGAGGGGCCTTTGCCAACACACCTATCGTTCCTGGAGCATCAGGGGGCTTTAATCCTATTGCATCGCCCAAGGTATCGGCTGATGAGGAGTTTGGAGGATGGACAAGCAGTGGACCTGCTGCCAGTGGCAGTGGTGGTCAAGCCAAGCCTAGCGGTGGCTTTGGCGGAGACGAAGACTTGTTCTCTAACGTGTGGCAGTAGGCAGTGAGTTTTGGAAACATCTAGATGGCTTTTGGGCGGGGGTTTCTATAAAACAATTGCAGGCATGTTTGGGCGTTTGCATGTTAGGAGTCAAGTAGACGCGAAATAGGATGGCTTAAATTGTACGACCATTATGATATTGATTCGAGTGATGAAGCAATGTGAGTGTATTCAAATAACGCCGACCCAACGCTGCCAAAACAGTAAAAATCATGGGACACAACTCCTTAGCCTTTTAGCTGTGTACACTTGGATGCCCTTGACCATCTGTGTATACCACCTTAAACGTCCGTCTTCCCTACCAAACGGCCACCTTGTATTATGATCGTTCCCTGTCCAGCTTATACCTGTGTCAAGGCTCTTAGAACAACAATTTTGCACCGTAGAATAACACCAAGAAAACGCCAATAACGATTCCCGACAACTTGAGGATAGCGACACGGTTGCCTGATGCAGCCATGCGAGTTAAGCGGCCAGCGGAGCCCTTCATCTGTGTGGTCATGGAAGAGAAGGTATCGGACTGTTAAGAGGTTAGTAGGCTGTAAGTTGTCGCTTGCGAAGGGGGTATACGGACGGTGTTGTCGATGACATCCTGGGCTCGGGCGTTATCGTAAATGTCGACTGTCACACCGCGAAGGGCGGAGACCTTTGCTGAGAGCTCATCTAGGCGGGCATTGTTCTGGCGCTCTCGTTCGTAGGCTTCAGACATGGTGAAAGTTGTCGGAAGTTAGGGATGAGCGAAACAGGGGTTACCGGTATGGTCTGGTTTTCGATTAGAACAGATTATTTTGCGTATTATTTGTCGTCGCTTTGCAGAAGACGAGAGGTCTTCGTCGTCGTGAGCTGTATCCTCGAAATGTCAAGTGCCAAGTTGTGAAAGGGGTTCGAGTTCTAACACAAAACCGACAGCCATGACGGCCTCCTCGGTCGGCTCCAAGTCCGCCACGGCCACCTCACGCGGGCGCGCTGGACTTTAGTGGTACGTACTCTGATAATGACATCGCCACACTTCGACTAACAGCCACACCTTCGTCCGCTGATAAACTGGAGATTTCTCCATACACCAAAAAAAAGGCTGGAAATGTACTGTACCTTGGCGCCTGAGGCGGGGCAACATGTTACAGACAAGGCCTGATGAAAGAAAATGGTTGGGCAGCTACAAAAGGCTCTAAGTACAGTGGATTTATCGTTATTCACATTGACGCCAGGTTACCTGAATTACTGCGCCACAGGAGATGGAAGCTTCCCCATTACGAGGTGCCGTGAATGTGCATCTACCTAAGTCCAACGTCTGCACCTAACAGACTCTAGACCTCTACTTTTCTTTCTTGGTAGCTTTGTCGATCCTGCAAGTCTTGTATAATATCGCCGCAGAATATTCTACACTCGTTTGCTTACGTCCACTCCTTGGCATAAACCATCGAGGCGCAGCAGTAACTCGTCTGGTGACGACGCAACCCGGACAAGCTGGCTACTATACCTATCATATCAACCCCACTCACTCGCCCTTGTATTGAGAGCTTCTTGGCTCCTCCAACAACAGTTTTCGACTTGCGCGAAGACTACTTTCGATCCCTGTTCCTGTTTGTGCATTGTATCTCTTGAGCTTTGGTTGAGTGTATCAAGATGGGCATCAACAATCCCCTTCCGTCGTCTATGGCGTGTAAGTCGAGCCACCAATTCCGCATTCATGATCGCGCATCATGGGCCACTCCACCCCTCAATGAACCGATCAGCTCAAGTGCGAGACATGGCTAACACAACTCCTCAACAGCGGAATGTAAGAAGTGCGGCAAGATTCTGACTTCCTTTATCAATCCTCGCCAGTCTTTCGGTCCCGACAAGGTCATTCCTCCATCCATCCTCGCCAATGCTAAGGGCCTTGCCATCATCACCGTTCTGAAGGCCGGCTTCCTCGGCTCAGGCCGTTTTGGCAGCGGTCTCGTCGTCGCCCGACTTCCTGAGGGTGGTTGGAGTGCCCCGAGCGCTATTGCGACCGCCGGAGCCGGCTTCGGTGGTCAAGTTGGTTTCGAATTGACCGATTTTGTCTTTATTCTGAACGATTCGAGCGCCGTCCGATCCTTTGCTCAGGCAGGCTCTCTGACACTGGGTGGCAATGTTTCCCTGGCAGCTGGTCCCGTCGGTCGCAATGCCGAAGCAGCCGGCGCTGCCTCGCTTAAAGGTGTCGCCGGCATCTTCAGTTACTCCAAGACCAAGGGTCTCTTTGCTGGTGTTTCCCTCGAGGGATCTGCCATCATCGAGCGCCGTGATGCTAATGAGAAGATGTACGGCCAGCGCTTCACAGCGCAGCAGCTCCTCACCGGTTCTGTGAGGCCACCTCCTCAAGCCGCCCCTCTCATGAACATCCTTAACTCGCGCGTTTTCAACGGCATGAGAGGCGGTGGCGACGACGCAATGTACAACGACGTTCCTGTATACGACGAGCAGCACGACGATGTTGTGTGGAACGGTCGCCGTGGATCTGCGATGGGCGAGGGCGTGCAGCGCGACCGTACAGGCTCAGGTTCATATGATGACAGCTTCGGACGACCCAGCCGGTCGAATACATGGCAGGACGATGTATACGACAGACCAGGCGGTTTTGGCGGGCCCACGCGTTCCAGCACATTTGCTTCTGGTGGTGGAGCGAACAATGACTACGTTTATCGTGACAATCCCACAGGAGGTTCAGGAGGATTCGGCGCCGAAAAGAAGGCTGGCCCTGGACGGCCAGCGGCTCCCAAGCCGAACTTCGGTGCCAAGCAAGCAATGCTTAAGAAGAACGAGGCAGTTGCTGTGTACAACTTTGATGCGGATCAACCAGGTGATCTGGGCTTCAAGAAGGGAGATGTCATCACTGTACTGAAGCGAACCGAGAGCGATAACGACTGGTGGTATGTATTCAACAGTAATCGCTCAAACGTCGTCACAATAACTAACAGCGCATAGGACGGGACAAATTGGCACAAGAACAGGCATTTTCCCTAGCAACTATGTCAAGATGAAGGAGTAACGGCTGTTATCTTTGTATCGATTTAAATACCCTTTAGGCACGTTTCGGATGGATACCTTATGAATACGACGGCTTTTTTGTCTTTTGTCTATCTTGGAAAATGGCGGCTGCAAAAGATTGTACAGGTCTGCACCATGTGTCCTCCACAAACTTTCTGAATCATCAAACATCTACACATTTGTAGCAGATAGATGTTGTATCACGCCTGAACTTTCACTAAATGGTGTATTTACTAACAGGAATATATAGGAAGGCGTGTCGGTAAATGTCTAAAGCTCATGATTCCCCACGAAATTATCAAGCCGATACATTGAAAAATCTCAAATAGCTTGAGCTTTAGGCAGGAGATATGCACAAGGCCTCAAGAATAGTCGTTCTCGTACTTTAAACACAATAAGCCTCTGTAGGCGCACATAACGGTTTGGCGCAATAACAGGAACTGTAGGAAGACTATTCGCCACATCAGAAAGTACTGCCGTAGATGTGATCGTGGCTCCGCATAAGAAGTAGAGACGGCGAGTTGCTGTACGTTATGGCTGATCCCTCACACGTAATCTAGTTACCCCTGATATGGCTAGTTGGGGACGGGCGTTACCCCTTAAACTACGGTTGAGAAGTTTGGTCATATTGGGCTGTATATCAATGACAAAAAGCACCCCAAGGTTGGGATCCATAACGAATGCTTTCTGTCAACTGATGGCTTTGTCACCTGAGGCAGAGTTCTAGGATTCATATCATGCCCAAGCAATGATTTTGTTGCTGAGGGCATCAAACCCTGAGCCTTAGCCAGATATTTAAGCATATGTAACAGAGTTCACACAAGAAGTTAAAAAGAAATGTTGGGAAATTTCAAGTGCCAATCAGGCTTTTTGTAAATGCAGATAGAGCAGTAGCTTTGCGATCTTAATCCTTAATACCAGTAACAGGTAGGTCCTCGAACATGACTTCCATGGACCATGCTTAACCCTGACCCTGGGAATGTATCCAGACCTTATATCGGGTCCGACAATTTAATTTAAAAAGCTTGAATGATGCATATGCTTTTCAAGAACTCGAGGATATATACAAATAATACAGCCTTGGAATACACAGTGCCATCGTTGGGTACAAGACTACCTAGGTATTAATCTAGGTGCATGTCCCTGGATGCTTGCGAATGAGGTGCCAGGCTACCTCTCGGGGTGTATTTGTGACTTGAATAATGTGGAAGGCTCTCGCAAGCTCCCCTTTGCCGCTCTCGATCTCTTGTATTCGCTCGTTGATAACGTCGCGTATGTGTTTGTGGAACCCGGTCCAGAGCTTGAGCCTCTTTTGGCTCCGGTGCTTGCCCATGTTGCGAGATAGACGGCTAACAATCATGATGTTGTTGCCCCTCTGCTCGGCCCATTCCAGCGTGTGTTGGGCACCGTGCTTCTGGCTGATGTTTCGATAGAGACGGACATCTTTGTTGATGACCTCCTGAGTGTCGTTGAGATGGATGTCCTTGAAGAGGTTTCTCAGGCCCTGCTTCTGACAGAACCAGCCAGAACGACTAGCAAGACGCTTGCTAATGCCTGCGATTATAGAGTCAGAAAACATATACGTACTCTAGTAGGACATTTGAGGTTGCAACCTACGTTGAGAGGACTCGCGCATCTGTTTCGCCATGATGTCACGGACTTTCTCGACATCAATGTCAGGGAACGTCTCCAACAGCCGTTCTATATCGGGACTGTGAGACATTTCTAGGTTGTTGGGACTGGGGGCTGGGCTCGGAAAAGTTGTGAGGAAATCTGGGTCTTCAATGCTTGGGAGGACCGTGTCGGATATAGACATCGTGGTAGCTAGAATGATTGTAATATGGAAAGAAATGTAGCTCAACTCTAACCAATGGGAATACGTGAAAGTTCGGCAAGAAATCTAAACCCTTGGAATAAGTTTGGTATTAGGGGGCGTCTTGATGCCGTGATAAGTTCGATGGACAAAAGACCTAAAGGGGGTCGGTCGGTTGTTGACGGGGGAGAACGAGAGAGTCCGAGGTAGGTACGGTACAAAGATTTATATATTAGGAACGGTGAGTCAGTTTCAGCAATAAATTAGTTGTCTACAATCACTTGAACTCCCATAATAAAGTCAAATGTCCGAGTTTCCTTCCTTTCACATACAACAGTCCGGGTTTAGAGGCAGGTGACTCGTCAAAGAGTCGTCACTCCCCACCGACCATCACTTGAAGCTTTTTAAACCAGAAGTCTCTACGCCTTGCCCATACTTGCTTTAGATAGAACTGTGCGAGTAAAGTTTCGTCACCACCCCTTGCGACATCCTTTTCGAACTGTTCAAACAACGTGGCTGTTGCTTGATCCAAATCCTTCAATGTGTTGCAATCAGTAAGCATAACCCATGGCAAGACCTCCACGCCCGAGATTTCTTGTCTCAATTCTGAAGAGCTCGGCAAGCTAGTTGAAGCTTTCGGGGTCTTTGGGAGGGTTGTCTGACATTCGGCGTCCTTGTACATATCATCTTTTGCTTTCACACTCGCAAACGTACCCACCGAATTAGAGCCAGGAGGATGGTCTTCAATACTGTGAGTTAGATTGGAATAGTTATCAGTGTTTTCTGACGTAAGAGCTCTGCGACTGGGCTGATTCAGCCTCTTGTTTGTCGTGTTGTACGTGGAATAGGTGCTTTGACATTTCCCTGAATTGATTGAATCTGTCCTCAAAGGTTGGTCAAGAGATCCCTTGGATTTTCCAGAGCCAGAGGATTTCTCGAGACCTGGTTGCACATTGACATGCACTTTAGGCTTCTCATATGGCGCGGTGGTCTTTGCGCGTAAGTCAAATGGCAACTGTCTGGGCCGAGGCATCGAATTGCGAAAGTCCTGGTTGTGCAGTGGCTGTTGACGGTACGGTTCGGGCGAAAGGTCCTCTCTTAAGTCTGCGTGCTTATTATAACTCTTAATAGCAACGTTCTGGTGATATTCAAAAGAACCGACTTTAGAGCTTTCACGAACTGGGAGACTCTGAGCATCGGGGCCTGTTATGGTTACATTCACAGGCACCATCATTTCGGTCCTACCGATGGGTGACTGTGTTGGAGGCGGATTCAAGTTAAAGGAGTACCTCAGAGGTGACCCAACGCGAGGTATATGTGAGCGTGTACCGTCTCTTTCAAGCAACATGTTGTATGGGTTGAGCTGTGCCGTCACTGGGCTAGTATGGCGCATTTGGGTTCCTGGTAAATAGCTTTGCATAGGCATTGACTGCGCTCTTTGTGTCTGCTCGATATGCGAGGTCGGGATTGTCGAAAATGGTGAAGGCTGAAAAGGAGCGTTCAACATTGTGGTGAACGAGAAGTCAGATTGAGCACCAGCTCCTTGGAAATCATTCGGAGGTAATAGAGAGGGCGGCGTGATTGAGGAGAGTCGTGGCCTTAGGTCAAACATGGCATCGCGTGTTTGGGGTCCGGGTTGAGGGGGAACTGTCAGAAGAGATGCTGGTATTGCCTCGCAGGCGAAGAACCCAGCCCTCTGCAGCAAGCAAACAGCAACGCTGAAATCTCTCTTCTCCTCGAACTGCGCGAGGAGCGCTTGGGGCTTCTTGGGTACAGATACACAGATTCGATTAGTTTGCTTATTGATGCTGATAATCTCTCCAGAGGACTGTGATCCTCCTCTTATTTCGCTGAGTCGAAGTGAAACCTGGCCTATTAGCATCCCACTCGAGCCCATCACCACAAGTCCGTACCACTTGTTGTTTCCCTTTATGAATCAATAGGACCAAGATACCCATCTCTGATTCGATCGGCCTTTCACCTTCGATTGTCAAGGTGAAAGCACTGTGTGGGTGAGAAGAGTTATAGGCTCTGGCGGATGGTCCATCGCGGATCTCTAAGTAAACGAGTGGGCACCGGGACACAGGAGTCGGGGGACCGGCCATGATAGAATTTAAAAATGGAAGACTGCACACTATGTAGAGTGAACGAGTTGAAGTTTGGTCGGATTTGGTTTGGAGTTCACAGTGATAAAGTCATCCGTGCCTTGTCTGTTATGCAATTGGTCTTCAACATGAGGACAGTTTCTCCTTCCAAAACACTGCCTGATACCTTAAGGACCTGGGTGGCGAGTAGGTACTCCATGACCCGATGCACCTGCCCATCCTTATTGCCTACCTACCTACTAAAAAAAGATAAATTCAAAGGCCTAAGCATTCCCAACTTTGGGCAGGAGAGATTGAGGTTGAAGGGATAACATTGATTGGCTACCAGGGAACTTACCATCTTGTTAGCAAGGGTCACGTGGAGATAAGCTTGCTTAATCTTACCCCCAAGACTTCGACGCGCCGCGCCAAACCAAACTATCAGCGACTGACCCATGCGATTTGAGAATCGTGGATCAAGCTGCAAGCACCCACGGTATCTCCAAAACCAGCCAATTATCGATACACAGGTCATTGAAGCCTTTCAGACGCTGCGTGGAAGCGCCTGTCTGTGGGAAATCTTTCTTGACTGCAAGACGTTCAACGCAGCTCGACGACAAGAGACCTCTGCCCCTTCTTCGCGACTGCGCATTTCGTATCCTGTTTCTATCCACCCGCGCACAAACAGTTCACCGCACGATCTCTCAGTATGGCCCCCGTTCGCAATGAGGTGCCGCCGCACACGATAGATCGCACCCCCGAATACGAGGACTTCATGTCGCGACTCCGTGATTATCATGCCAAGCGAGGAACGACACTTGATCCAGAGCCCAAGGTCGGCGCAACACATGTTGATTTGTTCAAGGTCTTCAATCACGTTGTTGAAAGTGGCGGCTATGACAAGATCTCGGAGGAGAAGCTTGCATGGCGCCGTATGGCGTCTGAGCTGGGCATATATTCTAACAATGAAGCTTCAACTGCCTTCTCGTTGAAGGAGAAGTTTTACAAAAACTTGGCTGCATTCGAGATCAGCACAGTACATGGAAAGGAACCTCCACCCAAAGACATTCTGGAGGACGTGACGGCTAAAGGTGCTGGTTTGTTGTCACGCACAAGGGAAAATTTCTGGGGGAAGAAAAGAGAGAGCAACGTTGGTGCCACAGACTCAGCGGCCTCGGGAGACGATGGTACACCCGTCCGCGAGCGACCCGTGCCAGACACTGCTGCCAGTGCGCGTGCATCCAGAGGACTGCGTGAGGCACCTCCTCAGCGCGTCATCTTTCAACCGGATACTGGACCTTCGCGAACAACCCGACATTCTTCTGCTCACCATGCGAGCAGTACCAACTCACCCGCCGCCAACCCTCCTCAGACCCCCTCGCATCACCCAAACATGCACGTACCTCAGCAGCACCAACAGCAGAATTACCAGGGAAATCGAGGTCCCTCGGTTCTTCACCATCCCACTAACTCTGAGAATACATCCAACTTGGTCACTGCCTATCAGCCGCGATTTTCTAAACCCTTAACACTGCGCGCAGTGCCAACCCCGAGCAATGCGCCCACCGAGTTCCAGAAACCACGCCAAACTCCACGCATTGACCCTCGTCAAGCAATGCAACCTGGCAGTGAGTATATATTCGTTATTTCTTTGTCGTTTTCTTCGACTAACTGTATTAGCCGGTTTTGATGGTCCTAACATTTATATGAGGTGTTTGAACGCTTTGCGATCAAACATTCCTGCTGAACAAGCCTTTGCGCTCAGTCATTTGGTGAAAATATCGTTTGAGCGAGGTGATAAGTACAAGTTTGATTCATTTCCAGGTCTGGCCGAAGGTCTAGTTGACAAAGCCCTTGAGGTGGGACATTTGTTCTACCACGTCAACTGGAGTATATCCTGGAACCTCCCATATGACTCGAGTGATCCAAGTGCCCTTGACGGAAACTACGGGACACAAGATATCTTGGAGCGAATCGAAAACCTGATCGAGAAGGATGTACCCGACATTTTACAAACTGAGTCATACGCAGACAATATGGTGCTGATCACTGAAGCTGTCCTGACATTACGGAACATGGTCACTCTGCCGGAAAATGCTCACAACATATCAGACTTCCCTCCCGTCAAGGACCTTATTTGTATCATCTTGAACCTACCACAGAAGGATTCTCTTGTGGAACTGAAGCATCTTGCCCTGGACATTGCTGAGCAGTTAACGCCGTTCATGACATTGGACTCAGACGACCCTATGTATAGGACATTGTTGGAGCAGTTGACGTCTGATGACCGCGGTATCATTCTGACGTCTCTTCGGGCGCTCGGCCGCATCTCCATGAATCTCGAAGCCACGAACAAGCTAAGCAACGTTCCTGGACAAGTGCTCCAGCGACTTGCCAGTTGGCTTTTGCTCAATGATGATGAGCTTATCGACGCGTGTCTCGATTTCCTCTATCAGTACACTGCTGTTGTGTCCAACGTGGACACCTTGGTCCGGTCTCTGACGCCGGAGAACCTCATCGACCATCTTGCTCGCCTCCTAGCTCATGGTGCTCGTAAGACACAACGCGAGTTTGTTCTCGTGCCCGAACAAAGAATTCCCGCTCGTGACCAGATTGCTCCCATGCCTGAAGATCTTCTTCAGGAGATGCTCAAGCTTGAAGAGCCAGATCGTGTTCACCGTTGGGTTCGCTGCTTTTTCGAGGAGGACAACAATTCTTTTGTAACACAACTAGCCGCCTGGCAGGCGTACCAAAACGCATTTGTCGCACCACTTAAGGTCATCAATCAGCCTCTTATCACACCTGCCGACTTCATCCGAAACAGTACGTCTGTATATAAGGATTCAAATGCGCAGGTCCTTCGAGAGCCTGGCGACCCGCAACAAAAATTCATCATCCACGGTATCCGCGCAAGACCAAAACCTCTTGGCTTGGATGGCAAGGAGTACGGACGATGCCTTTGGGCCTCCAATCCCAACAATAAGCTTGAGAAATGCGGTCACTTTTACATTCAACCTGAAAAGCTTTGGGAGCACATCCTCGTGGACCATCTCGGAGAGAAGCGAAATGAAGGGGGGCAATTTGACAACGTCGAGAAGGAATTTACCTGTACCTGGGATCAGTGCTCCCGTTATCCCAAGTCCACCAAAATGCGCCTTCAGGATTTCGCGAGACACATCAACACGCACATTTCTTCAGCATTGCCCAGCGATTCGCTTAGTCGAAAGTCGGAACGTTCATGGATTATTCCTGCCAAGACTATGGCTGTGACTTTTGAGGAAACTACAACAGCACGGGACGAGCGAAATCCAAACCTGCCGCCCCAGGCAGCCGGTATTCCACTCAGCGCTGCGCTAGTGCTGAGGAATATTGCTCGCAATGTGGTCAAAACGGAGGCTGAGGAAGAGATGGTCAAGAAACAGGAGAAGGTGGGTGAGATAGGAGGCTGGAACGAGATCCTTTTCCGTCCTCTGTTACCGCGACTGTTCGAGATTCTTGCAGAGAACAGGGCTTTGGTATGTTTATCAATCCTATTACCGTTGCCATGAAACACTTGTACTGATCAAATTCGCAGAGCCCTTACATTGCATCACTCCTTGATTTGGTCCGTATTGAGAATGACGAGGGGGGCCGATGATGCAGTTTCGCAGGATGGCGTAAAGGAAAAAGACGGGGCGTTGTAGCGATATGCTTTCAAGTAACCTCGTGTTGAGGAGGCATTGTTCGCAGTGATTTACACAGGCTTTCTCGCATGAGTGAAACTTGGTGGAGATCAGGATGGTATTGTGTCGTTTCACACGGATTACTTGTAATAATACCCTGCCCGTGGGCGTTCTGGGCTGGCTGGCTTTTTTTTGGATGAGCGGTAGATCTTTGAACTCGAAGACTAAGAACATTAACAGTATGCATTTTGCAGAATTGTATAGCACCTTTGTCGATTTGTGTGTTTGTCGCATAAATCAGTTGGGATGAATCAAGTGCGGTTACCTGTTGGTGCTGTACAGGTGATGGCGAGTATATTTTGATGACATGATATCTTCAGCAAAGGCAGTGCCGAAGTATCTGGCGATATAATTCAACATCCCTCAAGTCCACTGTAAATTCAACTACCGGCCCGGACATCTCGTGGGCTTCCCATCACCGCATTTTTAAACCCGGGCCGGTGCCTCTCCTGTGCATACATCTCAACGCCAGATCTCAGTATTCGGCTCTATCGTCAGCCGCAAAACTACTCGTACGAAACATACGGGAACCGCCGTTATGCGCATTTGGGGAAAGGGGGTAAAAGAAATGCATTGTGGCTGCTCGATAACAGCGGTTCATTCTCGCTAACTTGATAAAATTCAACATGAGAAATCTAATCCACACAATACCCCAGACTCGAGCACGTCTGTCGATGGATGCTGATAAGGGATGGAAGAGCCGTGCTTCTGAGAGGATTCTGGAACTCGCCCGAATGCATGCATGCACCTGGTGCCCTTGTTCCCTTGACAGCTCCCCACCACACGATAGCTCCAAGGGCAGGGCAGGGCTGCAGGCAAGGTATTGCGTGCCTGGTTGTGAGATGGGCCTCAACATGTCAGTGAACCTCGTACAAGCCGATCACTTGGTTTGACAGGAGGCACTTTGATTTCGATAGTGCTTATACTACGTAGTATGCCCTATCATGAGCTTATTGTCAGACTGTTTACACAAAGAAAGTCTCTTGACATTGCAGATCCAAGGGGTGTATTCGACCAACGCTGCTCACAAGAGGTCAAGACCTAAACCAAAGTGTGCCTCGAGGCTCTTACCCTCGAGCTCGCTTGTGCTTGTTCAAAAAATGAAGAAGATCATGTGGGTCACCCAAGGAGCTCCAAGTCCGCTTTGCCTCACGCAAGAATATCTGTCCTACAGAACTAGCGATGCAGCCTCTTAGGAGGACAATTGAATATCGTCTGATATCTTGTTTTTGCTTTGTCGTCTGAACGGGTACAAGCGGAGTCATTCGATAAAGCGAGTTAGCAAAACCGTAATGAGTTCGATGTATACACCGTCTTTTGGTGTTTACCCTGTGGAAGTCATCATGATGGAAATTTGGCTTCGATTAAGTCACAAATGACGATCGCCATGTTTAACAACCAAGCGTAGCACATTTCATCTCGTCATTTTTGTGACCATTGAATAGACTACAGTTGGTAAATGACAAAGCCAACCCCCACTGATACAACTAAGCTATCTTTGTCATTGTTTCCTATCATTCAGACTACGAACTGAGAAAGTGAGAGAACATTCTCGGTCAGGGTGGTATGGACGAATGGGGGGCGCCAATGGGTGGGTTGGTGTTAAGGTTGTCTTGGCCATCTAGGTGTAGCCTGGTCTATCCAAGGAGGTGGGATGGCACACCGAGAGGTGAGTAGTCTAGGAGTTAGAAGCGATATCTGTTAGTGTATGATTCTGACGCAAAAAGAAAACCTCAAGGTCAGAATGAAGTTTCATTACGAGACGAAGTAGAAAGAGTTTCTAGATGTCATGTCTTGTAGCTATCATCCCCCTCACCTTGGAGCGGTTTCGGTGAGGAAGTACTGACTCGACCAAGACGTGGATGGTGGATGGACCAGGATCAGCATCATTGCGATTGCAGCCGTGTTACCCGGAATTGAGAGTTGAAACCTTCCGTGGTGTCCAGGGAACGCGCAACATCAGATAGATGTCTGTCTGTGTGTGCGCCCCAGCTCGGCTCGGGTCTGAGAACTGTAGCTGTAGCACATTATTCAAGCACTTGCAGATTGCAGTAAGTATTTGGTTGGGTGGATAGCGGTGTAATAGAAGGTGGTGGAAAAGAATTCGTCTGCCTAGAAAGATGGAACAAAGCCTGTCTTTAGATGCTGCCGCCCCCCATTGGTGACAGACTAACTACTGCAAGCCCTAGCGGATGAGGTGCCAAATTAGCTCAGAGGCCAGCCATCATCAACAAGTTAGTGAATGTTGTTATTTGGATTGTCTTTGGTGTTGAGGCAACGTGCACGTCTGTGCTCAAATTGTTTGCCGGTGGCCGGACAGGCGCAAACCAAAGGGACAGCAATCTAGAACTAGAATTAGGCAGGTAAAAGCCAAGACATTCCCCGGAACGCTCGGACTGTGTAAAGCCTTGCATCAACTTTGTTTATTTTGAGGGAGGATGAATGGACAATATTTGCTTGCCCGAGCTATCCAGCAAAGAGTTGGAGACTTCACATCACATCACCACACCTCATCATGTAAGCGCCCGCTGTGGATGAGGTTGAGAGGGAGAAAGAAAGGTGGGGGGTACCAGGAATAGCTACCGAGAAAATACTAGCAGAGCCCACCTCAGCCAAAGCTACCCCTGCAACGTCCCGAAGAGCCCCTAGAGGCTAGGAGTAGGCTCCCCGCGACCCGCCATAGCTCCCCACGGCTGCCCGTGGGATCTGGGTTTCTAATTGATCTTCTCTCCACTTGGTGCATCAAATCCCTGGGTGCCCCATATGCTTGTTTCCCGCTCTCAACCTCATCATGTACATACATGTAACTTTCGGTGATGGATGTGCAAAGTGTCTTTTACGTGCCACCATCAGCGTCAATGGCTGATTGTTTGGCCGAGATCGGCGTTGAACAGAGAGGGATACGCAATGATGTCGTGTTGTGTTTGTGCCTGTGTCTCTGAAGAGAGACGTGAATGTGAGACGCAATAGAAGGGTGAGAAAAGAGGCTGCCTCTAGACCGTCACCTCCGAATTAGAGCTGCATATGCATGTTCTGATGTGGGCATTGAGAAGCAACGGAGAACCCCACGTTGTTATCAAAGCTATAAAAAAAAAGGTCGGAGGGTATGAAAGAAACCCGGACCGGCTGTATAGCAGGTTATCAATCGATCAGAACAGAATATGTAGCAGTACTTTATTTGACTGATGATACAATTGTTGATTGGGAACCTAACTTTTAAAATACCTTATGTAAACTTTTGCGCAATGCCTCCAAGACGATAAAAGAGGAAACAACACCATCTCACCTCAACTAAGCCTCTATGTAAAACACCATGGAAATTTTCTGATCACCCGCATAGCCAATATTTAAATATTCAAAACAAAACTAGTTGAATCTCAGACCATGTAATGAAGCCCCCGCATTGTACTGCTTCTGCGTGCCTGAATGCGCCTCTGCTGTGGTCTAGTACCAAGTCTCGTCTTTGATCAATCTCTTGACAGGTTGGAACAGGAAATGCAATGACCCTGTCAGTGGCCCTGGCAATCGATCTTGTGACCATCACAAATCTCCATCCCGTCTCACTTTTTGGAGGAAACCCCGGCTGATGCGACATCGGTGCCCCGGTCCTCCATGATGTGAGGTGAGTGTGAGGTGAGTCCAGTTTGTGTTACCCCCTTTCTTAGGCCCGAACTAATAAACTTCTAATCCAGGAACCGTACCAATGTACCTCCATACCTTTTCTATAGTTGCTGCTACAAATCTGACCTCACCGTCTTACACCGAAGTCGGTGAAGAACCGTTCTCCCTTGCTTGGGCGTCAGGAAGCGTGCCGTTGCTCCACCTACGTGTATTGTGTATTGTAGCTGCCATATGGATTGGATGCCTATATAAATCCATTGCCGGTCGGAGCTAGTTCCCCATAACCTTTCATCACACATTCGCACTTTCTACGACTTTAGCTCCATACAGATTCTTTTCTCGCTTTGAACCAAAGTTCATCTGAAGCTGTATGTTGTCCCCAACAAACTTCTTCTTATTCTTGTTGCCAATTCAATGATAACGGCGACTAACAAATTATAGGTTTTCATAGACACATTCTCCGCACCACCTTGGCGAGATAGCTTTCCTGCACCATAGCATAGCATTTGCCACCAAGCTTGCCTGTCCAGTCCCGGATCCGAAGATCAAGCCCGAATCTCCGTCGCCCAAGACATCCAGACCAAAACAAGACGATCTATCTCAGATCAGCTCTGCACAGCAAAACAAAGCATAATTCAATTGCCGTTCTGGAGTCGCTATTGAAGAGCCCCGAAAATAGTACCGGTCCTCTCGCAGTCACCTAAGCTTGGAACAAGCGAAACGTACCTTTCCTGAACACAGAGGCCTATCCCGTCTCCTAAGACTACGGAGTTTTCCTGCCGCGAGATCTGCACTTCACATACCTACCTATCTATATTTGCCTGCACTCTTACTCCCGGTTCCACTGTTCTCTCAATCCAGGCCCCCCGCTGCTACCCTCCTTGAACAAGCACTAGAAGCCCCCAGAGCCGCCAACAGGAGCAGATCCCTTGATTCCAGCCCCAGCTGAAGTCATCTGCACCGTACCTTATCGCTTACAGTCCAAGGACCTTGCAACACCACACCACACCCATTCGCCTTCCTCACGGACATACCGCCACACTAAATTCTGCACCTACCTGTCTACCTAGCAAGCCAAAGTAAAAGCTTGCCCTGCGACCCTACCGTACAATTTCTGCGACAAGGAAAAAAACTTTTGTGCCCAGGTCTAGAGTTTTCTTTGCATTGCTCTCATTGCCTGCACTCCCTCCACCTCCACAAACACACTCTACACTCTATCTGTGATTTGCTTTCGGACCCACAACCAGTCGACTATATATCAAGAGTATCCCTTCACCTATTCAACTCTTCTTCTTTTACAATCTTCATCTTCCATTCTATACTCCTCTCACTTGAGCACTTGTGTCTAAACTAAAGACCAAGATCCTTTAATATATAATCACTTCTTCTCCCTCTACCACCCCGGCTATCTTATATACCCATATCCTCTTCTCTGCCACCAAACTTCACAACCTCCGCAATGGCAATTTGTTCCATTTCTCGCAGCATCCTCCGTGCCACTCGGGCCCCTGCCGTTGCTTTCCCCAAGAACTCGCGATGCTTCTCGGCCACCCCTGTGCAACGTGTCATTGACACCAACTTGAAGAAGAACGTTGTCCGGGAGAAGGAGGTTCCTGTCACAGTCTACAGTGCTGGCCAAGGCACTGGTGACAAGCACACAGTCAACGTCCCTGAGGCGGCTGCTCGAGTTCCCAGCGAGCCTCGTACTCCTTCTCACGAGAGCGACATCGTTCAGCCTCTTACCCGCAAGACCTATGAGCAGCTTCCCCACACCATGCGCAGCATGAGTGTCTATGGCAAGACCATCATCCTCACTGGCGCTGCCCGTGGCCTTGGCAACCACATGGCTCGTGCTTGTGCTGAAGCTGGCGCCAAGAACATTGTCCTCTTTGACGCCAACCAGGAGCTTGGCGACGAAGCCGCGGCCGAGCTTCACGACAAGACCGGCCTCCCTGTCTCCTTCTTCAAGGTCGACGTTCGTGATGGCGCTGCCATCAACGCCGCCGTCGACGAGGTTGTTGAACGCTATGGTGCTCCCGATGTCCTTATCAATTCTGCCGGTATTGCCGACTCCAACATCAAGGCTGAGACCTACGACCCTGCCATGTTCCGTCGCCTTATCGACATCAACCTTACCGGCTCTTTCCTCATGTCTCAGGCCGTTGGCCGTGCCATGATGTCCGCTGGAAAGCCTGGCAGCATCATTCTCGTCGCCTCCATGTCTGGCTCCATCGTCAACTTCCCCCAGGAGCAGAGCTGCTACAATGCCTCCAAGGCGGGCGTCATTCAACTCGGCAAGTCTCTTGCTGCTGAGTGGGCCAAGTACGATATCCGGGTCAACTGCATCTCTCCCGGTTACATGGACACTGCCCTCAACCGAGTTCCTGCGCTTGACGCACAGAAGAAGATCTGGAAGTCCCTGACACCCCAAAACCGATTGGGTAACGTTGACGAGCTCAACGGTCTTTGCATCTTCCTCGCTTCAGACTCTTCCAAGTTCATGACTGGTTCCAACTGCATCATCGACGGCGGCTACACATGCTACTAAGCGAGCGGCACCCTGCTTTGACGGTTAGCGAAGAAATGGTTTCTACGAATGGCTGGATCGGGAAGGCCCCGAAAGAGGATTTGATTTTCTTTGTTTGGAGTTCCGGAAAGGATTGGTGACCTATTTTTGAGCAAGGACCAAGGACAAAAAGAGACGTATGATGATAAAACTAGATTAGCTCTGGATACCATAGAGCAGGATGAATCTGCCCGTATTAGACACGGAGCGACGCGATCCAGACAGGGGATCTAAATCTAATAGCCACTGGCATATAATGAAACGATCAAAAAGAACCACTTATCATCTTGGTGATTGTGTAACCGAATATCCTGCCTCGCCGCTTGAATTAGACTTTCGGATGCAAAACAAGGTTAATGTGTATCGTGCGCTAACAACCGAAGTTGCTTGTCCCTTGCGTCTGTAGAGGCAGATCGTGACTTTGATAACCCAAGGTACGGGTACCAAACCACGTGCAGTCTGGCCCAAGTCTAGTCCACCAATGCACGCCAATGTCAATCAATCATCGCATGTTTCCGAGCAGCCAATCACGATGGCACTCCCGTGTTGAAAACGGCAATCCAGCTTGAGCCAATAATTCGGGTCTATGTTATTCTCACCGCTTTATTTTCGCAGCTGTCGAGACGATCAAAACCGGGTCAAAGGCCCGGCCAGCCTTTTCATTTTGCGGTTCGCCAACTAAACTGGCGGTGGAGAATATGGGTCGATACTAACATGAAGGAAGAGAATAGGAGACATGAGGTCACGCTTAACAGTCTTCTGAATCAAAACATATGGGAGAGACATTTGGGGGAAATGTCTCATGAGGATGCAGGAACTAAGACAAATCTGATTTCTGTGGCATCGTGAAAATTGAGCACCTAGACTCAAAATTACTACACAGCCGAGTAGAGAGCTGAACCTTACGATAAACAACGACTCATGCGGAAATATACTACAGATTCAACGAACCAAGTTCCTCCACGTTCCAAGGATCTCGTGCAAGACACATACACCTACAGATCAAAGAGGACCCCGAGGTGTCACCGGCAGACCGCATTGTCGTTCCGGCTCATGATGGAGGGGGGGTTTTCGGAGGTGAGCATGGCTAACTCATGCAATGACTCGGAAGGCTTAAAGCCTCTCAATCATCTGCTGTCTATAACTTCTCGCCCTATTCTTCTTTTCTCGTTACAAAAGACCAAAGCACATACTCGCTCATGATATCTTGTTCATTGTCTACTCAACATTCCAATATCAAGTGCACGGTCATCAGAAAACCAACTCATCCTTTAAATCACCACCTCAAAAAAGGCTTCAGGATCATTTCCAAATATGAAACTGCTCTGCACTCCCTCCATCTCGCTGGTCCGCGCCGCTCGGTCCTTGCGCAACCGACTCATAAAAAGAACCCTCCTCCCAGCCCGCGCTGCAGCCGCCTCGGTACGCAACTCAATACACTTCTCCTCACCATTCTCGTCACATTCCCACGACAAGCTTAAACACCAAGCTCGACCTGCCGCCCTTGGCACTGTTGCTGTGCTTGGTAACGGGCTGCCCGTGGGCATGGAAGGCCACGCTGCTGTCAGAGAGGGCGAAGGTTGCTCGAGAGTCCGGAAGCATATCAGCCCCTTCTATCAACAATGGGAGCAAGGCAGCTTCATGTTTCAAAAGAGCAAGTTCTTGTAGGACGGAAAACATCGAAGAAACCCCAAGTATAGTCGCCATGAGCTGGTCTAGATGTTTTGTTATTTTGCCTTGTCGTCTTTGCGTTGGAGTGTTTGGTTAGTATTGGCTTCGTTTGTTCGGTTAGTTTGATTGGTTATGAGCATTAGGTCTGTTAAAACAGCGTCACCCAGAGTGACACCTGAATCCTGAGAAGTCCATTTCGTATCATCACCACAAACACATTCCAAAAAGCCAGGGCACCAAAGTAAGAAAGCAGACATTTTTTTATGATTCAAAGCTGGTGAGGAGACATGGCCAGGTCTAGTATCGTGACAGACCCAGCCTCGAGTGCGAACTCGATGTGCAAGAACAATTCGTATGCAGGGGTATATCCAGCGTGTCATATCTATGTGCTGCCAGGCGTCATCATGGTGTCCGCCTGCTGGCACCTTTTGGGTTTTCTTTTCTTGCCATGTGTCGAACTTGCGACCTCATGGGCATAACATAATCCGAGCCACCCCTTGACGCGGCACCGTACCAATTCCAACTTCAAGATGCAAGGCCTGCTATGACAGTTGAATAATTTGTGGAAGAAAATGGTCATTAGATAGTTGGGTATGCAGAATTGTGACACAGGGACGGATTGTGCCCATGGGATGTCGTCAATCGAGACCACTGCATCGACTTGAAGATACATCGATCATCGTCTGAAAAACGCTGGCAACAGTCGGCGAAGTCTCTGTTTTCTCACTGGGGGATCTGCAGGAGGGACTCTTCTCCCGGGGTGTACCTACTGCCCCTTGCGAGCCTTTTCTTGCGCCCTCTGTTCTCGAGCGGCTCGCACCAATGGTGATAGTTGAGCGAGATCAACACATTGCTTCATGAATTCATGCTGAAAAGGGTCAGTGGAATCAATCAACAGGAAATGTTTGGACTTACCCTCAGCAAATCATGAGCACTAGCTCGCTTCTCCGGATCCACCTTGAGTGCAAAGTATAGGAAGTCCTTGAACACAGGAGAAAGATCCTGCTCATTCTTAATGTGAGGAGTTCCGTTGGTTGCAATCAACCAAAGAGCACGCAAAGGAGATTCGGTCAGGTATGGCGGCTCGCCTTCTATCATTTCGATCGCCATGATACCCAAAGACCAGATATCGACCTTGCGTCCGTACTCTTTCCTGGTAACGACTTCGGGCGCCATCCAGTATGGTGTACCCACCATGGTTGTTCGCTTGTTCTGGGCCTCGTTGATGGTCGCACAGAATCCAAAATCGGCTGCTACGGTTAGTTGTGCCTTGCACTGCCACTGGAACAGTTGTTACTCACTCAGCTTGATCTTGCCCTCCAAGGATAGCAAAATGTTATCCGACTTGATATCTCGATGAATGACTCCCTTGGAATGCAGATGTTGCAGACCAAGAAGGGTCTCGCGACACACAGAAGCGATCTGCCCCTCGGACATGATATTGAAGGTGACAACATCCGTAAGGCTGCCTCCCTCCATAAACTCCATGACGACCCACAGCTCGCCACCACACAGATAACTGTCGATAAAGTTGACGATGTTGGGATGTGAGCTATCCTTCATGACAAGAATCTCGTTGATAATCAGGTCCTTCTTAGGTTGCTGTTCGAGATTCATCTGCTTGATAGCCACCAATCTGTTCGTGCCACGCTCGTGACCAGTAAAAACACCTCCAGATGCACCCTGGCCGATCTTGTTGAATCCTCGGTATATGTCTCGAGGATCGCCCTCGCTACAGATGCGCTTAAGGGCAGCAACGATATCAAGACCTGCGCTCTGACGGGCCCGGTGTCGTGGCCTAGCCCCGGGAACGGCTGCTCCAGGAGCCTGCTGACGAGGAGCGTTGTGCATACCATTAGACTCGGGGGCACGGCCGTATCCAGGAGCTGCTTGCATGTTCGGGTTCTGGGGATGAGGGGTTCGTTTACTAGGAGCACGGCCAATGCCGCCAGACATGGCAGCTTGAGCCTGGGCCATGGCTTGCTCTTGCTGCTGCTGCATAAGTTGTTGTTGATAAGCGGCGGCTTGCGCTTGGGCGAGCTGTGGGTTGGGTTGCGGAGCAGTTGGGGCGTATGTTGGTCCAGTGACGCGCGAATTGGACCTCGATCGGTGCTCTTCGGGGAGCATAGGGCCAGCATCCTTTGACATGCCGTAGGATTCGTCGCCGGACTGAGACATACCGATGCCTGAGTCCTTGGTCGAGTATGCGCCTTGAGGCATATGTCGATTGCTCATGCTGACGGGCGGTTTTGGAGCTGGGCGGCTGGGCATCAGGTCCTTACCAACCTGGCCTCGGGGAACAGGCGGTGGTGCTCGGGGATTCTCAAAACTTCCTTCATGATTGACAGTTGGAAACCTGGGGTTCGTAGGTGAAATATTGTTCGGTGACATACCCATATAGTTTGACGGGTACATGCCCGGTGATGCTGCAGTTGCCGGAGAGGTGGCATACTGGCCAGCATGATGAAATTTCTCGAGGACCTGATCTTCTGGGGGCCTCTCCGTGGTCTCTTTGTAGAACTGCAAGATATCAACCATAGTTTGCGGGTTTTCTCGCCTTTCCTTTTCAGGAATTCCGCTTTCGTTGATAAGCCGCTGCCATTCTTTTGGCAGACCCTAGAGTCTGTTAACGAGTATAGGAACAAAGAGACGGGAAGACTGACTGTAAACTGGCCTGTGGAACTATCATAGCCGACATGAGTAACGTGGACGGGGTTTTCAGGTGCAGAAATAACGGGTTTCTTGGGCGATCCAACCAAGCTGTTCATGAAACCGGAAAATCCTGACTTCTTTCGTAGAACAGCAGGCTTGAGATCCTTGCCATCGTCAGAATATCGCTTGGGGTTGACCGAAGGCCCATCGGTTGGAACCCTCGGGCCTAGGCTCTTCTCATTTAGTGATGAGTCCATCGCGGAGAAGCTGGTCGAAGTTCGTAGGGCAGGGCTAGCAAGCCTGGAATCGGTAGGCGCCTTGACGATTTGGGGCGGGAATTGACGAGGGACAGCAGCCTTCGGACTAGGAATCTTAATCGATTCGATGCGGTTCAGAATGGCAGCGCCGTCAAAAGGAGCGCCGATGAGGTCGTCAGGCACCGCTGTCTTACTGAGAGGGCGGAGGTGAGAATCGGAGAGACGGTCGGGATGACGGGGGACAGGCGCCCAGTGATTAGCGGGGGTGAAGTCGCCCTGGGGTGAGATGGGCGACGGGACAGGTCTTAGGGTGTTGTTGTTGGCGGATAATTGAGGATGAGATCGATCAGAGTCTTGCCAGTCGGACACGGTCGCGGGGTTTGAGCGGGCTGGGGGAGCGCTGGGGGCTCTTCTCAGACTCTGGGAACTGCGTTTGCTCTCGAGGGACTGGGCGTCGAAGGCACCACCATCGAAGCCAGAGGAGGAACGAGCGTAGGCGTAAGTGGGAGGTTTCTTGATGAGTTTGCGACGATGTGAAGTTGCGGTATGAGCAGACGCAGACGACGCAGAGGTATATCCGGGGCCGTCCATGATCCAGCGCCAAGCAGGAAGCAGCCTGTCAACTGAGAGCAGTTGGGTTGGGGGGGCCCTTTGGGGCTAAAAAAAGGCCTTAGAGGGACGGCGGGCTGCTGCTGTTAGGTACGGGATTTTTTTTTGTGATGGGCCGAGCGAGCAGGTGGAGGAGACTGAACTAGACAGAAACAGAACAGGTATCAAGTCACAGGGTGTGTGTGCAGGGAAAATGAAGGGGAGGGAAATCAGAAGAGATGCGCATGCAGCGCAATGCAGTGCAGTGCCGTGCCGTGCAGGTCTGGCTCACTCAAGAGATAGAGAGGCCCTTGGTTTTTCAGAATCAAGCGAGACCAGAGGGAACAAACGAAGCCAAACAATAGGAGTTTGACGGGGGACTGGGGATTGGATGCACAACGCAGTGCGATGCGGGGGTATTGATATTGTTGTGGTGTGTGTTGTTTGGCCGAGTGGCGATGCTAAATTGGTGATGGCGGTCCTGCAAGTGGAATTAAATTACTTGCTTTGCCTTGCTTCGTCTCTGTTTGGTGTTCCTTTTGCTTCTGCGTTTCTCCTCCTGGGAATCCTACCCGGTGACTTCATAAGAGGAAAAAAGGGTAAGCTGCTGTTTGGGGGATAACAGGATAAGTGGGTTGGGGAGATCAAGTTCGAGAAGATAAGTAAGAGAGGAAGCTTGAGAACAGGAAGACAACCTACATAGGTACAATTATACACGCACTGTGTGGTATTCCTCAAATCAAGGGGAACTGAACGACAAGAAGGGTGAGTGAGATAAATTGGAATGCGGGAGGTGGATTGGGTTATGGGATAAGATATTACACTGTAGCATGGAGGCCCTTTAATCCAAGAATTGTGATACAAACGGCTGATGGGGCACTCTCACTCTACGGTTGTTGCGCGTAGTGCGGTGCTGCGCAACACATGGCACGGGCTGTCAGTGTTTCCGGACTCCTCTACCGTGATGCTGACGGTATTATCAGGAGCCCTGCGGGGGTGACACGGTTGCAAAGTCTTGCTGGGAATGGATCTCTCTGATGATGAATTGTTCAAACGACTGGAATTGGGGTCTTGATTAGCGAAGTTGTTTAGAAACAAGACATCAAGAGGCCCATGCTTCAAAATGAAGGGTTCAACCTGAGCACGACAACGAGAATGCTAGGTAGCAAACAGCTTGGAACATTTGCCTGATAAGGCTTCCTGTTCAATCCGGTCTCAATAGCTTCCTACAAGTGACCATTGTCCTCCGTAAAATCCCCTGGAAACCCTCACGTTGATACAGACGTAATGAATCAATTGGGTTTCTGATAGGCAAGGAACCGAAGAAATGGCTTGGACCCTGGACCCCAGCATATTAGGATAAGGTACATTCGATCAGCGGGGCGGACCACTCATGCAAAGGTACTTTGGCATTTGGCTGGCGCTGATACCCAACCCAACTCCTGTTAACTTCTGTCCCTTTTTCAAGGTCATTCAACGTCCCCCACCGTCGTTGCAACGCCATCTCTTGTCCCTCGGGCCGTTGGCGCGACTCGACAGTGTGAAAGCATCTTGCCAGCACTTGGTGGTTGGACCAGCGGCATGGTTGGAGGGTCATGGATGGTATCACTGCATCTTTTTTCCCCTGAGCGCCTCACAAAGAACGTTGTGCTCAAATGGATGCTTCACAGGATGACGACGCGGGGTGAATGGCGTATGGACTGCAAGTGGCCAATGTCACCTTATTTTTGTCGTTTGCACTGGACGAAGAGCTCTGATCCTGACACATGGTGGGTGCAGAAGGTGAGGACATTTGAGAATGAATAGACAATAGTGTGGGACGGATGTTGGTTACAGACTCAAGCCAGCCGTTTCCAATCGAATCAATCACTCATTGTTGACAAACAGTCTTCAATGAATGCAATCACATATTTTGGCTGCACTATACTGCCGGCGCCTGCTTAGCCTCGACTGTTAATCACTCGTATGGTTGGCTCTACTCCATACTCGTTGCACATACTCGCACTAGAAAACTTATATGAATCACGTCTTCAGGTTTTGTAACTTGGATAACTAACGTCAGTCTCAGGTGCATTATGTCACCCCAATGACTCGTTAAACAGGGCATGTTAGTAGACCACGATCATGGCCAATAGCTTAGCAAACCATGTTATCGTGAAAAATTAATCGATCTGTATCTTGCCCATCGAGCACTGTAACGCTGTTTGTATTAGACATCCCCCAACGGAAGACATACAGCTGTATCCAACGGGGCCATCCCTGGTATGCACCTACTGGCCAGTAACATATTGAACGTTCCTGTCGTAAGTTCATCACGATCAAGTGTGAGTGGAATCGAATGCGTTTTGATTCTTGACTGAGTGGAGTTTGTTCTCAAAGCCGGGCGGGAAGATTCAGGAGAAGCTAGAGATCAAAGTTTGGGCAAACTAGCCAGTCCTTGGCCAATCTCAAGCAACTGTCTCCTCCAATTTAAGACTAGCACAGGCACAAGCTCGACTTCAAGCTCAACTGCCCCGTCCTCGTGGGTCAGAACGCTCGTGGCTGGTGGAGATTGCCGACGATTTTGCAGGTCTTAATGGGAGTCAAGCATTGGTGATTTACCATAGCCGTGGCTGGGCAGTCGTTGGCTCCGACGCAGTCTCTGTTAAACACTGCTCTCGTATGTCCTGAGCCGACATATTGATATGCATTGCTGTAGTCGATTTAGCATCTGAAGTTGAAGAAAATTTTGTGTGCGGGGCATCAACAAGGCACCACAATATTGCGTCCAGTATTAATTCAGTAGGCGTTACAGCTTGGTCATGATGGGGCACAATATTGAACTTGTCCCCTCATCAGCCATTCATCATTGGTGCTTACAGCTGCTAGTTGTTTCCTCGAATGCTCGCATGGCGTCTCACCTCATTCTGTGAATGCAGGGAAAAGAAGGGACCTCGATCTAGTTGTTAGCTAGCCTGCCAGCATCTGAATAAGATATTCTATTTGCTATGGAACTTGCCTTCTTAACCTTTGCGTAGGTACTCAGGGAGACAAACTGCTTCCGTCATTCAACAAAGGCATGTTAAATCAAGGGCAAAATCACCAAAGCTGCATACCTGGCTTCTCACAATCTTTTCATGGTTTCCTGTAGTAAGCCACCGAGACCATTGAAGGAGGGCCAAGATATGCAAGTTTGGAGAGGACTTAAAGTTCCACCACCCATTCTTGTCTCCCCCGGGATTGGAGCAAGACAACAGCCACTGTCATTAGCTTGATACCCTTAGTACTGACGAATTGTTTTAACCCGAGACAAGGAGGACGACCCGCAGGTAGCTGGTCTTAAGGCACAACTTTGGGGGCGGTTAGCTACCTCACGTTTCAATGTCCATTCAATTCTCGCCATTCAACTACCGCTCAACTCATCTCGATGCCAAACTCGGAACGGTAAAGAACTAACAATCGCGTAGCAGCAGGCTTTGATTCCATACAAAGAATACAAATAACCATAGACAAAAGCAATATGGGAACCTAAATCCTCAATTGCTCTGTTTTCTCGGTGGCCGAAGCTCTTTCATAATTCCGTCCAATGCCAGGGGCCAACCTTGTAACAAGTTGGGATTGTCCATGTCCTCGACGATCCGGGCCAGTTACCTCTCATCCGCGTCACGACAGAATACCCTTAACTAAAAATCGCCCTAAATGTTGTACAACTCATTCGACCAGCACTGGTTGGAAGAATGCCTGTCTTTATTGAGTTAAGTCCCGGGACAGCGCATAGCTCGTCAGTCGATACGAACACCTGCGGACTTCTCTTGTTTTGCTATTACGGAGTACGTGTCCGCCGTATTCGAAATGATCGCTTGTCAAGATGTAAATTACAATGGCCAGGTTCATGCAAAAGTGGCATACAGATTTGAGTTGTTCTTCCATTGGACATCATTTCATCATAACATAATACTGTTCTCTGTTCACAGTTGACCATTGTTCGTGATTCATGACATGGATTCTGATACAAATCGGCGGAAACTTGCAAACACTGCTTGATAACCTACATCGTCGGTTATGAATATATGACGGGACATCTCAACATTCTCCAGGCCCGTTCAGCTGCCACATCACTATTCCGTGTGATACGATGTCGTAATCCCTGTAAGTTGCTTGAACCGAGGCCACACCACTATGCCTCAAGAGGACGGAGTGTGCCATCTCCAGTCAGTACCTGCAGTAGCTGACAATGAGGAGAAACGTTGTATCAACCTGCAGCAAGCTCGGTAGCATTTGACGTGATGGCTCACTTGTTATAATATATCTACTGTGTGGGTGGACGTGATGCAACATTTGAACGGTGTGGGCGCATTGCAACAGTGCAAAATGTCTCAACATGGTTTAAAAAGGTTCCGTGGTTGGTGAATCGTAAGCTCACCGGAAAATAAGCAGCACGTTGACTCGGACACTAATAAGATCAACTCTTATGGTTATGTTTCCCAGGTTCAGACCGTGTGATATATCATAGTGGGATTGAAGTGCCGTAGATGGGCAGGCGGGATGACATTAGTTTTCCAAGAGCTTCTTGAACTGCCGGGAGCAGCCTCAATACATCGAAGTTCTGCTAATAGACTACCACATGCTTTATGCTTGTTGTCGTTTAACTTGGATGCTCTCTCCTGGATACAAATACACATGAAAAAGGTTATGCGTAAGGTAGTATAGGGAGCCTCAGGCCAAGGATTGTAGTAGTTGACTAAACGAAGGTGTCATGAACCCGGAATTCAGAGAAGCTGGTAGCTTTTTGAGATCTGGGTCTAAGGTGTCTGTATGGCTGAATTCGAAAAAGTAGATTCTTAATGACCATCGAGGTAATGGCTTTGAAAGCCATCTATCTATTTGACAGGCCAGTGAACCATGCCGAACTTTAAACATCCAGGCAGTAGTGAAGCTTGAGGTCCACAAGTCTGAGAAAAAAAAACTTACACAGCTCAAACTTCTCACAATTGTTTCAATCTGTTGGTTAAAGTGTTTGATAAAGTTGAAGATAATCACCATCACATGATCACCATACAACCACGACCCCACTTCCCCTTTACAGCTTCGCCTTCTTAAAAAGGACTGGTGCCCGCTGCCTCGGACAAGCTTCGCGTAAATTCTAGGTGTCTCCGTTGGTATAATCCCTGCAGCAAGGAAAGGTGGCCTACTGTACTTCGTGGGGAGAGGTCGCGGTCTGGAGAAACTTCCACCTCACCCTCAACTTTGTCCACGACAAATACATCCTCAAACCTCAATCATCTTCTCTGAGTCCGTCGTCTTTTCGGTCTACGGTCTCTAGCACAGCTCTGGTTCTCCCTTCTGGTTACCGGTTTTCATCGTCTGCTGTCTCTTGCACAATGTTCTAGAGACAAGACTCGCTAATACATCTGGTCATCCCTCCTCTATCGAACCTCACAATTTTTCAATACTTTTACCTGGCCGCAAGCTTCATTGCTCTCGTAGCCAATTGAACTCAGTGAGTACTTGCCACGCAGAGTTCCTGCATAACACTCCCATTGCGATTCGGGTTGACCCCTTTCTGACATAAAACATCAGTTCATCTGCCATCAATACCGACTCTAGCTAGCTTCACCATTCGAAACAACAAACCACGCTTGCAATGGCTTCCGAAGCTCCCGCCAACGAGCTCTCCGCTGCTCAGAAGCTCATGCAGAAGCACGCAGAGGCTCCCCATCATGTCACTGTCGAGGATGCACCTGATGAGGACCTTCCCATCCGTTCTCCTGCCGAGGCCTCTAGCTCCGCCGAAGCCCAGGCTCCAGCTCCCAAAGTAGCTCCCAAGCAGACCGCTTCCAAGACTCTCGATACTCAGTCGCATGAGTTGTTCCCTGAGCTCGGTGCCCCCAAAGGCAAGGCTGCCAATGTGGCGCCCATCTGGGGAGCTAAGACCTCGAACGGGGCCGCCTCCAACGGTGGCTCTCGTTCGTCTACTCCCGCCTCTGGTGCTGCTACCCCTAACAAGCCATCTATGTTCATTCCTGGCCGCAATGTCGAGTCCGTCACCTTGGATCCCCAGTACATCATGTCTCGTAGTCAGCTAAAGAGGCCTATCCCTGATATCATCAAGGATCTTAACCGCAAGTCTCGTGCCACCCTCTCGATGGCCACCTCCTCCAACGGCCGCTACAGGTTTGATGCTACTGGTCCTCAAGATGTCGCTCAACAGGCGCTCAAGGATTTGGTTGGTCAGATTGGTACTCGAGTAAGTGTTTGTGTCTCCAATTCGCGAGCTAGACTGATATTTGCTAGGCTGCTATCAAAGTTCCGATTCCACAGTCAGCCCGCGCCCACATCATCGGTAAGGGAGGTTCCATGATCAAGGCTCTCCAGGAGAAGACAGGTGCCAAGATTCAACTCCCCAAAGTCGACGAGAGTAACCCTATCGATGAGGAGGATGACGATGCCACCATTGATGTGACTGTCGAGGGTAATGCCCTCTCTGCCGCCTCTGCTCGAGATGCGATCCTCAAGATTGCTGATGAGCGATCTGCCAATGTCCAGACTAAGGTTCGGGGCATTCCTGCTGCCTTCTATCCCTTTATTGCTGGTCAAGATAATGCATTGGCTCAAGCTCTTGAACAAGACAATGGTGTACAGGTCCGCATCCCTCCCCTGCAGGCATACTCTACAGGGCCAGCTGCTGTTATTGCCAACCCTGGTGAACGGCCTATCTTCGCCCCTGCTGGCAACGATGATAATCACATCCAGCTTGCTGGTGACCGCGCCGCCGTGCAAAAGGCTCGTGCCGAGATTGAGCGCCGAGTTGCCGAGCTCCACAAGCAACTTGCTGCTGAGCAGCTCTCTATCCAGCGTGGCCGCCACCAATTCATCGTGGGTGACCGAGGTGTTCCTGCTGAGCAATTCTTTGCTGATACTGGCTGCTCCATTCTTCTTCCCACTGAAGAGGATGATGATGTTATCACTGTCATTGGACCCGCTGATGAGGTTGCTTCTGGTCTGGAGAAGGCCATGGATCTGGCCATGGGCATGCAAATGTCTAACTTGGATATTGCTCGATTCCACCGCAACGCCCCTGGCGGCGCTGCTGCACATGCCGGCAACGTGACTCGATACCTCCGTCAACGCAAGGAAATCGAGCGCCTGGAAACTTTCTACAACACTCACATCAACACTCCTTTCTCAGAAGGCGGTGCACTTCCTTGGGAACTCTACTCGCGTGAGGGTAAGAATGCCATCCGTGCTCAGTCCGAGATTACTGGCATCGTCAATGCTCAGCCTCCCTCTCGCATGAGCGCTATTCCCATTGATCCTTTCTTCCACCAACATCTTCGCAACAACATTTCTCGTCAAGTGAAGAAGGACTACGGTGTTCAGGTTGTTGTCCCTGAGGCTTCAGAGGGCAATGTTCCTGTACTCCTGGTTTTTGAGGGTCCTGATCCCGCCGATGGTCCTTATCAGCTGCCTAGCACTAAGCCAACTGATGCTGAGATCCGTGCCTTTAAGAAGGGGCTCGAGGATGCCCAGAAGCACATTATTGACCTGATCAACAAGCAGGAAGCTATTACTACTGCTACCCTTGATGTACCTGCCAAATACCATGAAAGACTCAGACGATTCATCAAGAAGGAGCAGGAATCTCGCAAGTCGGATCAGATTCCTGTCCGGGTCACCAAGGTCGGAACCAACATTACTCTTCGAGGACCTGCGTCTGCTGTTGAGTCTCTTGCTGCCAAGGCCAATGCTTTCGTGGAGCAAGAGAAGGAGGACGAGAAGGAGCGAGGATTCACTTTGTCTTTCGATTTCCCCCAGAAGTTTGCTAATCACCTAATTGGTAAGGGTGGTAGCAACATTCGCGAGCTTCGAGACCGTTTCGATGTTGAGATTCAAGTCCAAGATGGCAAGGTTGAGCTCAAGGGACCTAAGGCCAAGGCTGAGACCGCTCGTTCTCACATCCAGAGTCTCGCTCGTACACTGGCTGATGAGACAAGTCACACCCTGAAGATTGACCCCAAGTATCATAGGGAGTTGATTGGGGCTCAGGGAAGTCAGATCAACCGGCTGCAGACTCGTTATAAGGTCCACATTTTCTTCCCTCGATCTGCTAAGTCTGCAGATGACGAGCAGTCGAATGCCGATGCCGAAGAGGGTGCCAAACCTCGTCGACAGCAGGCTCCTGATGAGGTCATCATCCGAGGTCCCAAGAAGGGTGCCGACGAAGCTCGGGATGAGATCTTTTCTCTTCACAAGTATCTTGAAGAGCATTCGGCCACCGCTACCGTTGCCGTGCAGCAGAAGCAAGTCGGATCTCTGATCGGACAGGGTGGTTCCGCTCTTGACGAGCTTCGCCAGGCTACTGGTGCTCGCATTGATGTACCCCAGGACCGAGACACTGACATCGTCGAGATTCAGATCAAGGGTACTGCGTCCCAGGTCGCCAAGGCCAAGAAGGTTCTTGAGGAAAAGCGAGCTGTTTTCGACGATACTGTAGTCCGAACTCTCGACGTTGATAAGAAGTACCACAAGGCTCTCATTGGAGCTGGCGGTAAGTTTATATCTTGTACATCTATTTCCACATTAACTAACTCTTATAGGCTCCAACCTTCGCGACATTGTTGTCAAGGCCGGCGGCTCTGACGACCGACGAGAGCTTGCCCGCACCATTCAGTTCCCCAAGCAGGAGGCCGATGGAAATACTATCAAGATCGAGGGTCGCACTGATGTTGTGAACAAGATCGTTGAGCGTATTCAGGAGATTGTGGGTGAGCGTGAGAGCCAGGTTACTGAAATTGTGGATGTTCCGATTGAGAACCATCGTTCACTTATTGGTCGTGGTGGTGATACAAAGCGCCAGCTCGAGTCTAAGTTCACTGTCTCTATCGACGTTCCCCGCCAAGGTGATGGCAAGACTGGTGTCAAGTTGACCGGCCGCCCTGAGAACGTGGCCAAGGCTAAGGAGCATATTCAAGGACTTGTTCAACAGCAGCAGGGTGAGACCATCCAAGTGCCTCGCAACCTTCACCACTCCATTTCCAACGGTGGCCAGTTCTTCCGCCAGCTTCGCAACAACTACTCGGTCACTGTTGACCATGCTGGTCAACCTCTGCCTGCTAAGCCTGACTCTTCTGCTCGCTCTAACGTCGGAGCACTCCCTCTGATCACCGATGACGACGATGCCACATCTGAGGCACACTCGTGGAAGGTTGTCCAGATTGATGCTGGTGACGATAGTGATTTCCCTTGGGTTCTGCGTGGTTCATCTGAGAACGTAGAGAAGGCCAAGGATGCCATTGCCAAGGCTCTTGAGCAGGCTAAGAAGAATGATGCTACAGGCTATCTGGTTCTCCCAGACCCTCGAACCTACCGACATGTTATTGGTCCCAACGGCTCCAAGGTCAACTCGATCAGAAAGGAAAGCAATTGCAAGATCCAGGTCCCTCGTGACCAGGCGAAGGACGAAGCCATTGAGATTATTGGAACCAAGGACGGAGTTGAGCTGGCTAAGAATCTAATTCTTGAGGCTGTGCGAGAGGGCAGCAACAAGACCCGGGAGTAATGATTGGGTTGATTTAGCCATACCTCAACAAATTGCAATGGTATATGGAGTATTCATGGAGAGAATGGATATCCGCTGGGAAAAAGCATAGTTACCAATTTAATAAGAATCAAGAATAATGATGAGATGCCTTAACCTTTCTCACCTACCTTCCTTCCTTAATGTTGGACGCATTGTGAGGATGTACTCTTATTCGTGTTCGGTGGAAATTAGACTATCACGTGAACGCCATGGTGCACCCAACCCAAGGGTACCACAACTAACATCTTAAAGCCTACACACCGCCCTCAAACTTCATATCGCATTGTGTTGCTGCTCGCAGGACTGAATTTGCCCACCGCGAATGTCACATCCCAAGAATTGAGGTGTACTCTACCTAGATGGGTTCACAATTGTCGCCCGCAACAGCTCCCTGGGATGGGGTCTCAGGCCAGGAGCAACTTTTTGTTCTGATCACAGGTGCCAATAGGTTTGCTCGATTACTCTAATAAACACGGAGCAACAGCTAATAGAACTCTAGTGGTATCGGTCTCAGTATTGGAGAACGACTAATCGACGAATTCCTCGCTACACGATCTTTGCGCTCCCACCTCATCCTCATCCCCACCACACGATCCAAGTCCAAGTCCCTACAAACGATCAAAACCCTTCGTGACTACGCCAGAAAAGCCGCGCAATCTTCTACAGCACTGCGTTCTCGAATCGGGAGTTCATATCGCTGGGAAGACACCGTTGCGCGAATCCATATTCTGAGCTTGCAGCTTGACCTGTGTGACTTGCGCGGGGTGTATTCTTTCGCAAATGCTTTGTTACGAGGCCCGGTGAGCAATCCTGAGGGGCTAGAGGGCGAGTATCTACGAGATGTGCGTATTCACAGGCTGGATACTGTTGTATTCAATGCTGCATATGGTGGGTGGTCAGGGGTCAATTATCCGAAAGCTGTATGGACTATCTTGACCCAGGGGTTGGTGCAGTCTGTTACTTGGCCAAACTTTAAGATGGCCCTCCCTACTGCTCTTTTGTACGAAAAGCCCAACTACAACTATGTGAGTCAGAATCTGCGTATCTCAAGGATTTCACCAATTGACTGAATGCAGCCTAAGGAACCTTTACTCGGCGAGGTTTTTACAGCCTGTGTTTTTGGTCATTACATATTGGCCCATGAACTCCTCCCACTACTTAGTCGGCGATCCGAAACCGAAACACCAGGCCGTCTTGTCTGGTCCAGCAGCCTTGAGGCCATCGATAGTGTTCTAGATATGTCCGACTTCCAGTGCTTCAATGGCAAAGGCCCGTACGAATCCGCCAAACGAGTCACCGACATCCTCTCCCTTACTGCAACTCTTCCAGCCGCTATGCCATCTTCCAGCCGCTTCTTCACTCCCGACGACCCCACTGAGGCCCGCGATAAACCCATTCGACCGCGCATGTATCTCACCCATCCGGGAATTGTTGCCAGCACCCTGTTCCCAGTTCCCTGGTTTCTCATGTGGGCATATGAACTTGCTCTTCTGATCAGTCGCTGGATTGGTTCGCCCTGGCACAACACGGACAGCTATACTGGTGCCAAATCCCCTGTTTGGATTGCGCTCCAAGAGCAATCTGCGCTTGATGAATTAGGTGCCGAGCGCATCAAGTGGGGGAGCAGCTCGAATCGTCACATGCAGGTCGAAGTCAAGAAGACAGAAGTCGAAGGCTGGGGTTGGGAGGGCAAAGTCGAAGATGCGGCAACGCTCGAGGCTGACACCGCTGTTGGTGTTTTCAAGAAGGCAATCGGGCGAAAGAGAGGCGCTAAAGACGTGACCAAGGAAGATATCGTGAGATTCGAGGAACTGGGCGCCGAATGCTGGAAAAAGATGGAGAACATGCGATACGAGTGGGAAACCATTCTTGGGGTTAAAAAGGCGTCGAGTACAAGATCTCATCATGGGTAAAAGATCCAATTGGCGTTTAACTAAGGAAGGAAATGGGCATATTGCGACAACGACAGGCATAGATAATCGTCAACAGACAACAGTAATATTAGTAGCTCCCAAAGTCATAGCTTGGGATGCCATACGCCAGGTCCCTGTCGCATTCAGTTTGAAATCCAATCATGCGTTAGTCGTTACAGTCGTGTCCGACCGGTTTTGTTCATCTGAGCGAACACGTCGAAGCATCGTCTTTTCTGCCCGACCAAAAAGCCCCAAGCACAAAGGGAGGGGCACTACGGCAAGAGCCACAACTGCTTGGAAGATTAGGGCATTCTTCATGTTCTTCGGAGGGTTCGCATCTTTATCTGCCACGAGCGCATCGCTGATAATGATGAAGATAGCGCCAAAGAGCTGGCCACCAGCCCACGCCAGGGTTGAAGTGATTTCGGGACTGAGTGGGTGGCTGAGTTCGATGAGAAATTCGAGTGCGATAGGAACCAACGAAAAGGAGGAGGCGCCCAGAATGGCGAGGACAACGTAGGGACCAGCAATATTCCTCGTCTCAGGCATCCAAATAAAGATCAGGTAACTGACACCAACGAGTGGGACCAGAATCTTGAGAGTTAGGAGAAAACTCTTTGTGCGATCGATAATGGGTGACGAGATAGCGGAGGCGATGAGACCAACAACGATAAGCACGGCACCGCCGATACCAGCTTCATCGTCAGAAAAGCCATAGGGCGAGAAGATCTGATTGAGAAGTGAAGAGATCGAGTTGAAGAAACCGACGTATATGGAGAAGGGAACAAGGATTAGCCAGATCTCGAGAGAACGACTCAAAACCCCAAAGGATTCACGAAGACTGAGTTTAGGGGTCTCAGCTGCTGGACCAACAGGCGAGGGAGGTTTGGCTGGAACGGCGAACGCAGGCACGGCACAAACCGTTGACTAGAACCGTTAGCTGTGGAAAGTCAGAAATTGGAAGGGCACTTACGATGATGGAGATGTAGAGAACCATATTTGACACATCGCCGGATTTTTTTACCATGAGTGGTGTAATCAGTTGTCCAAATGCTGCACCGAACGGATTGGCTAGACTTGTCAGAGCTGTTGCGGCGACACGTCCACGGTTTGTGAACCACAAATCCGAGTATCGAGTTGGTGCTGCAAGAATAAAAGGCTGGGCAAATCCAATGATAATCTCCCCGGCCATCGCATAGGCGATACTTCCACCACTGGCTTTGGTAGAACCAGCGTATCGAATCCAATTGCCAATGAGGATGAGAACGGCGGCTGTCATGAAGGCCAGCTTCGGACCCCGGTGAAGGATGGCAATGCTGATGGGAAAGACAGCCACAAATGCAAGGAAGAATGCAGTGCTGATCCAGTTGATGGTAGATTCGCGTACATCATAGTACTCGGCAGCCTGTGATGCTACTGGCGCAAAGGTCATCCACTATCGTTCTTCTGTCAGCATATGCATCTCATTCGGCTGGTTGGTTGGGAACTCTAAACTTACATCCCACGACACAATGATATTCATCAGCGTAAGCTGAGCAAGACCAAGCCAACGTCGTTTGTAGGTGCGATACTCTGTCGAAACTCCTTGGCGAATGCTACCGTCCTCGGCCTCGACATCTCCTTCGCCCTCACCTGTTGCTCTGCGCTCTTGAAGAGTAAAGTCCCTTGAGCCGAGCTTCTGTTTGCGCCAGAAGCGGCCACCAACACCGTCGCTACTCATGATGCTAAATAAACCAGGGAGTTGTCGTGATCACTTGGGTTCTTGCGTATGTGATTCCTATTAAGACCTGAGGATGGAGTTGAGAGGTTGAATTGGGGGAAATGCGTTTCGTTCGATTTGCGACGTTGAAATGATGATGCGTGACAGGGACAGGGATACACCGAGCAATGGCAGTGTCAGTCGGTGCCAGTGTCAGTGTCGGTTTCAAGCAGAGGTCCAGCGAACGAGGACGTCCTCATGCACTGTCTGACTATGGTGGCAGATGCATGCAAGAAAGAGGAGAGTATGATTCAAAGATACCGAGGAAAAAAGGAGTTCGGACGGAGAATTGATAACACCCCCAGTGATGGTGTTTATCACCTCACTTGATTCAAAGTCGCCTCACTGTAATGTCGCTCTCCTCTGATCGAGTCCTTGGATTGTTGGTTCAACCTTGAACTTATTACTCGACGTTTACTGGGATCCTCGCTTCGGCTGGACTTTAGGGGTACTTTGATTGATGGGTCGATCGCGGATTGTGGGAGTGTTTCAGCTTGGCGATCCTAGCGGGCTTATAGATGCATTGTAGTTGTTGAGCAATTGGGTGACAAGTGGTGGACGAGCAATGAATAAATAAAGATCTTATTTGATCTGGAAGAGGGGGGGATGGGTTAATTGAATCTTATCTATCTTGGAAGGAGGACACTGAACCCAACTGCCATTGCCGTCAACCGGAATCTTGCCATCCACAAGAGGAAGTCCGTGTGGCACCTTTGCCATCACCTGCCTACCTTACCTGCACCTTCACAGACATCTGCATCGAGTACAGCACACGACGCTAACGGTAACGGCTTAACGTTAGGCCTTCTGATAGGCCACTACAGGCACTACAATCCAGGATCAGAAACGCCCTTGCTGCAACATCCATCTCAAACTTCAACCAACCGAGCGTAGATTATTTACTAACTTGATATAGCACTGGCCGGCACCACCTTAACTCGTGTTGTTGATCTATCTGTAAAGAGGCAATATCTCCTTTTAGTGTTCATATCTAGAGACTATTGATGCTAGTCTTGTATGAGATAGAAGCATTGACGTTCATAGCGCGCTTTCTGTTGTCTTGCGAAATCCAGACAATGTGCAAATTTGTGTATTTGTATTCAACTTCGTCGTATCGCCCTCGAAACTAGTATCCAAGCAAGGAATCTGAAAGCGAGGGTAAATAGGATCCAAGATTCAGGATCAGGTAAAGTTCCAATGCAACCACAGCATGCACCATACCTAACCAAGCCAACCGAACGTTATTACTTTTTAACCGAGCTCTGTATGTCTGCGGCGTTGCTACAAGGTATCAGTATTGGCTTCTCAAGATCTTAATGAAAGTCAATCGAGGAGAAGTAGAAGTTTACATTAGAGATCCTGAGGTTTTGGTATGTTCTTCTGACCTTCTTCATTAACCCTAAACATCAGAAGATTGATAACGGCCGTTGATGGTATTTTGAAGTTTCCATGATTTACGACTTTAACAAATGGTCTGATTGATATTGAGAAGGTTTCTACTTATTGTCTACGCATAAATTTAAAACAACTTTCTCATAGACCACTAAACGCTGCGGGGTTTCCAATACTTCTAACTTTGTTCCAAGACCCTTGTTCCCTACAACACTCAAATCGATGAGCCAAAATGTGCCACTCAGATTGTGCCGTGTTCCGATATCCCACCAATCTATTCTTTTTCGTTTTGATCGCACCGAGGTGTCACATGAACTACTTAGCAAAGAAAGAAATAGACAGGGGCGATAGAAGGTTTGCCATCTCAAGATATCCATGCATTATCTAAATAATCAGTAGTCTTTACCCCAGCGAGAGAAACAAATCGGATACTATTTATAGTTAGCACCGCTCTGTGTTTAGATAACATTCATAAAGTCGGTAGTGATCCCTATCTTGTGCTTTCTTTGAAAGATTTGGGGTTTATGCCAACGAGAATATTATAAAGTTACTCACGACAGGAACACGCGCTTGCATATTCACTACAATGGTTTCCGATATATCAGGGTTGATTTGGCTGGACAGATCTTTGATGCCCCTCACCAGACTGGACAATGGCCAGCAGTTAAGCCAAATGAAGTGACAAACTAGTCCATCTTGGTTGCCAAATCAGCTGCGGTGCGACGTCGACCTCGATATATCACAATCGGCTCTAGCAGTTGGGCATGCACAATCCTTGTTGAGTCAAGTAAGGCGCAAAAGTCAATCAATGGTCTAGGTATAGTGTGCAAGAAATCTATTCAGGCGTTTGAGCGTATGGTACAGAAAGCCGCTATCAGATAAATCTCTGGACGACTTGACACCCAACTGACGAGCAATCGTACAAGGAGATAGCCCTCATTAGAGAGCAGGCTTGCTTCGTTCCGGCTCTAGGCATCTTTTCGACGTATATGTAGCCATTCCGTCGTGGTGGGAACCGATAACCCAGTGATATTGATACTTTATTTGAGCTGAGTCCAGAGCTTGGGAGCGGCGCAGGCGGTCGCACAGTGGGCAAGGTGGAAGACTAGATGTCAGTTAGCAACTGGTGTAGTAGGTGGGATGCTCGGAGTCCTCGGGGCCCATGACGCAGTTGGGGCTGGTAGACGTACATTCCTCGACGCAGTCCTCCTTGGCGCCACCCTCGCTCTCCTGCTGTTGAACGCGCTCGACGCACTCATCGAAGTGGTGCTTGGCGGGGGCACATTGGGGAGAGTTCTTGCACTCTGTTGATGCGTTAGTATGTAATGCGGGTTATATCGCGCCCGGGTGTGAAGCGATTGTGAAATCACTCATGACGTTCTGGACCGAATATTGGCGCAAGGAATCGACGAACCTTCCTCGAGTGTCTCCTTGGGGTCGACGAGCTCCTCCTCGTCATCCTCGTCCTCGTCCTCCTCGTCCTCGTCCTCAGCCTCTTCCTCGGGCTCGTCCTTGGACTCGGTCTTTGACTCGGTCTCCTCCTGTTCCGTGTCAGTACTTGGTCATCCATTTACAAAAGGTCTTAGATGCGCTCTCGACGAAGTCCCGTTGTAATCAATCAATGACAGGGCCGATGACACATAATGCCTTGCTGGAAAAAAATCCCGTACCTGGGGCTCCTCAGCAGGGGCCTCGGCCTCAACAACGCTCCATGGCGTCACAGCCTCGACAATATCGGTGAAGGCGTCCCAGATACCCATTGCGACAGGCGGAAGAATTCACAATGGCGAGTGGTGGTTTCGATTGAGGTGTCGTTCGTCGATTCGTCGTTCCTAATCGTAAGAGGTCGGAAGCTCTCGGCCAGCGAAATGAAAACTGATCCGGAATTGAGGCATTTTGATTGGCTGCACAGAGCCGGCTTTGTCATTCAAGATCACGTGATATCTTCCTGATCCAAGCGCCTTCCAGTCTCCCGAACGGATCTATCCGGCCTTCAGCCGCAAAACCTGTATAATGTGGTTGAAGTTGAAGATTTCTACAGATTCTCGAATATTCACTGAAAAGTTGTCACGTTCTAATATCGAATCCAGAAGCGTCTGGAAAGGTAATATTTCGCAATATCATAATTCTAGCAGATCCCTTGAATATGAAAATCCGGGGGAAAAAAGCAAGAGATAGTATAATGAGTTCATGAATGCAGTGCTCAAATCTTGGTATATGTAACACAACCACAGCCACTGGTGTGGTCCAACGCGGCCGTTAATCATCATTTTCGTATGCTCCCCTATCAATTTCGCCCCGAATGTGGTCCTCCAATCGAATATTCAACTGCTGCGCCTGAGCCTCGTCATAATCTGGTGGCGGTTCATCTGGTGCCCTCCGACTGGCAGCGCTCTCTGAGCGATTAGGGCGCACATCTGTCGAACTCGTTGCAGGTGCTGGCTGGGCGGAAGGGGCTTCATATGCTGGAAGAGGTTCATCAGGGACATCAGCACCGGGGCCCATCTCCCGGCGCATCTCTTGATACTGGTAAAGTCGCTCCCGCAGCCTTATATAGGCTTCGTTGAAATCCATCATGCCTCCATCTGAGAACGTGAACTTGACCTCAAGACGAGGGATATCTGGAGGAATGCCACCACCGGATACAGGAATACAATCTGATTTCCACACCCATCCCCACCACATAGATGATGAAGTGGTGGAATCTTGAAACTTCAGGATTGGGGCACTGAAGGATTCAAACTTTGGTTCTTGTGTAGGTTTTAAAGGAAGATACACGATCTGAAGAGTCAGCAGAGTATCTCGAGATAGTTTTGTTATCAACTTACTCTCTTGTTGGTCAGGAAGAGGGTGCCTTTATCACTTTTCCGTTGAAACGAGGCACATCGTGCTCTCAGCTCCTGGGGCACAGACAGGTCGCATGAGATTCTCGATTCAAGCTTCATCAAGATGCGTTCATTGCCAAGCTTGACGAAGCCGCCCTGATTGAGCATAACCCAGCTATCGGCATTGTCAGGATCGACAGGCCGCGAAGGAGGACGGCTTGTAATAAGATAGTCATGAGGATTGTCCATTATAGGGCGGGGTCCATGACTCCATGGGCCGAAGGTGGCGGGGCAGTCAACGGACGGACTGAGCCGTGGCCGCCGTGACCGGAGGGTACGGGGCGGAGGAGACGGCAGAGGGAGACGGGAAGGTGACGGAGGCAAGAAACGGAAACGGGGGGAGGAACGGGAATGTGAAGGCAGGTATGGTATAGGCACAGGACAGGGAACCACGGGAGCGACAATCTCTGAAGACTGAGTGCAGGACTAAACCAGGGACCAAGAGGGTAAGGTTAAGGTTGACAAGACGGGACGGGAAGATGGAAAGCTCAGAGAAAGAGATTCAAGAAAGAGGTTCGCGAAAGAGGCTTACTTTATCGACATTGTCTCGTACAGGGTTCAAGCGACCCTAGCTCGTGGGCAAATGGCTCCAGGCTCCGTACCGGCAGGTTCAGGACGTGCAGGCAACTTTAGTAGCTCCGAGATCTTGGAGCGGGTGGCTCTGGGCTGCGGCCGGGTTGGCCTTTGGCCTTGGGTCTTGGGGCCTGGTGGTGCTGTAGTGGGGGGTGGGTCGTTTTGGAGTCTGTTCCGTTTTGCGATCGAGCGAGCGAGCGGACGAGTGACGGGAACGAGCGACTTTGGCTAAGGCCTAAGGGTATCCGTAGAGGAGGAGAAGCCAAAGTTCCAAGCCAGCCGAGGATGATTGTCAGGGTCGTCGAATAGGATCAAGATGACCCGAGGCCAAGGGACAGTATCGACTAGGGGACGAGACAAGAGATGCTGCAGCGGTAGGAGATCCCAAGCTAAGGAAGCAAGCGACCAAGCCAAGCCAAGGAATGGATAAGGATAAGAGGCGAAGAAACAGAGACAGAGGAGGCACAGAACAGCCCGAACAAAAGCTTGACTGAACTGAGCTGAGCTGACCTGGCCTGACGCTGGCTGGCAGAGCAGTTCAGAGAGTGCAGAACAGAACGAACAGAACAGGTGGCTGGTGGCTGGAAGCGGTGCCGTAATGAGGTGGGGGAGGCGGCGATTTGATCGAATTTGCGGGCGATGGTAGATTTGATTTGTGGACGTTGGGTCAAGGTCACAGGAAGGAGAACGATGTGATTGATGTGTGATGCGTGATGGTGTGATATTGGAGGAAGAATGAACACCGATGGACAAAGCAAATAAGGCTAGTCCTGAAGTTGTGAGGTACTACAATAAGACAGACAGTTTCGGTGGTGGATGAGGTGTGAAGGAATTGCTAACCCAGGCCAAAGTTTAGTGGGTTAGTAAGTTAGGTTTGGAGATATGAAAGTTGGGCGCTGCGGATCGTTTTTTCTTGGGCCGAGCCGCGCGGATGATCTGGTCCAAGAACTGCCTGTTCACGTTAATAAGGTGAGCTGAGGTTACCTTGGAACTATCCTCTAGGTGGCATTCAGAGATGGTGATTGGCCAAACTGCATCGCAATGTATCGACTTCCATGTCCCATGGCTGGGTCTGTCAAGGTTGAAACAATCCACCACGTGCTTCTTATTGAACTGAAGCTTCCCTTGTTATATCAGAGCTGGCAATCACCAGAACAAACCACCAGTCTACCACTGCCCTGGGAAACATCCTGGCACGGTCTCTAACGTCCCGTCACAACCACCAAACGGCTTTTTCTGTAACCTGATGTTCCATCCAATTTTCTTTCCTTTCATGGACCCCTGACGTTGAGCTTCTTTAACCCCTGCTGGAAAGTTGTGTCCGCCACAACCCTGAACAAGTCAATTCTCAGGATCGTCTTCCCCTCCCATATCGTTGTCCTCCACTATCAGCTATCAGCCAAGATCTGGCAGCTCAAGTCGATCATCCGTTGTCTCCTCCCAGTGCCAAGCTAGGTTACAGGCAAACTTATACGCCATGTCTCGATTACAAACAGAGCATTTCATGCTTCTCACGTCTTCCTTGTACTACAGTCAAAATATAGATTTATAGGAAACAATTCCCTCCATGTGGGATGTCACAACGTCAGTTCCATCACCCGACATGCTTGCCCCGTTAGCGACTGCTAGGTAGCAGCAACTGGGACCCATCTCTGCCCGGCCCCAGAACAGCATCCACCAAGTCGACATCATCCCAGCCGTGTCAATCTAATGAGACGGCTGACGGTGATTGATGTGGAGGCGCATGGCTCCTCGCCGAATTCGACATGATTAAGTGTCCCGGCCACGAATCATGATGATGATGGAGAGGGGCATCAAGTGTTCCCCTCACACACCAGGTATAGCCATGATGGTATGCATCTTTTAGCTGCATTTCTCAGCAATTGGTGCACTCATTCGTGGTTGTTCTGGTTTATAGGGCAGGGATAATATGGTTGAAACCACTCATGAACCCCTCTTGTTGAAAATGTCAACACCAATTAACTGTCTAGATCTGCTTCGAAGATCTTATGTGGAGGACATGGCCAGCACATATACTCTTATTCATGCCAAAGAAAGGCTCAGCAGTGCGACCAACAAGGCTTCCGCCCCAATGAGTTCCTATTATCCGGTTCCGCTTCACAGACTATCCTACTAATGTACTAAGTCTACAAGCAGTCAACAACAGCTGATCTTAGCATAAAAAAGGGTCTCATTGCTCATGTGTCTCTTTTCCATTATCTGAACGAGCAGTTTGAGCCCAGTTGGGTAAAGCTCTCATCAACTTCAACCCAGCCCCAGCCATGAAGCACATGTCACGAGTTAAACGGACCCTTGGAGTGTCCGTGTGTCTGGGGTTGAGTTGATAGAACGGTTAATGGGTTGACACAGGCACTTAGTTAGCGTAGCATCTACTTTTGACAGCATCGAATCCATGTTGTAGCAGGAATGGATGTGTCCGCTTTAATGTTTGAAATTACGGCTTGTCACGTTAGGAAATTGCGAGCCGCTCTTTAAACGTCTTCAACCAGTTGCTATCGATGATGATTGTTCTTGCACCTTCGGAATTTCCGTTGATGTCTGGTGAACCCCACCCATCGCTCACCATAATGACTTGCTTCGTCCCAAAATCTACTCTGCAACACCAGCCTCTCTGAAACATAATCATGCCTCGCCATGACTCGTTGCCCGAAAGAAGCCGGTCGTCTATCGCGGCGATAAAGAATATGTAGGCCATGCTTGGACACCATCTTGATCTTGGCCCTTGCTCATAAGACACGTCACATTTCGGTACCCTGAGTCTCGTCACTGACTGATTGATACCAGGACGGGAACTGATAGTCACTTTTGCGTCATGTACCAACAAACGAAACAAACCTTCCTGCGAATAGTCTAGAAGAGGATCCGAAAGAGAGAAGAGTAAACAAGAAACGTGATGTCAGGGTTGCTCCGCTTGAGCTCCTAATCTATCTCTGTCGCTAGCTCACAGTTGCAGTCGCAAATAAAACGCCGGTTCCTCGTCAACTTTCAATTCCCGTCCAGGGCCAGATCCTTCGAGTTCAATGATTGGCCTCGGTCAAGCTCTCCCTGGCCATCCCCCACCTAGTTCGTGCATCCAAAGCATGTGCTGGTAATGCTTCTGATTGGACTGTACGTCCCGGTTGATGGGAGGCTCCGGAGTCATGGAGCTCCAAGTTCCACTACAACCTGAACTTCCTGCGATTACCGGCAAGTTCTAACCCGGGGCTATAACGCACCTACAACGTCAAAGAGGCTTTTAATCTTCGAAACTGCAACTACTTGATAGACCTTGCTCACCGACTCGCCGTATTCGCTAAATTTCTTGCCCTTGGACGCAATCAGCATGAGTTACCACGCCGAGGACTTGGTAAAGCTGCAGCAGTATTCCGCTTGTGATATCTCAGACGCACTCCTCAAGTTAAAGGTTCCCGGCGCCGGCTTTGTTGCCGATCTGAACCTATACAGCTCTCCTGAAGGTGATGCAACATCGGTTACGGTTGCGCCAGTTTCAACAGTTCTCTTCGCCTCCAAAGGACAGGATCTTCCAGATATACAAAAGAACATCCCTGAGGGAACCCATTGGGTCGATCTGACAGAAGCAGGAACCATTGTGGTTCTCAAGCAGCCCGATGGTCAAAAGAATGCCGTTTGTGGTGGGATTATGGCAGTTCGCATGAAAGTGTGCCAAGCCAAGGGCATCGTTGTAGCTGGGCGAGCCAGAGATATAGTGGAACTAAAGAGTACCTCCTTACCGGTGAGTGCTACTTACCCTGCTCTTTGAACAAGCTGAACTCGGAGGTACACAGATTTGGGCTCGAGGGTTGTCCACTGTCGGAGTCGGTGGAGGGAGCGTGCCCTGGGCGATCCAGGTACCTCTCGACATTGATGGAACCCTCGTCTCTCCTGGTGACCTTGCATTTAGCGATCCAATCAACGGGGTGGTGGTCATTCCTCAGAACAAGGTTTCTGAGGTCTTCAAATTGCTGCCCAAGCTGACAGCCGCTGATGACAAGGTTGAGGAAGATGTTCTCAAAGGCGCAACGGTTTTTGAGTCCTTCAAGCTTCATCGAAGTAATCTTTGAAGAAGCTCCGTCATAGGGGATGAAAAATGCAAGACTACTACATACGGCCAAAGTTTCCAAGAAAGTAAGGACACAACATACGGTGGCTGGCTGATCCTGAACGTCACATAAGCTGTACATCACGGGACCACGTGAGATCTACAAGGAGTTTGTATCAAGTAACCCGAAGCACGGATGGGTCAACAATGCAGTTTTTGTGTCATCAGTTCATTAACATGCCATCATCAAAGTAGGATCTCTACCATGACTTCCAAACAACCAACAATCAACCTTAGCTCCAGACCAACAAGGAAACACATGCAAGAAACAAATGCTAGCAGTTCAAGATTTGCCATTTCATCACAGCCACATGTCCTTCTCCTTACTCGGAGTGGATGGCTTATCCAACCCAAAATCGAGCTTCGGCATCTCAAGCTTTGGCGCCGCCTCGACCGGTTTCTTCTGACCACCTCCAGTTTTCTTAGGTGAAGCCCGAGCGTCAGGGGGCGGCCCGTATCGCACATCCTTGACATCCCAACCATCCTCGGCCGCCGCTCCGACCCATGTCCGAAGGCCATCATGCACACTTCCATAGAACTTCTCTTTACAGAGTCGTAGACTACCACCAAGGCATCGCTCCCATCCCGAAATTCGAAATTGTGCGCGAAGAGTGTTGCGTTCCTCTTGTGTCGGTGTGCAGGCCAAGATGGCGTTCATGAGGTCAAGATGAGAAGCCAGGTAGTTGGTCGCATCCCATTCAACTCCGCCCACATATGGTGCTGCCGGGACCGGGGGACGCTCTTGAGGGAAATGTCGAAGCATGTAACTGTACGGACCAGGGGCAGGGTCACACATCGAGGGGCGGTCCGAAGGAAGGGATACAACGTTGACGTTGTGAAGGAAGATCCAGAACACTTCTTTAGTGACGCTAACAACCTCCTTGTTCCAAACGCGGTATGGCCTTTCTTGTCTCATCTCCAGGACAAATGGCAATGGGCGCTGATCCTCCTTTGGCTCAGGGTCTCTGAGGTGTGCAAGAATGCTCTGGGCTCGTGTGACCCGTTCGGCTGGCGCAGCAGACTCAATATACGTGAACAAAACGGATGTTATGATGTTACGCGTGGTGAACTCGCTGGGTCCCTTCTTCTCTGGGTCGAAGAGCATATGTAGGAGCTTGGGAAATAGATCGCTCTGGATCGTGTGAAGATATTGCATGGCGCGAGCTGTCGTCGACAGTGCCTTTAGGCACAGAAGATTCTCGTGAAGCAGTGCATCTTCATGTTCCTCCCTATCAATTGTCAGTCACGCCTGTTGAAACACATCTTGAATTTGACTTACCTCCATTCAACCTCCATGATGCGGTTGAGGAGACCGACAATCTCCTTCATGCCGCCTTGCTGGATGAAGTCTTCGATCCATGCCACTGTCTCGTTCCTGAGAAGCAGTCGCAGCTTGTGAACTTTGCCGACCTCAACAAGTTCTGGTTTTTGAACCTTTCTAAGATACGCCACGTAATCACCTGGACCTTGGTTGAGTTTAATCTTGGAGAGGATTCCAGAGTTAGAGACTGAGCCGCTTGACCCAGGAGGCCCTTCGCTGACTACGCTGTCAGTGGACTTGCTTCTGAAATGACGGCCCAATGTCCCGTCGCCCTTTGACTTTTTGATGGGAGAGCTTGGCTCCTTTGATTCCTTTCTTCCTCGCGAGAGGGTAAAACTCTTGCCCCGTGATCGCTTCTGTTTTTCCTCATTTTGCGTGCCGGTGTCCATGACCAAGCCGCTATTGGCGCTGTCTGTTGAGCAGGATCTCTCTGTCCGAGAAGCCTGTGATTCGGCCCAGTCCTGGCGGATAAACTCCATCTTGATTGTGTCGCTCAGGTTCCTCATCTTGTACCTCTGGTTCTCTGGAATGTTTCGTCGGTCCAGCATAGCTTCAAGGTGCTTGTCAATATCCTTAGGGTCAAGTACTGGCTCGGTCGGCTCAGGTACGACTGATGTCGACTTAGATCGACTGTGGTTGAATGTTGTAAAGACGCTCAAGACCTTACCTCGACCGCTCTTACTCTTAGCCTCAGTCGAGTCTTTTGATCCCTTTCGGGAATCGTTTGAAGAGCGTGCCTTGGTTGGTGAGGGGGGTGGTTCCATTCTTCCCAACATGGGATGATATGATTTTGGTCGCTCTTTGACGGCGACTCGACTGCCATTGTAGAGATCCTGAGCACTTGGTGCCCTTGCTTCGTCCATACTACGGCGTGTGCTTTGGGCTGGTTCGATGTTCGGTCGAGAGGCAAACTGAGAATAAATGGGTGTTGGTTCAGGGTCCGCTACAGGCTCTTCGGGAGTTCTGTTTTCCTTGTCCTTGGATGAATTGACATTGTCGTCGGATCCGAACCTGCCCAAGTTTCGCAGCGTCTTGGGCTTGAGCAGACCAGCAAGGTTAGTTGTTGACTTTGGGCGTTTCGGTTTGGTGGGAGAGGGATCGCGAGATTTCGAGCCCTTGGCTTCTTTGCCTGGTGCTGTTATGATGGTGAAGTTGCCAAAGCTACTCTTGGTCGGAGACTGTGATCGGCCCCGGTCCTGTCGCCGCGAGAAGCGTCCTGAAGACTCTTGTTGGTTGTATTGTAGCTCCGCCAAAGCCCCTGGGTTGGAGTAGTTCTCAAAGGCCATGATCTTGGGCTGTATAGGAGAGACAGGCCCGTCGAAAGGGGCCTGGAACGAATGGGTATCGGTGGAGGCTTGACGACGATGCATGAAGCCCTCGAGGATGGAGGACTTGGGCCGTGGTCTTCGACCGGCGTCGAAGCTATTTACGTCGTTTGTATTCATGATGTCGGTTACAATATCTGTGGTTATATGAGAGCTGATAAGTAGCTTTCGCCCAGGGCGTCACAGCGATGTCTGTAGAAATGAAGATGTAAAAAAAAACTGGCAATGAACAAAACTAAGTCTCGCGCCAACTGTTGAGAATAAGAAGCCAACTAAGACAGCGAATTGGGGCTACGCCATTGCAGAAAGAATAAAGTTAAGGTAAAGTTGAGAAGAGAAGCTGGAGCTGGAGCTGGAGCTAGCAAGAAAGTAGGTCGCTTAGGTAGCCAGAGCCAAGGCACGATTAGACAGGCCGTTGACTGTTTATTGGGAACCGGCCGTTGACCCGGAGACGGTGCCCTATCTTATCGCGCCAGTGATGGTGGACGATGCACGATGGCGTGGACTGCTCGGATGGCGAAAACGGTCGTACAAGACTATATTTGCTTGTAGTAATAATAACAATGATAGGTTTATTGTTTTCTTTCCTTTTTTTCCTGCTCCGCCGGCCGTTGAAGCTGGAAAGGCACTGAAGCTGTCCACTTACAACGTTGATCAGTGAAGTAGCAATTTCATTTGCTCAGGCTTTGCAGTCTGAAAGATATTCAATAAGTTCAATTAAATTTGAATCAGGATCAATGCTTGGGTCGCACTTCACTCAGATAGAGACTTTACTGACTACAGGCCCGCGGTGTGTTCTACTAAGGTACCACACTGATATCATGAGTACCATCGAGGCCAAGGAGTCGCCATGACTGCCCAAAACATCAGCCGGGGATATCCTTGTTTGTTGTTTAGCTTATATGAATCGCCGGGGCTATGTAGGCGGACCATAACATTTTTCTCGCGTTCGTATTAAAGCCATGGTCATTAGCAAGGATATGTCATCATGACCTCTTTCAATGGCTCCTCAATAGTATCGTTCAAGTTCAAGAGGAAATATTTGTTGACATAATATAATAATGGATAGTACGAGAAGAAGAAGGAAGTTAGTGGCTTTTTGCTGGGATCAACGTCGGGGAAGTCAATGCGGGGTATTCTAGATGCAATTGGGTCAGCTTAACTTGGAAGATATCATAGGTTCAACATACTACGAGAATAGTCAACAAACAGTTTAGTCAAATAAAATTTCTTTTGAACACCAACTGAGATCAATTGCGTCCCATGAAACACAGCAAGTTACATCAAGTACGATGAGAGCCATGCCATCATGAGTCTGGGATGTTGATACGATTCAGGTGTCATGATGAGCGTCTAAGAGATGATAGCATTTAAGGGTTTTCGCTAATCAGTAAATTTCAAGATGGCTCATATTAGTACTCCGTACACTTGCAGTATTATCGGTTCAATACCGAAATCATATCCGTCAACATCTGCCGCCGTAGACTACCGAAGCCGGCCCCGTCCCTGGACTTAGACCCACGGCTAACTACTAACCAACTGTAACTGTATTGAGCATGCATCATAGCTCAATTCCGCGGGGTCCTCCACTATGCCCTGTAGGATAAATGTTTAAGCCTGTCTCTCCCCTCCATCATCTATCATAACGACTCAATCTTTTTTTTACATGTGCTTTCTCCTCTAACAATAATCTCAGAATTGCTCCGTTGATCATTGAATTGTTCTTCTGTAGATTCTTATATGCGACCTACACTCGTCTCAAAGCTTAGAGCAACATCTATCGCGGCCAAAATGCCTGTTCATCATCTCATGGTTGGTACCTGGACTCCTCCAGGTGCTATCTTCACTTTTGCCTTCGACGATGAGGCTCTTACGCTTAAGCTCGTGAAAAGAACCGAGATTCCCAAGGACGAGCCAATCTCATGGATGACATTTAGTGTAAGCTCAGCTTCTCACTCTGCAAGACGTTGACTCACATTGCACTCCAGCATGATCGCAAAGCTATCTATGGCGCTGCCATGAAGAAGTGGTCCAGCTTCGCCGTCGAATCGCCAACTTCAATAACTCACCAAGTCTCTCACCCAATGGAGCACGATCGTAAGTCACTTATAACCAGCACATATACTGAAAACTAAACTCGACAGCCAATGCTTCTCTTGCCACCACAAACACCCGTGCCATCTTCCTTCTCGCAGCGAACAAGCCTCCTTATGCCGTCTACTGCAACCCTTTCTACGACCACGCTGGCCACGGCGCTGTCTTCACCACCGACTCTACCACAAAGGCTCTCAAGGAAAATGTCCAAAACTACCCTTACCAGCCTAATACCGGCATCCATGGAATGGTCTTTGACCCTGAGGAGGAGTACCTTTATTCTGCCGACCTCCGCGCTAACAAGCTTTGGACCCATCGCCGTCGCAGCAAAGACGATCCTTCTCTTGAGCTTGTTGGTTCTGTCGATTGTCCTGATGCTCGAGACCACCCTCGCTGGGTGGCTATGCATCCTACTGGAAACTACCTCTATGCACTTATGGAGAAGGGCAACCGAATCTGCGAGTACCTCATCGATCCCGCAACTCGTCTTCCCGTTTACACCCACAAGCACTACCCTCTGATTCCCCCAGGAATCCCCGATAGGTGGACACAGTACCGTGCCGATGTCTGCGTGCTTTCGTCGTCGGGCAAGTATCTCTTCGCCTCGTCCCGTGCCAACTCCTTCGACCTGACAGGCTATGTGGCGGCCTTTAAGCTCTCAGATACCGGTGCCATTGAGCGCCAGATCTGCCTGAATCCTACATCTACGAGTGGTGGGCACAGTAATGCGGTTGCTCCTTGCCCTTGGACAGATGAGTGGGTAGCAATCACGGATGATCAAGAAGGTTGGCTGGAGATTTACCGCTGGCAAGATGAGTTCCTCGCCCGTGTTGCAAGGGTTAGAACACCAGAACCTGGCTTCGGCATGAACGCCATCTGGTATGACTAATAGCATATAAGTTTGGATGAAAAGAAGAATAAATAGAGAATGAGGCAAAACTTGACGTCGAAGAGTATTATAGTTGCCATGGTTGGCTGCTGTCATCAATGCTGCTGGTGGTGTATTAAATCAACCCTGCCTGGTGTGCCCAACAGTAAAGGGCGCTGGTTTAGATGCGGCCACTCCTAAGAAACGATTCCACCAAGCCCTATTATCCACACCACTGAATATACCCCCCTAATGCCGACCATTTGTTTTGCGACCGCGGTCATCATTGTCGTCGTCAATAGCTTCTTCGTGCTCCTCAGCTAATAATGGTGTCCGTTCATGCCCCTGAGTCCGCGCCTGCGATTGTCCGTGAGTACTCGTGAACCCTATGTGGGATGCAGCGCGCGGTTGGGCAGGTCTTGAGCCATCGTTGGGGGGCGTATGGTTCGCACCGAGACCTTGTTTGATTTTGAAGAGGCTGCGGGTATTGCTGCGAGGGTTCGCAGCTCGGTTGGCAGGTCCAAGACGAAGTTGAGACCTCATTTCATCCAGACTAGCCTTCACAACAACTGGGGTGCCTTCTATGCCACCGTCAGAGGTTCGGCGCTTCATGTGAATGGCAGTCTTGGCAGAATTGTGGAATCCCCCTTCGTAATTGCTGTGGAAAGAGGCAGTCTCGACATTGGGAGGGTGTTCCTCCGAGTGTTCTTCAACGTCGACCAAAATAGAGTCTCCTGGGGCCTTCTTAGTGGCCATTGCAGCGGCAGCGGCAGCAGTTGCGTGAATTCGGCGGGCTCGGGGTGCGGGAGTAAGACGTCGGATAGCCTTGTGTACATCGACGTAGACATCGGATTCGTCAACAATTTCCCTGTCTGGTCAGTAATACTCATCATATGCGAGATCGTCTACTTACTCTCCAATCAATTCCTCAATCACATCTTCAAGAGTAACAACACCTAGGGCACCATGGTCTGAGCCGGGGAATTCCGATACCAGCACCATGTGCGATTTGCCCTCTTGAAAGAAGTTGATGATGTCCAGACAGCTGGTCTCAGGGCGTGTTTCGACAATTGCACCGAGAGGCACATCGCGGACCGGAATTCTATCTTCAGGGTCGTAGGTGATGAGCGTCTTGACCAAAAGCATGCCAACAAAGTCCAAGTGGTTTCCAGAGCGATAGATAGGGATTCGCGAGTATCCGGAAGAAAGAATATCATCCATGGTCTTTTCGTCGAGGATGTGGTCTTCGGCAAGCGTATAAACATCAGAGATGGGCGTCATAACTTCAGCAACGGGCTTGTCCTTCAAGTCCAAAACAGCTGTGATGATTGTAACCTCATCCTGGTTCAATCGCTCGGAAATCTCACCCAGAGACTTGTGGAGGGTGACGAGCGTCTTGAGTCCGCTCTTCTTGTACAAAGTGCCATGATCCTCGCCCAGAATCCAGTCGAGAAGCTTCGCGATAGGCCAAGAAACGGGAGCGGTAAGATACATGAGAAGAAGAACCGGGGTAGACATGTATCCGCCGATGGGAAGACCATATCGAACGCAGATGGACTGGGGAACAATTTCACCAAAAATAACTGCCATGATTAGCAAAGCCTACCAGAGATATCATCTCCCACATACCGATGAGAACAGTACTGCCAACGACAGCAGCAACACCTCCACCAAGAGTTCGGTCCAGCACAACGGGAAGTGACTCGTTGACAATGACGTTTGATAGCAGCAGTGTGACTAGAACCCAATGCTTTCCTCGTTTTAACAATTTCAACACACGTTTCGCATTCTTAGACTGCGATTCCGCGGGATCGCCCGATAAAACCTGAAGGTAAATACTGTCTTGTCCCATCAAACTGGGTAGGTCAGCATGCGTCGCGCATCGCCAAGAGGGAGGGGAACTTGCGCAATTGTCAATCCAGCAAAAGCACCACCAAGAAGAACCAGAACCATTGAAGCAACAGCGAGGACCCAGAGGCTGGAACCGCCCTCTTCGCCAGCGTCATGGTGGCCCTTGGTGTCGACTGGAAAGGCAGAGACAGCCGTTAAGCTTGCACCAAAGACTCGACCCATGCCAATGACAGCCGGACGTATTGAGCCCATATTGTATCGTGCAGCGTTCGCCATTGTGACGGGATGTGTATGTCGTATATCGTGTGTGTGGATATATGAGATATCTCGTCACCGCAAGGCGAAGCGGAAAGACCGCGAGTGTCGATTGTCGAAGGTCAGATTGAGTTGAACGCGTTCAAGGCAGGCCAAGGTAATCAATCTCCGACAGATAGGCACAAGCGATCTTGGCGAACCTTACACGATAATGACCGGAATGTGGCTGAGACAGGGGAGCTGAGGGTGAAGATCAAGCTTCAAGAAATGTCGTCGCTAAGGATGATAAGCTATTCGGACAATCGAAGTCTTTTTGCCTCGTTTCGTCTGTTCAAAATCCAACCTTTCGCACCAAAGGCGAGCTTTGATGAAGAACAAGAACGACGAGGCAAGAGAAGTGGGACGAAAGGGTTGGAATTAGCTACCTTATCCTTGGATGATATGGGTCATCTAACTCGCGAACATGATGACGCAGGGAACTGCCAGGGAGGGGAGAATAATTCTATTGGTCGAGGTGTCCACTAGACCAGGTCCCGATCCTGAATGCAGTCGACAAAATCCACTAAAATCTTGACGTTGCAGAAGCTAAAACAGTGCGCTACGATGCCCTTAGTTTCCCAGCTGAAGCCGGATGAAGTCATTGTCGAGACAATCATGTGTTAATCGTCGCACAATGAAGGTTTATTTTGTCTTTGTTTACTTCTATGTTGCCTAGATCTATCTGGCCGAGATATCGATAGGGCTTACACAACTGAATTTGCTTGAGCCAGCACTCCCATGGCCACAATTGCCACTCAGAGCATGCTGTAAGGTATCCTCGCTCTATGTGGCCAACCAGCACCATGATCACAACTTGAAATGTTCAGGTTCCCAGCGTCAATGGGTATTCCAAGTTGTTATAGAGGTAGTTAATGTGGTGCTGGGAAAGAGAATACACTTTTGGGGTAAAAATAAAAGATTTTGGGCTATTCTGATCATCTGTTGGCATCTTCTGGGACTTGACAGGCACAGCGAAATGAATAAGGACTTATACAGTTTTCTGGATCTCAGGGACATTGCCCAGGTGCACAATATTTGCATCAAGGACACCCTCAGAATTGTTCAAATCCCCCAAGACTTCACTACTCACAGGTCCGAGAACACCAAGAATCATCAATGCCTCATTACCCTTCGGGTCAGGCGGGGTATCGGCTCCCTTAGTAGCTTCGGGATCCAGACTGGCCACTTGCATGAACTTGATGTTAATCCCGTGCTTTCCGAGCACCATACCTACTCCTCCGATCTTGCCAGGCTCATCGTAGTTGTGCAGGATAATGAGCGTTCCCTCTGGTGTAAACACACCATTGAATCTGTCCAGCTTGGAGATGAAGACTCGTTCGTCACTCGCGTAGCCTTCAATTACCTGCTCACTACCACTGCTACCAGCCTGGTATGAACGCAGTGTCACCAGATTGGCATAAGTCGAGGGCGAATCGCCAGAACGAGTCTCGCTAATCACAATGCCCTTCTCTTTGGCAATGAGTGCTGCGTTGACCATGTTGATATGCGAGTCGCTGAACGTGGACACAAGACCTTTGACGAGAGCAGCAAACAGAGGCTTTGTGTTAGACATCCCGGCTAAGTCACCGTGGTAAATGAGCTCAAATCGACGACCCCCTATCATTCCTCCTCTACTGCGCACAAAGTGTTGCGTATAGAGACGACCCATCTTTTCGACAAGCTGCACCGACGGCTGCAGTTTGCGGTATTCTTCAGGCATGATGATAGGGGCATTGACGGCGCTGGTAGGAAGTCCACCTTGAAGAATCTCAAGGACCTGCTTACAGACATCCATTGAAACATTCTCCTGTGCCTCAACAGTCGAAGCTCCCAGATGAGGCGTCGCCACAACCTTTGGGTGTTGACTGAGCCGGGCTCCTGCCGAGTCTGCAGCCAGTGGCTCTGAAGACCAGACGTCGATACCCGCTCCTGCAATCCATCCCTCATCGAGTGCTTTGATCAAAGCCTCCTCGTTATACACACCACCGCGTGCAACATTAAGCACACGGGCTGTCTTCTTCATCTTTTTAAACTCTGCCTCGCCAACTAAGTCCAGCGTTGTAGCGAGCAAGGGCGTATGTATGGTCAGAAAGTCAACCACAGGAAGCAGGTCCTCCAACCCAGGAACCAGCTCAACGCCAGTTTGACGAGCCATATCGGTGCTCGCATAGGGGTCGACAGCCTTGACTGTCATTCCAAGCCCTATGGCCATGCGAGCGACATTCATCCCAACCTTGCCCAGTCCGATAATTCCGAGAGTCTTACGGCCAACTTCAACTCCGACGAGCTTGCTTCGCTCCCAACGGCCAGCCTTGACACTGCTGTCTGCCTGGCCCACATTACGGGCTGTTGAAAGGAGGAGTGCAATAGTGTGTTCTGCGGCAGCAAGGATGTTGCCTGAAGGAGAGTTCACAACCATAACACCTTGGGTGCTTGCGGCGGGAACATCGATATTGTCTACTCCAACGCCAGCCCGAGCAACAACCCTCAGCTTCCGTCCAGCTTGGACGACTTCGGCCGTAACTTGTGTCTCGGAGCGTATAATCAAGCCATGGTAGTTAGGGATCAAATTGATGAGCTCTGTGGGCGTTAACCCTTTACGGTTGTCAACGTCAAAGTGAGGGGTGAGTAAAGCCAGTCCATCTGGAGATACTTTTTCAGGTACGAGGATCTTAAGACGGTTTGAATGGCCAGCAGACGGTGTGTCAAAAGTAGCTGAAGGGGACATGGTGAGTTGAGTAGTATTCGGAAGTACTTGCAAAGACAGTGTGTGTCCTAAGAAACTCAAGTTCAAGTGAGAGGGCACACGACCTAGTATAAGTAAAAAGATCGAGATGACGTTCCCCCTCTTGTCTTTGTCCTTCCATGAGACAGATAACCGCCACATTTTTGGCTACCCAATCCAATGAGCCCAGATCAGCCTTGATCACCGTTTCTCAAAGTAAAAGTCCTTAATAAGAACGGGCAGATTGAGATGCAGAAGTCTGTTCTCCCATGCAAGCACCCCACGGACGCAGTAATCTCTGACGCGGGGGTGGTTCCTCTGCGCGCGTAAAGCTCGTTCAGCGAGTGAAGTATTGCTGCAGTAATGTGATTAACGTCAGAGTACTACGGCACGGTAAAGGATATGGCGGGGCGCCATGAGAGTAACCATCAATGTTCACGGAGCTTGAGCTTGAGCGTTGGTGTGGCACCCGTATCTCAGACTCAGCCTAAGCTGCAACCCCTCATTTCTCCATGTTCAACTACTGCAAGCCACGGCCCGTCGTGGGGTACATAACAGAAGCATTCTAGTGCCACCGCTGGAAACGACCCGTGTCTGCCGGGCAAAGAAGTCCAGTGGCATTGGACGCCCGCTGGCTGACCTGGTGCATCCTGAGCGAGAACACGGCAGCATGGCTCACCGGTCAACCTGGGGATCTTGTCTCAATGCTCACAAACACCTGGATCGATACTATCGAGGCGATTCTCTGTTTCAAGGACGCTATTAAGTAATTGCCATCTAACAGAAATGGGGATCAGTGTAACTATCAAGGTACAAGAACAACATCTATTTGTAAGATGGAAGTAGGTGGGCGACGAATAATACTACCAGAAACCAATTGCTTGTCACTTGTTCTTCCCCATGTTGCATTCTGCAATTGTACGGATTTACTTCGGATTTTTATTTTGGTACGGCTAAATACTAGGTAATACTTAGGACTTGGTGCCTTAATTCATGATATCGTTTATAAATTTGATTTTTCAATCTTGAGATACAACACTCCGTTCTTATGAAATAAAAGCACGGCCATCTAGAAGTTCTCCTTACCAGAGAACCTCTCGTTCTGCACAAGCTCAATCCAGTAGCCGTCAGGATCCAGCAAGAAGGCAACGTTCTTCATTCGGCCGTCAGTAAGTCTCTTCTTCCAGCTCACGTTCATATCCTCGAATCGCTTGCAAGCAGCGTCAATGTTGTCGACCGAAACGCCTAAACTTGTCAGCTTCATGTATGCTCTCCTTCACAAATGTCAACTCACAGATGTGGCCAAATCCCTGAGGTTGGCTGTTACCATCATGATAGTGGAAGTTCTCGTCCTTCTCGGTGCCATAGTTCCATGTCAACTCGAGAAGACCCTCCCTGTGGGTGATAGTGCTCTCATCCTGACCTTCAGGGAAAGGCTGGTCACCAGGGTAGCCGAGGAAGTAGAGGTTGAAGCCGGCCTCGGGGTTCTCGAGGGTTCGTAGTCGAGACATGCCGAGAACTTCCTGGTAGTACTTCAGGGACTTCTCAGCATCCTTGACACGAAGCATAGTGTGGTTCTAGATCTTTAGCTACATATTCTGAAAGATCGACAGGAAAGGTGAACAAACCATAGTGTAAGTTGACACATCGGTCTCCTTAACATCTTCTGTCTGCTTGTAATCGTTTCGGGCAACGACCTCGACCCAGTAGCCATCAGGGTCAAGTACAAAGGCGATGTTTCGCATGCGGCCATCCGTCAGCTTTTTCTGGAACTTATAGCCAGCATCCTCAATACGCTTGCAGGCGGCCTGGATGTTGTCGACGGCAATGCAGGTGTGGCCAAATCCACGGTTAGGCTCCTGGTTGCCGTTATTCACCTTATACTCAGGATCATCCTCAGTGCCATAGTTATGGGTTAACTCGATAAGTCCTTGCCTGTCAAAAGTGCTCTTGTTGTGCGACAGAGCATTAGGAGAGTCATAGCCAAAGAAGTAGAGGTCGAATTTACTATCAGGGAATTCGAGCTTCTTCACAAGACTCATGCCAAGAAATTCGTAGAATTTAGCTGCATTGGAGTCAGTATTCGCCAATGTAGTGAGCTTCTTCAATTTAAGCTTATAAAGCGAGGCTTGATGATCAGGGTTGTGGACATCAAGGTGTCTGACCTACCGGAAGCCTTGGGGTCCTTGACTCGGATCCTTTTAAACCTAGTTAGCGACTACATTCGTATCGAATATGAATAGAAGATCTGCACTTGCATTGAGTGGTTGAACTTGTAGTTCTTGGTATCTGTAGTTGAAGCCATGGCGACTAATCCGGATTGTCCAGCAACAACAGCAGGTACAGGAACACGGGGAACAGTTTGTCTAGTCAGAAAGTTTTGTATGGAATTGATGCGCTGAGCGGCTCTTGCAAAGTTCATTGAGCTTTTTGTGCAGTATGAATCTGTGAGAAGTTGGTAGATTTTATGATGATAGCCGAAACTGTCGTTGAGGTAATGCCCCTCCACTCGGTAACCCCACTTGCGCTCTGACGTCAAAGCATCATTCATAGAAGCAAAGAGAGTAGAACCTCAATAGCGTTACGCAATCGCTTACAGTTTATGTGATGCTCAATTTTACAAAAGAAACCTACCTCTGTGGGTTCTCACGCAGTTACAGATCATGAAATAGGCACCATAAGTTCGAAACTGAGTGACGCGCTCTTGTGTAGGGTAGATAGGAGGTATTCTCGGTGGCTGCGCTCGGAATTACTATGTATGTGTTCGGAATTGAATAAAGTAAGTATCTATTACAAATGCGTTCTGGGAGAAACTGGTCTTCATTTGGTAACGGCATTTCCTTGTCCTAAATGCCGCGAAGATGCATTGTTTCATACCCAAGGAACAATGGCTAGAATGGTTATTGTTGTAAGATCTCAACTCGACCCCTTATTGTTTTCGGCAAGAAATAAACCATATTCAGTTTCGCCAAGCTACTACAATACTACCGGTAATCACATACAATATACGGAGTACATGTCAGTCAATACTCTAAGCCCTTGCTTGGTCTGGCCTAAAGAAAAAGTTGTTCTTATATTGCTCCTTCCCATATACTGACGATACAGGCCTCCAATTGTATAAACCATTCACCCAGTTTTATGCACCTTTACCAAATATGTCGTCAAGATTTAACCTAGGCCAACTGCAGTACGCACGTTGTGAGTGCTGCATATGGGTCAGATTTGTCCCTTGCCGCATAAACTTAAGGTTGACTATACATATTCGAAGCCAGGCTGTATACCTGGTGGACTGTTTCCGTTATAGGTACAGCTATGCCTGTGAAAATAAGAAAATCAAGGATGAGCGATTCAATGTTTCACTGCTGACGCTGATGGCCTTGCGGGGCCCTTCTCAGCCGCCAACAGCCTGTGGAACCAATTTAGCGGCCCTGAGCGGCCAAACCTAAATGAGTTGAATTTCTATTTACTCAAGCTTGCTACAGTAGCCGCCCACTCATCGCAATACCTCGCGTTCTTTGGCTTTACGCCCTTCCTTTACAGTTTCTTTCCTCAACATTCACCACATCACAGCATGTAATGCCATGATATTTGTATCTCCAATCTCAGCTATTGCGCCTTGTTCAAAATTACGTTCAAGGCTAGCAATAGTGACCGCCAACTCGAAACCGTAACCGTCCGTAACAGCAACAATTTAGCCGTCATGGATCGCTTCCGAAATACTGCGGGTGAATATGATGACTCGGCCATCATGGACGATATCAAGGTCGCTGGATATCAGGAAATTGCTGCATTGCAGGAAAACCAGGCTCGGTCGCCCTTGACGAAAACGCGGTCCATGTCTGATGGAGGAGGAACTCCCTCTCGACTCTCTCCCTCACCACGTATCATTGAGGCATCTCGACGGACATCAAAAGACGACACTAGTATTCCGACCCCCCAGCCAGTGACACCGCGGCGCCCAAACTTCTCCAACCGTGGCTTTTCCATACAGATGCCTCCTCGAGAATTTACTCCGCCAGCCGCGGACTCATACGTCAAACCCGCACCTTTATCACCTAAACTGGACCACTCCCAGATATACGCATCCCCTACCAATATACTTCCTCGTCGCTCCCGTGGTCTCGACTTCTCTCGCGCCGCTACCAGCCTACACCACTCGACCCTCGCCGAACAGTCTTCTCCCGACTCATCGCCCACCGCTGGTGGCCGGGCAATGAACATACCGAGCCGAAGAAGTCATTATGCAGGCCCGGAACAAACATCGACGTCTCTGTGGTCAGTCATGGGCAATCAGGAAAAGATGCACATCAGCAGCTCGCTTGGGAGCCAGGTGATTGGCTCTGATTCGTCAAGTACCTCTGATGACGATGAGCTGATGGACGAGGATATGGACGAGACCTACGTAACAACTCCGCAGGTCCATAAGATTGGTCCAATTCTCGGTCCCCAAGGGTCTGGTGGGACCTTTGGATCCCCTGCAATGAGCAGCCTCATGAGTTTCCAACAGCGACAGAGACCCCGCAAACAAGCCAAGAAGAAGGCTCGTGGGCCTTTGGGACTTGGATTCAGTAGCGCATCTCTATCCAAGTCACCGCCAACTAATTCTTCTCGGGCTCGTCGCGAAAGCATCAGTTGGCAGGCTAATCAATTGCACATTTCTGGTGCAGATTCCGATGAGACACGAGCGATGGGCGATGTGGATGGGCTTGGAGATGGGCAGCGTAATGTCATTCGGAGGGTAGTAACAAGACGTGGAAATCTTTTGGCAAGTCACTTATATCAGATTAATACGAGCGCGCAACTAATACGGTGCAGCCCAAAACAAAAGGATTTGCACGCATTCGTGCCGCGCTCATGGAAGAGAGCACTCCCGCCGAATCTGAGTTTCGTCGAGAAGCCGAAGTTGTTAAACAAGTTCGTGATTGCGACATGGAGCTTGAGCCCAGGATCCCGCAACCGGTCTTGGAATCAACGCAATCAACAACAGCACCCTCTTCACCCAACTTAACGCAGCAAGAAGGCCTGAACGACGTGCCCGAGGACGATATCATGGGCGACATTTCTATGAGTCTCTCTAGCAGTTTTAAGCAACATGCTATCAAGAACTCAAAAGGCAAGACGTTTTGGGACACCTTTTCTGAGTCAAGTAGCACTGGCGGCGCCAGAACCACACCGCCTCCTGCAGCTTTTCTTCCTCGAGGCTCATCCTCAGGTATCAGCGAAGACGTGGCGATGGACTCACCGTCAGTTGGTGGAGCTACTGTAAGTGCCCCCTTGTCTGCTTAAAGGAAACAACAAACTAATGTCTTAGGCCCCGCAGAATGGCGGTACTCAACCACCAAGTGCTGCAGAAATAACTCGAAGAATCAACAGTAAACGTCGCCGGGACGATGATTTTGATCCTGTTAGCTTCAAACGTCGAGCTGTCAGCCCTGGCATGAGCGTTCACAATTCACCAGTCATGCAGAGTCCACTCCAACGAGACGGTATGTCATGGGGTTCTCGTCCCGGTAGCAACGGCGGCGATAAGGCCGGCAGTAGTGCCCCAAGCGAGGCCGGTAGCACACCAGGAAACCTATCCGGCAGTAGCTCTGCGGCTGGACGACTTAACAGCAAAGGCCGGGTTGGTTTCCAAGGAATGATTGATACCCACGATGGGATCATGCGTATGAGTATAGAGTAGCTGACTGATTCTTTCTGTTGCAAACATTTGGGTGCCTCGAAGGATTCGAGTCTTTGGATCATGAAACTTAAAAGCATATGGAGGCGTTATGAGCTATGGCGTTATTCAGGAATGGATTGGGATGGGGTCTTCAAACATACAGCCTTTGGAAGCGGCTTTTATTTCTAATACCCTCATCTTGAGCGAAAATATTACGTATCATCAACGTCTCTGATTATATAAATACCGTCTCTGTGAAGGCAGCCCCTAACGCCTAAAAGGAAGCCTTTCTCAGACCACTCCTTGATTATCCCCCATAAAGAAATCCCAACGCCGTCTATGCCAATTCGCTTGTACCAAATGTGCTGTCATTACTCCACGCCAACACCCTCCTCTGGAACTGTGAGCGTACCAAGCTTGTCGTCAAGCCAACGCGCTAGCTCAGTAGCATGACGGCGAAGGGCAGTCACTGCAGCGGCTGAGCCTGCGTTGCTCTCGAGACTAGCTGTTGTTTGCCCACCAGTGCTCAGTATACTGTCCGCTCCATCTGGACTGCCAACATGAGAGGACTCGCCAGCGGGAACATGGAGATCATGCAAATTGGGCACGCCATGCTCTGTAGCATCTGGGTTGGCGGGTCCCACACAGACGAAGAGAAGACCGCACTTCAACCTACGGATCACAACAGTCCCGCTTGTAAGTTGAACCGTGACAGTCGCAGGCTTGATGCCCCTTCCCTTACCAGACTTATGAGAGTCGAGCTGCTGACTTTGCGATAGTCGATCTGTCTCATCTTCGAGGTCATCCTCTTCAGGTGGTGAGCTTCCGATAGGATCGGGCGTGCGTGAACCTGGTAGAGAAGCGGCGAGGGCGGGTGCCGAGGTGGAGTGTATAGCGAGGAGGGATGCGGCGACGGTAGCATGTGTTCGAAGAGCGGCTACGGGATGAGGGCTTGCGTGTGCGAGAAGCTTGCCATGAGGGCTTGTAAGAAGAAGCGTGGGAAGCTGGGGAGTTCGGTTCGCGTTGAGAAAGGCCGTAAGGCGCTTTGTGAGGAGAAGAGGAGGCGTTGGGTGGGAGATGGACATGGTGATTGAAGGATTGGCGATTGATAAGTCGATAGCCTCTGCGGACTTTCCCGAATTCAGAGAGTGACGTAGTTATTTGATAGATAGGGAAACAGCGCTAGATTATTGTACAAGAACGAGAAAAGACCCGCTCGTTGTTTGGAAGAAAAGAAGAATCAAGCTTTGATGGATGCTGAGGTGGAATGGGGAAACGGCTCAGGTCGGTCCAGGCCAGGTTCATCTTGTTCGAGCCTTGTTGATGGCGGGGCGCCCGAAGTGGAGAGCTTGTGACTGGTTTCACCTCATTGGCTCTGTGAATTGACATGCAGTCGTGTAAGATCATTGGCTCTTTGATTGTTGGATCTTTAATTCAAAGGTCCACGACAAAGAACATGATTATTGTGAGGCATGTAAAGAAATCATCTAGGTTTATAGGATTACTAGTAGCATAAGAAATTAGATGGTGATTAAAGCCTGATACACTTATTTTTGCTCTATCTCGCCCTCTCATTTCGCAACCCTCTGAAGCATGTCATCCTCAACATCCACGTAAAGTATTCCCTCCTCTGTCTCATGCTTCCACTGTCCATATGCGAGCTCCACCATCTGCGCAAACTCTACCATTCGAACCCAAGGGTCTTCTTCTTGTGCAGGGTTGTAGTCGAGCATTGTCATGATTATGGTACGCAATGCTTTGGTGTAACGAGCTCGTGCAAGGTACGAATGAATGTTGATGATGGGCTCGGAGCAATTATGCTCAGTTGGACAATCCGGCCACCCGGAGAACTCTTCCCTACATTTCCTCTCGCTCACATGCTCACAGCCACCAAGGAGGCAGTCACATCCTTTTGCAATGGCCTCTTTCTCCAGACAGCCATCGTCTTCGCAGAAAACGACATGTGAACAGCCGCATTCCTCACAGCAGTAAGTTGGAGCCTGGCCAGTCATCATGGTGAAAACGGTCACACCAATAGACCACAACTCATCCCCGAGGGTATAGGGTCGATCTTCCTACAGCATGTGAGTTGGTGATAAGTTCTTGACCATCATTGGGTACCTACCTCGTTCGGAATCGACGCTGGGACGACATCATAGACAGATCGAGCATCATCTAGTCGCCAAATCCCTTCCTTTGTAGCCAACGCCATCCCATTCGAATCTGAGCGAACAGTATGAGGATTGAATTGAGCATCCACGGTGTGGCATGTGACAGCTGCGTGGCTGTAACCGCCTAGTTTGCATTGGCCATAGGTCTCAATGCCTCGAGGATGCTGAAGCCAGACGTTCCTGGGCTCGATGCAACGATGCAGAATTGGGAACCAATCAGTGTTGACAGAAACCCATTCCCTGACCATGTGACGACCAAGGTGCTCGGGTCGGTAGGAGAGCCATTTCCCGTCATGGAGATAAGCCACTGCACGAGTCAAAGAACGGAGAACGTGCCAACAGAGAGATTCTGGGAGATAGAATTCAGAACTCTCGCAGGGATAATGGCGGAACAAAGCGCTGAGGTTACCAGCATCACCGAAGTCCCAGACGAGCATCTGGACATTATTTTCCGGGGTAGCATCAGATGTTTGTGACTTGTTGAAAGGTCGATTTTCCATGAAACCAGCGATTGAGATGAGATTTTCGTGATTGAGGATCTGTCGGATAGTGTAGGCTTGATTATGCTTCGACAGAAGTGTGTTGAGAGCCTCGGCTTCTCGAAGTGTCTGCGTGACATCGACAGTACCATCAGGCTTCACTCCGAAGGGGCTGCTAGGACTGGCGAGATACTTCTCTCGTCGCGGGTCTCCCTTTCTCGTAACAATCCAGACATTCTTCTTAACCTTCTCAACGAGCTCAAAAGTAGGTTCCTCAACCTCTGTGGCGGGGCTACTGAACATCCCGACTCCAAGATTCGGCGAGTGTCCAGAAGTCATGACGATGGCGAAGACAGTGATGTTCACTTGAGACAAGACAAAGATCTGATAGATGAAAAGTTCAAGATATTCTTAAGAGTAAATATTCTTCTTGTCATAACTGTTGCCGCCGTCTCTGGAACGAGAACAGACAACAAAGAACCCAACTCCGCCACATATTGGATGAAGCCAATGAATGCTTCATTTCTTTGTCCTGAGTGAATGCGATATTATTTGCGCCTTCTAAACAAAGAGACCTCTGATTTTGTCAGTCGCTGATGTGAATAGCGGGGAGTAGCACACAGTCTCATGTAGAGGACCATTGCTCGCACGACCCTTTTAGAGTTGTTTCGAACAAAGAAAAGGTCTGATGGAAAGTTTGTAACGCATGGGTGAACGCTCAGCCCACAATGGCCAACTGCCGTCGATTGCGTTATTTCTCAATACTTCAAGCAGCCAGCAGCCAGCAGCCAGCGAACGGTAATTATCATAGTGTCCCGGTTGAAGTAACCGAGGCAAGTTGCGGTAGCCCTGATCGACAAGGCACCTCGTCTCGTCAACTCATGTGATGCCAGTGATGGTGAGTTTATGATGTTCCACGGGAGATGAAGATTTACAAGCGGGTTTCCAAAATGCCGACAACCCAAGATTGCGACCAAGTTAGCTCTGGGCCTTGTCTGCAACAGTCTCGGTGCTTGCGGCATGGATTGACGCGGGGGGAGGCAACCCGACCACTGTTAGCATGTTTCACCCATTCAAGTGACCCGAGAGAATTGGGGGATTTGTTGCGATGCAACCACGCTGAAACTTCAGAATTCGGGAGCACTGATCCAGGTTTCATTGATAATGTGCTGTTCTCCGCGGTTCTGGTTACACGGCTTTGTTATTATCCAGTATTATTACCGCTGAACACGGCGGCTAATCGCGCTGATTCGCTGTTAGTGCCTGGCGCTGTGGGATTGGTCGCGCCGTCTTCTTCGACCGTCAAGATTCCAGTTGGCGGTTGGAGGATAAAGAAAACCAGCCACTGAAACAAGAGAGATGAGCGAACGCCAGCGGCAATGCCCAGTCTTCTCCATCCAAGGCCCGACAGAGGCAATAGGCTCATAACCACTGAGTTCTTGCTGATTGTGGCCTTCTACCGCGCCGCAACATCTCCACAACCAATCATTGGCCTCGATGAACAGTCAAGATAATGCTCCCAACGTTTGGCGTTTGGTACCTGCAGGCAATGGCGCCACTGAGGGCCAGGGTCGTTGTAGTGTTGCACTGCTATAGATGTTGATCTCCGCTCCTTCCTGTTTGAAGTCAAGTCAATGCTGGATAATAATGCGATTTACTAGCCCCCACTTCACTTTCATTTGAAACCTCCCATTCCCATTCCCGTCCTGTCTCATTGTTCCAGACTCTCTTTCATTCATCTTCCAGCCTTCTACTGCTATTGTACAGTAATCGTTCTTGCCACAGCTTTGACGACTCTTTTCTTGGCTTCAGTACAATCTCTTTTGTGTCGGTTTCGTCACTCTTTCATGCCATTGTTCCAAATCTCAAACAATATATCGTCATTCAACCACCGAGAACAGCCATCCACTTTTATGGTTATTGTCCTCTATTGAAACCTATCATCTACCAATTTCACTCATCCCTTAAAGATACCTCCTTGAATATTTCCTTTCTTGAACAACAAGACCTATCTATCTAATCGAAAGTATATACGATAATATCAACGACAGCCATGGGGTCAACTTTACACTAAACCCTCACTCTATCGCGCACCGGTTGCAGCACGAAATTATCACGATCGCTTATTTTTAGTTTATGCTTCGACATTCTTGCTTCTCTTTCTTTGACAGCTGTGTTTGGTCTTCGCTGGCGAAGGACCCCGATATTTTGTCACTCGATAGCCTTGATACCCATCGACAACCTCTCTTTTCGAAATAGCCTCTGAAGGCTCTCATAGTTTTCATCATGACTTGCTGCGGAAACCGTAAGAAGCAGGTTGTGGGGATTGCTGATCAGAAATGGGAATACATCAACCTTCGCGACTTTAAAAGTCGTGGATGCGGAACTGTATTCGCTTATATCTACCTGTGGCTTATGCTTCTTGTTTCAGTTGCTGTCTATGTCGTCGACAGTTTTACTGCAGTCAATCTACTTGTGTTCGATCGTTGGTCTTCAAAGATTGATCCTGCCATCTCTTTCGACGTCACGAAATGGATCTTCTCTATTTGCATTATTCTCTCATTCATCAACCTAGCTTACGAGGGTTTCCGCGCCTTTCGGGTTATCAGAAGAGGCAACGTTGCGGAATCCTATCTTGACAGCTTAGCTGTTCGATGGGAATCAATTCGCCTTGGTTCTCAAGGTTGGAAGAGATTCCTAGTCTTTGCTGAACTCACCAAAAGTAAAGAAGGCGCACAGTACATTGCGCTTTTCACGTACTTCAACTTTCAAGGTAGGCCTACACATCAGTTAACCAATCACTCTTTACTAACTTCTATAGCCTGGATCCGAGTCATCATCTGCTCAGGTCCTCGTCAAGTTCTCAATGCTTTCACACTCAAGTCAGTGTATGAGGCACAATTGACGCCTACAGCAGACAATGTAGGCGAGTCCATTGCTGGATTCTTTGAGAAAATCAAGATCCTTGCCGAAGAAGATTATCAACAGGCACTTATTCTCTCCGGAATGTGTTTTACTTTGGTTATCTGGGTGTTTTCTGCGCTTTTTCTTCTCGCTGCCGTTCTGTTTTGGGTATTCTTTCTGTACCATTGGATTCCTGCAGCAGACGGTGGTCTTTCTGGCTACTGCGAGCGGAAGGTCACCAAGGCGTTGATGAAGATTGTCACAAAGACGGTCAACAAAGCTCTAGCTAGGGAGGAGGCCAGCCGCATAAGAGCTGAAGTCAAGGCGGCCAAGAAGAACGGAGAGAAGCCTCAACTCGATCGAGCTGCCACCCTACCAACTTTGCCAAACGTTGGCCCAGTCACTAAGATGGATCACCTACCTATGCTCAACCGTAACGACACTATGATGACACTGCCGCCTTATACTTCACGGCCCGGTACGCCAGGTGGCATGGAGAACGCACCCTCGGCTCCAGAACGAACTGTGCCGTCCAGACAGGGCACTACAGCATCTATCGCGAGCTACGCATCCCGGGCCACTTCTAGATCTGGAGGTGGATATGGACGGATTGCATCCCCCGTGCCTGATGTGCCCCCCATTAACTACCAGGGACACACCCAGCCGCGATCTACTACAGACAGGCATGATAACTTCGGCCCTTATCCTGCAAACCAAATGGCAATGGACCCAATGACATCTCTTCCTGGTCGATTTACAGAGAGCCCTGGCCCAATGAACTCTGATATGGCACCTTTCTTCCCTCCCCCGACTCGCGCTCCTAGCGCTCGCCCTATGGATAACTTTTCGCAGCCCATGGGAACATTCCCTTCTGCTCAGGCGTCCCAAACGGGCCCAAGGGAATACCAAGCCTACAATCCTGGAGGTCGCATGAGCACTGTATCATCTGTGAACTCTCAGCAGGGCGGAGCCGCAATGCAACGGCCCTTTAATCCTCCAGTACGAAGTGCCACAGGGCCAATGCCTTTTCGAGAACCTCCACGGAGGAACTTGACGAACCCAATGCCGCCTCGCGCAGCATCTGCGAGACCTGAAAGAGCTCCTCCCTATAACTATGACGTTGAATCTCAAAGACCAAGGGGTTGGTGAATGATTATATCAAACGGGTTGGATTAATAATGAATCACGAATCAATAATATCATGTCCATAGGTGGACTTTTACATAAGAAGCCTGAATATAAGTGATAGATGACCATATTTGACATGTTGGAGAGAGTGGCGTTGTCATGCTGACTTCGGCGTTCTGATTACTTATTATTCGTGCTATGTCGCGAGCAACCCTGCAGTGTGGTCAACTACGCCCTTAAAGAGAAAAGCCCACGCTGACAATCTGTCAACAGCACGAAGTCAATCTATGCTGACATACATTGATGACAGAGAATTGACTAAGCCAGAGGCTTTTAAAGGGCGGCATGACCAAGCTCTTGCTTTTAAACATCCTCTTTCCCAGTCTTGCACTGAGCTTACAATACGCGTTTCAAAGTCATTCACTACAATCTTACGGATCCTTTATTAACAGCAATATGCCCTCAGCGACCTCAGAATGGCACGATGGCGAACTGGCCGTGCAGAAGCAACTCAAAGTCCCTAAAAGAGGGAACCCAACGTTTCCAGGTTTAGCACCCCAATATGGCATGCGAGTGATGCAGTCCTCCTTGGTAGCCCTGGGAACGCTGGATAGCGAAGGTCGCCCATGGACTACAGTATGGGGTGGAGATCGGGGCTTTGCGAGACCAGTAGCTGAAGGCGTACTCGCGTTTAACAGCTCAGTTGATACTCGCCATGATCCTGTTTTCAGAGCTCTGTGGGATGGGATTGATGATGAGGGCGTGAAAGAGGGCGCCATTAACAGGCCAAATGGAGGCGAAGGAAAGGGAATGGCAGGGTTGTCTATCGACCTGGAGACCAGAGACCGCGTGAAGCTGGTAGGGAACATGATTGCTGGTGCCACTATAGAGGAAGGCAAAGCAGTACAGATGGCCATGGGTGTAACCGAGAGTCTAGGCAACTGCCCGAAATATCTCAACAAGAAGGATATTGTGCCTAATGAGATGGCACCAGAGCTTGTCTCGGACAAGCTGCCCCTGTCACAGGAGGCCCTAGATTTGGTTGCAGCGGCAGACATGTTCTTCTTGTCGAGCACAAATGGGGTCACCATGGATACAAATCATCGCGGAGGAAGTCCTGGGTTCATGAGGATTGTCAAGAATGAAAACGACGGGTTGGAGCTGATATATCCAGAGTGTGAGTTTTACATTCCTTTATTTATGAACCAAGCTAATGAAATATCAGTCTCAGGCAATAGACTATATCAGACACTTGGTAACTTCAGAGTGAATCCACTGGTTGGCATCGCTATTCCAGATTATAACACAGCCGACGTTCTTTACGCCACAGGCAGCGCATCAATACTTGTTGGTGATGAGGCTTCTTCTTATCTCGCAAGAACAAAACTTGCCGTCAAGATCTCACTTACTGCTGCAAAGTTCGTCAAGTCGGGACTACCTTTCCGAGGTGCTCTGGGTGAATACTCGCCTTACAACCCACCTGTTCGTCACTTGCTCTCAGAGCACGATGCACATATTGCCGAGGCCTCATCAAATGGTATCACGGCAAGCTTCGCTAAGCGCGAAGTTCTTACGCCTTCCATTGACCGATACACCTTTGAGCTATCTTCGGCACAGCCTATCAAGGCATGGCACGCAGGACAGTATATCACGTTGGACTTTGAGCAGGAAGTGTCGAGTGGCTACAGTCATATGGCCGATCACGATCCTCAAAGTATCAATGATGACTACGTCCGAACGTTTACTGTGTCAAGCCCACCAGAGAACAGTAAAGAGGTACAAATAACAACGAGGAAACATGGCCCGGTAACAAACTTCCTACGAAAGCACAACTCTCGTGTGCCTTTGGAGATACCAGTGATTGGCTTTGGCGGCGAAGAGGGTTTCCGCATCCCTTTAGAACCGAAAGGCCCTCAATCCGTCTTTATCGCCGCTGGTGTAGGAATTACGCCTGTCCTCGCACAAGCACCCGCTGTACTTCAGCACAAGGCTCTATTTGCACTCCTCTGGACCCTGCGCTACGAGGACTTACCGCTCGCGAGTGACACGTTCTCGAGAATCCCAGGGCTGTCAAATGTGACTACACTCTTCGTCACTGGTCAGCCGGACAAGGTGGACTTGTTGGAGGAGGCCGAGCGGGCTGGGACACGGGTAGTAAAGCGACGAATAGGCGCTGATGATGTCGAGAGCTTTAAGGGCCAAAACGCCCGTTTCTTTCTGTGCACGGCGCCAGCTCTGCTGGCTGCTCTGGAAGGCTGGTTGCTGGGAGAGAAGGTTGTCTGGGAGGACTTTGGATATTAAGGACTTAGCATACAAATTGAAGTACTTTCCTGGTTCCGTGTTCATCTGTTTCCCTGAGCACATGTCTCACACCCCGGCCCGCCGGAGGTTTCTGTTAGCTTACGGCGGTGCAAAGGACTGGTTAAACCACATGTTCCCTGAAGTTTGCCTCTAGTTGCGGGGAGCGTTCCACTGCCGAGTTAGTTACGTCTGGGGTTGAGGATAATAGCTGAGGTTCTTGAATTGGATTCGATCTCCATCAGACTCTCATTGCGAGCATAGACATAGCAAAGCAGATCAACGCCGCGTATGCCATATAATCATATGAGAACATTGCTGGACTGTAGTCTGTGGTTCTCTCGAATCAAGAACAAATTAGTCAAAGCTAGTCATCTAATCTAATGAATTCGTTTCCCCGCAAACATGTTCGGGAGTTACGCTTGTCCCACATCCCCGCGCTTGAGGTTGCGGATCCGCACTCGGGCGTCTTTGTCCATGGCGGAGAGACTTATAAATCTAATATTATTAAGCTCAAGTGGAAGATTTGGTTTTGTCCTAATCTGGTCAACAGTTGATGAAGGTCATCGCCAGAGCTCGGGGTCCAAGAAGGCGGAATAGGTATCCCTTGTTGATTTCTTCAACTTGCGCATAAACTTAGGCCAAAGTTTGTGATAGATGGATCAAAACCATAGCACTTATGACAATATACTCCCCTTATAGAACTTTATAGCCTTTGGTATATGTGCAAGCTAAAGTTATAATAGGTTGTCACGGTGTATTTCATCTTTTCTCGCATACTGTAACCAGGAGGGTGACCATTCTAGCAAAACCCCTTGCTCAACTCAGACAGACTACTAAATCGCCACGAACCAAGAGACTTTGAAAGTGAAAACTTCTACTATGAATTGCCCCAATCGTTGACTGCTAGTGGGTATTCTCTTTTGAATGGTCCCGAAGTCGCTCAAAGTGGTCCTTTTGGTCGACATATCCATCCATAACTACATTCCTGGGAACAACAAGTTTCAAGTCACTGCCCTATCTTTCGACTATGTCCAGACGGAAAGCTCTCTTCCAAAGAGATTAAAAAAAAAAACAAAAAACGCCACGAAGTATGTATTTCCTCGGGTGAAATATTGATAATGATGACTCCAAGTGCCCAAGGTTTTATAAGCTGGTCCGCTGTCGGCGTTAGGAAATGCGATTTCCGGAGGACCCATCACCCCCTAAAACGGAACAGGCTAAAATGCATCCATCACAGAACATATCGTGGCAGCAACAGCTTCAAGCCGGGGGTATAGTGGACCTCTCTCAACTCCCTTCAAAGTATCAATTGGTCCGCTAAGTAGCTTAGAGACATGCGTGTTTTCTCGGCGTCTGACTAGCAACGAGGCGAGTTGTCGACTGAAACCGTCTGGCTAAAAGAGAAGACACATGGTGTTAACACGAATCCTTGGCGTAGAACATTATTGTTTGTGATTTTCGATAGTTCAGCTGCGGGTTCAAAGAAACGATCAAGTGTACAGGAAATTAGCTTTGACCTTACGGCTATTGTTATTTCTTGTGAATGAGACTGGTGGTTCGATGTCATTCCAAATAGCGAAAAACTAGTTCAATTCGTAGGTGTTTCTCCTATTTCTCCGCCAAAGGGTACGATATGTACGTAAACTATCCATCTGGTTAGGAGACCATGATATGATTTTCCCTTTAAAGTCACAGCATGCAAACTGGCTGTGCTAAATTCGAGATGCGGTGCATTTTTGAATCACGAGTCAACAGCACGCCGTTGAGAATGGTGGAGAAAGCTCGTTTGGAGCTCCAAGCACATCCATGTTTATATGCCCCAGGGATGAGCGTGGAGTCAACTGCTGCAATAGAGCTTTGACTATATAATAAGTTGCTGTTTGAGAGATTTAATGGGCGATTCTTGACGGCGGTAGTCCAAGCGACTAGGACACCGTCGGCTCAACTTACTAAAGTTCACACAGTTGTGCCAATTATTTATGTAATTGTCAATTGAGAAACTGTCAACGTAAGCGTTCTGATAATCAAGATAGCTAGAATCACCCCGCATTTCCTGACAGGGATTCAAGAAAGTGATTGTCGTTGGTATGCACTCTGATTGATTCATGGTGCTTACAAAGACATCTTCGTGGCAGAGCAATGAAGTCAGACTAATAAAAGACAAGCCTATTTCAGAGAATGACAAACTCCGTTAGCTGTAAACGGACCAGATCGTCATAGCAAGCCGAGATATCTTTGCTCTGAGTCTGGTCTGGTTGTTGATGAAGATTGACGGATGTGATTTGTAGCTATACGCGAGGTGACCATATTGATTTACCTACTAAGCCATCGGCATGCAGCACAGCTCCAGGGACCAATTCGATGAGTTTCGGTTTTAAAACAAACCAAGGCTGCCGACAATGTAACTTTACAGGGACCCTATTGGTCCTACCGTAGAGCTTAGGTTCATGCTGCTACTGATGTCCCTCTGTCCCTGTATCACGTTCCCTCGAGCCGGCTTGGTGGAGTGGCTCAGATCGCCGTCGTCATACCCCGCCACTAAGAGTTAGAGCGTGAATGGTTTAATGAGTAATCAAGAGTTCCTTTGGAGCGAACAAGGAGCATGGTGAAGGTTAGAGAGAGAAAGCCTCATTGTGTTCTGAGGTAAGAGATTCCATGGCACAATTCGAGGTTCCCAGTGTCGTAGTTGATGGGAATTGCGAACGAGCCAATGGGGGAAACTAACCATTCCAGGCATTACCAGGTGTAAAATCTTCAACAGCCAAAGCAAAACACAACAAAAACAGTGGCTTTGTTGCACTCCACTGAGGTCGATGGCGTGCGAATGGTGCGTCAAAGGCCTGGACTTTCGTGTTTTGTGGGTGCTTGTGCGTTCAGTAACTTCAGTTGAGTTAATGGCAGGCTGTCCAAGATTGGAGACTGGGGTTCGAATGGCTTCGGATTCTTTAGCGGCCTGAAACTGACCTACCAAAATGCTCAGCCGAGGAGTCTAACAGAGGGAATACCTTCTGTAGTTCCACTTTTCCCTTGTTAAGGCAATGGATCTCAGCGCATGCGCAGCCTAGCACTTGCCCACCATCTTTGCCTATGCTTGCCTGCCCTGCCTGGAGATTTGAATCCAATTCTCACAGAAGGGCCGTAAGGAAAACCTTCTTTCCTCTACTTTAACTTCCCTCTTCCATCTTCTTCTCCATTCCCGCCCATACTAGCACACTCACTCATTCACTTACTCAGACCCCTCTCTATACGCCAACAGCTTAACCCAAGAAGCGACAATACCCACAGCGCTCTGCGAAACTCTTACTGTATCATCATAATACTTGCAATACTTGCTGATTTCGGAACCCCCGCCATCGCCACCCGCCTATCCATTTCGTCAAACCTGCGCAGTATTCAGTCAACTATAATCGCAAACTTGCCACATCTCTATTTCAACTATCGCCTGATCACCCCGACGACTTCAATCAACGCAACTACTCGGGTCTGCCCACTTTCAACGAGTCGGTCGTAATTCGGTCTCTGCGCCGATACTGCCGTGCCCCTCGCTTCCGTCCGCCGTCAACTATCGGCGCCGGCCGTTGTTGCTCATCGGATCGCGAAACCCCTCGTTCCGCTCAACCCGCCACTTTCATCTCAGAAACCAATATCAACTACACAACAATAGTCGAAATGGCTTGCGACTACCAATACGTCAAGGAGCACACGAGGGAGGATTACGTCTTCCCCTCGCACCGCTTCCAACGATCATGCCCTCCAGACAAAACTCCGCTATGTCTCGTTGCTTGCGGCTCTTTCAGCCCAATCACGTATCTTCAGTAAGCTTGCCCTAATGATTATGGCTCTTTTAGCAGATCATCTGATCGAGGTGGATGCTCTCGACCATTGGACAATCATGAGATTTGGCAATATTTGGACAAGCGATAGCTAACCTTTGAGCAGCCTTCGGATGTTCCCCATGGCTCGGGACCATGCTCACAATGAGAGTAGGTTACTCGCTCATTGCTTCTGAAGCATCGCTGACATTATCAGATTTCGAAGTTGTTGCGGGCTTTTTGAGTCCTGGTAAGTGACAGTCCTATCAGACGAAACATGCCTGAACTAACCAGATGTCAGTCAGCGATGCCTATAAAAAGAAGGGTCTCGCCCCTGCTCATCATCGGATTGAGATGTGTAGACTTGCGACCGAGAACAGTTCCAAGTGGCTAATGGTCGACCCGTGGGAAGCTGAGAGCCCAACTTATATCCCAACCGCCAAAGTGCTTGATCACTTTGACTATGAAATCAACGAGGTCATGGGTGGTGTTGAATGCACTGACGGAACTCGAAAGCGTTGCCGCATTGTGCTCCTTGCTGGCCTCGATCTCATCCAGACCATGTCGACTCCAGGTGTCTGGGACGAGCGTGACCTTGACCACATCCTGGGTAATTATGGCGTTTTTGCTTTGGAGCGCACGGGAACTGAAATTGATTCAACCCTGGCAAACCTGAAGCAATGGGAGAAGAATATTCACATAATCCGTCAGGTATGTTCTTGGAATAATTCTGTTAGTATTGTGATGTTAACGATAGATACAGGTCGTTACAAATGACATCAGTAGCACCAAGATTCGCCTGTTGCTCAAACGTAACATGTCGATTGACTACTTGATTCCTGACCTTGTAGTCAGTTACATATTCGAAAACAATCTTTATCGCGATCTCGATATGCCCGACTCCAAGGGCAAGGAGAACGCTATCACGAATGGGCCCGATGCCGGCACCAGCACTGGTTGAATGTCTCCGTCATTCCGGAAAACGATAGAACCTGTGCCCCACCCTGACATCGGTCCCGATGCCCCTACCCAGCTTTGAGCACGGTCACCGAATCATTGAGAGCTCACGACATAAAAGACCAGAGCCCAGGCTATGAGCGAGGACAGCTTCCAATATGATGTTTGAGTCGTTGCGATTTCAGGGTCAAAGGATCAATGTTATAGACATCGCAATGGACCACAATGGTTGAGTTGGGTCCAGTCCTAGATGCATCGAGTGTGGGATTTAGAAGGCGTGGTGATGAGGAGGTGGACTTTTCACTTTCCTTAATGACAGTACGTCGCTCTTGACGCAACCCGCTTTGTATCAGCGGTTGGATAGAGCGCACTATTGAGCGGAGTTATTTCCATCAATTGAGGCATACAAGGACGGGGCATCCCGCTATCTTGAGCTCAATCTGTTACTATCCATGCCTAGCAATACCCCGGGTTCGTCGGAGGTCTCCGACTATTGATATGCACGTGTCCAAAGGGTTGAGGACAAATTGTAGGTCTTTAATTGGGGTTACCTCGGCTGGCTTCGATAGTCTTTGTTGCCTTGTTTTAGAAAGAGCCTTAAGTTTAAGCTTGTTGGCAAGCCATGATTTTATAGAGAACCAGTCGGGTAGCCGACATATGGAGTTTTAGCTGGACAGATACCCGTTCATGTCAATAGGACCAATGATCCAATTTATTGTTTTTCCATGGCTTTGGCCTGAAACCTGACTGATTTCGATTGGACGAATGATAAATCAACTGCCGCAATTCCTATGAGCCGCCAAGTCTTCCGTCCGTTAAAGGACGGAAGATAGCTCCCAGAGACAATATCTCCGGCTCCTTCTTTCTCTGGCAAGATTGCACGAGGGCAAAGTCAACCAATAGGTGTTTCCAATCTGTTGATGATTTACAAGGGCCAAGACGAAAGAACAGCAAGGACCCTAAAAGCTACAAAAGGGACCTGCGAAAAAGGGCAAAGCGTGAACCCCCGCGGTCGCGCAATCGACGCTGACTGGCCACATCCGATTTGGCGCATAGATAAACGTGCCAGATCGATAGGGCATTTGGAGGCTTGGCGGCGATACTGGACGGTTATGGACATGGCAAATTATAGGGATAGACCTTTTGCCAAGGGGAGAATCAGCGCGGAATCGATTTCGGTGACCTTTTGGGTCTTTTGCGCCGGGGCCAAACTGGAGTAAACCCAGGATAGGTAGGTAACGCAGGTCTTGGAGGTTATCGTGAATACAAATAGCTGAGGGTGGCCCTGTCGATCATTTTGAGAGCAGGGCAGTTCAAGTGTTTCTCGACTCATCTTCATCATGAAGCTTCAATTCCTCGTCTCTTCCCTCATCAGCCCTCTGGCTGCGGCGTTAACTATTGCTGAGATCAATGGCAACAGCTATCTCTCTTCCTACGCCGGGAAGAATGTCACTGGTGTAGAGGGCCTTGTAACAGCTGTTGGCAGCTCTGGCTTTTATCTGCGATCAACGAAGCCTGATCGTAACTCTGCTACTTCTGAGGGACTGTATATCTTCGGGAAGTCTGCCGTGAGCAGCGTCTCTGTGGGAGATGTGATCACACTAGATGGTCTCGTCGAGGAATACAGGTGAGTTTAACCAACTCAAGCATTAAGCATTACTAACATAGTCAGGTCCAATAAGGACTATGTCTATCTCACTGAGATCTCTTCTCCCAAGAACATCGTTGTCAAGTCCTCTGACAACAAATTCAAGCCAAAGGTTATTGGCAAGGACACCGGCAACCCTCCTGGAAAGCAATTCTCCAAGCTTGATGATGGCAATATTTTTGCTGTTCCCAACAACGAGTCTCTCATCTCAGTGTCCAACCCCAAGCTGCAGCCTAGCACATACGGTCTTGACTTTTGGGAGAGCCTTGTTGGTGAGCTTGTCACTGTCCCTAAGGCGTATGCTCTCAGCCGACCCAACAACTTCGGTGATTTCTGGGTCCGGGGCAACTGGAAGGTTTCTGGTCTGAACAAGCACGGCGGTCTCACCATGGTCGGCAACGGTATGTAAAGCCTCAATCTGAAGTGTTTGCTTGACTGACCATCCAGATGCTAATCCGGAGGCCATCATCATCGGCTCACCCCTTGATGGCACCAAGAACCCTGACGACACTAAGCTCGGCGACTATGTTGGCGACATCACTGGCGTAGTCTCATACGCTTTTGGCTTCTACCGCATTCTTCCCCTGACTGCCACCAAGGTCAGCAAGCCTTCCAACGCTGAGCACCCTGCCGTCAGCTTCACCAGCAAGGGATCTTGCAAGGGTATCACAGTTGCAGACTACAACACCGAGAACCTCAACCCTGAGTCTGCTCATTTGCCTCTTGTCGTCAAGCAGATAGTTGAGAAGCTGCGCACTCCTGACCTGCTTTTCCTTCAGGAAGTGCAGGACAACAGTGGCGCTACCAATGACGGTGTCGTTTCCGCCAACAAGACTCTCGCTGCTTTGGCCGATGGTATCGAGGAGTCCAGCGGCGTTGTTTACGACTGGGCTGAGGTCGAGCCTGACAACAACGAGGACGGTGGTCAGCCCGGTGGTAACATTCGCCAAGCTTATCTCTACCGCCCCGATAGAGTTGAGCTTGTCAAGCCTAATGAAGGTGGCCCTAACGACGTCAACGCTGTTCTCGATGGTCCCTCGCTCAAGTACAACCCTGGACGAATTGATCCTGCCAACCCTGCCTGGGATGACAGCCGCAAGCCCCTCGTGGCTGAGTGGAAGCCTGTCAAGGGCACAAAGAAGTCTTTCTTTACTGTCAACGTCCACTTTGGCAGCAAGGGCGGCTCGACCTCCCTGCATGGCGATGCTCGCACTCCTGTGAACAAGGGTGTCGAGAAACGCACCAAGCAGTCCGAAATTACTGCTGTAAGTTTCAAACCCTTTTATGCATAAAACCCAACTAACAACTTGTAGAACTTTATTGCAGAAATCCTCAAGAAGGACCGAAAGGCCCACGTCATTGCCGCTGGTGACTTTAACGAATTCGCTGCCGTTGCGCCCCTTCAGACTTTCGTCAAGACATCCGGTCTTGTTGATGTTGACGAGGCCGCCAAAATCCCTGAGACAGAGCGATACACATATCTCTTCGACAGCAATTGCCAAGCTCTGGACCATATGTACATCAGCAAGGAGTTGCGCAGGAGCATCAAGTATGAGCATCTTCATATCAACACTTGGCAGAACAAGGCTGGTGAGGTCAGCGATCATGACCCTAGCGTTGCTATGTTCGATCTGTGTTAGATAAAATGATAAAACATATGATTAAATAAATAGTCAATTAGATCCGCTTGCATCATCCCGAAACATAAATTTTACCCAATTGCTGTATAATAGCCATAGGTGCAAACTAGTCATCGCTACTGTCTTCGCCGTTATTAGGGTCTTCTTCTCCTTCATCCTCGTCTTCGTCACTATCGTCATCTTGGCCAGGATCCGGCATAACGATGCTGTTCAAAAATGAAACCTAAGCTTGTCAGTTTGTTCAGCAATGATATTAACACATAACTTACATATCCAACCATAGGACGTATAATCTCGCTAATCTTCTCCTGCGCATCATCCTGGTAGAAGATACTGTCGTCAATTTGTGTCCCAACAGTAAAGTTCCTCAACTTCAGCAATGCAATATCTCGATGTTCTGCCGTGAAGCCCTTTGGTTTAGTTTTAAGTGCATTCTCTTTGTTCTTTTCCGCAAAAGCAAGCAGTGCCGCGTTAGGATCGGATTTGTTGGCAGCTTTTGGTAGGAATGTGCGCTTGAAGGCCTCATCATTGAGTGCGCGACGCCATCGATTTGGTCGTTCGTCAATACTGGCGCGGAGTTTCTGCATTTGGTCGCCGCTGGGACACCATAGGCCACCGCCGATGAAAGACTTTTTAGGCTCGCAGTGGATATAGTAACAGGCGTACGGGCCTTTACGACCAGTTCGAGACCACGCAGCAGAGAAGTGAGGCTATAGATTTTTTAGCTTTGTATCCTGTACTTTGGATCAATCTCGTACCTTGTATGGTGTAGGATCTTTACTGAAGCGAATATCTCTATGGATTCGAAAAATGACATCCTTTATGGGAAGCTCAGGAATCGTCTCATCGGCTGCTATAATGGATTCGGATGCGCACTCAACAAAGGAGTTCCAATCCTTCAAAGCGCGGCGATACTCTCCATCATGCGCTATGCATGTCAGTAATGCTTTACCAGTAAGTGTAGCGTGGTGTCTTACACTTCAGCCAAGGTCTCTGGTTATGGGCTTTGAGGTCTCGCAAGAACAACATCGTGTTCTTGTGTAATTTGAAATCTTCATATTCTACACCATCTGTGTCTCTCAACTTCTCCAAGGGAATGATAGTAACTTTTGGGGGCGCATCCTCGTCATCTTCGTCATCATCCTCTTCTTCTTCTGGCTCTTGCGCTAGCTCATCTTCGTAGGGTTCCTCAGATTCTTCCTTTTTAGGTTGCTTCTTCGGAGGTCTTCCACGTTTCTTCGGTGGTGGCGCATCACTCTCTTCTGTATCCTCACTGCCTTCGAAGTATTGACTTTTAGTGGTGGAAGCTCTCCTCGAGCTTCGCCGAGTGCTGGTGATTTCCTCTACGGAACGTTTTCGAGGTGGCATATTGAAACTGCAATGATTTTGATTAATGAAAGGTTGAAATGATAGAAAATGCCACTAGTGGTATAATACACTCGAGCAACGAAAGCAAGGTCCATGTCGTCATGGCAATAATTGTCGCGACTACGCGTTTCAGGGGACGCGAAGTCACGTGGACTGACAAAAAGCCAAGTCACGTGGGCATAGGAGGATGCGTCCATGTAAGTGAGTGAGCATTCGCCTCGTTCTTCTTACCTCACTTATGTCATGGACAGAGGAACCATTGTTAGAACACATATAGATCTTTGCTTCTCTACCAATGACAGTCAGTTTAAACTTCAAAACAACGAGCAATTTTTCAATTTTTAGGCACTATATCGTCTTCGACTTTGGCCTAATGAATGACCTCTGCTGTCATATCATACAGGGCGTATCTCATCGAGTTTCCTTGAACCGAATGACGAGCCATCTCGACGGCAATTCTGGCTTCTCTTATATCTAGGCCTTCTTTCCTGTCACCAGTGTCGCCATCATATCACTCAATCTCTTCCTGGGCCCTTAATTGCCCCAAGTCGCCCCTTGCATGCAAACAGTTTCTCCAGAAAGCTGATATCTCCAAGTTTCTCAATAAGCCACATGTCGGTATCCTTCTGTTTGTCCTGTTCCTCTGATTTGGCAGTCATTTCGATCAGGATCGCACATATACGGGCTGCGGCGCGAAGGCGCTCCCAACCCTGGCTCTCCATGGCAACCTCTTCCTCTGCTAGGTAAATGATCTTGCCGACCTTGCAGAGCCTTCTAGACCACAAGCAATCAAACAACCCCTTCTTGGATTCATCTGTGAGCTTTTCTTCGTACTTCTTCCAGGCTTCGATAGGAATAAGAGACCTCTCTTGCTCCGTTTGGGCAATTGCTACATCTAGACGTTTCAGGGTCTTTGCATGTTGGTCAGGTGTCGGTTCCTTGTGCATTTGACCCAGCATCTCGAGAAGCTTTGGCTTGAAATCATTCCATTGGTGTTCTTCGATGGCCTCTGCGGCTACGACTACTTCAAGGATATCTGATCTGCAGTATGCAGGGAGAGTCTCAGGGTCGGCATCGTTCATGTGCGTATCTTCTCGGTCCGGTGAAGCTCTCTGCGGAGCAGAGTCTTGTTGTTGTTGTTCCTGAGGCGGTGTCTGTTGCCCGTTCATCTCTTCTCCTCTGTCGTGAGACGAGACAGCGCCAGAGTCGATATCCATAGGGCCTGGCACACCAGTATCGTTATCGTTGGCCGGCTTCTCATTACCAGAGAACTCAGCAATAGTATTATCCTTTGGCTGGTGTACAGTGCTAAGAACTGTAGAGTCGGAGACGTCGCTTTTATTCTTGCTGGTGTTTAGCTTGATGCGTTTTCTTGGGCTGTCATCAGTTGTTGACGGAGTCTTGGACGCAGCTTCTGCCTCGAGGCGTTTCTGGGCATTGTTCCTAGGACTCTCCGGAGGAGTGGCGTTGGATCTCTTTTTATTGGGTTTTCTCTTCTTCCGACTTCGGCTCTTCTGTTCACTGAAGAGAGTACCGAGGATCTCAATAAACTCCTTGGCGGTGGTTGCAGCATTCAGATAAGTACGCTTCTCTGTAATATTGAGGTTCGATGGGAAGAAGGCAATGTGCGTCTCGGGTTCAGTTCCATCAGTAAACTTGAGATTGTACTTTGCTCGGGCTTTAGCGGCACTCAAACCACCGCTGCTAACGGTAGTGATGAAGTCAATAAGGCTGCCGCGCAGGTGCACAAACTCGGTTTTGGCATCACGACCGTTGGCGCCGGCTTCAGTAAAAAGATCTTCCAGCGACTTGATGAAGTCTATGCCTGGAATTGCCATAATCAGGAGCGTTTATGGTATGTTGTCAAAATGATTCGTATGGGATGCGTTCGAAGTCCTTTAAAGATGGTGTTTGGATGAAAGCTCATGCAACTAAGGGTTGGCTGCGTTGCAGGAAAAAGAATGCTTTAGGAACGCTTTATCAAGAAAATGTAACAATAGGAAAGCTGCTAATACAACATACGTCGTTTTGTTATTGTTAACTTGCCTGGCACTGCCCTGTTCGTCCTGCCAGTGACAGCTTCGACCTTACAAGCATACCAGCACTTAACAGAAACTGATATTTGCTTTGGGTATAATTGGTGATTTGGCACATCTCTATGATTCAAAACCATTAAACTGTAAGACTCAATGTGCGGATCGTCGATTGGCACAGTCTACTCTAGTAATGCTTTGGGTTCTCTCCTGTTTAAATACACATGATCACTGCAGGGATATTTAAGGTTCTTCACGAAAAGATTCATCCTATCTAGGATTCACTAGGCAGATTAATATTAGCTCTAGCTACTAGACTCGACTAAGAACTTTGAATATAGATATACTCAGTGCTGTAGTTGAAGGCTACCTCAATTCTTCAACAAAGCCCGCTGAAGTACCGACTCATCAGGGGTAAGCAAAGAGGCTGCACAACGCAGTGAAGAGTTCTGGTAAAAGTCAAGTCAGCAAACCATCGTATTCCTTGCCAGGTAGGCTAAGAGTGAAGAGGCCCCTTCAAGGGCCATGTGGTTTGATGTCGTCTAAACCTTCAACACTTCTAACTTCTGTGGGGATATACACCAAAATTGTCAATCGTTTCCGCCAAATTCATTCGGGGAGAGTTGGACTAGGCACACACAATTCCTATTCAACGACAGTTACGACGCGAGATTGGATGAAAATCATGATATTGCGCTATCTACTTTACATCTTGCGCATCCCAACCTCCAACCAAACACCGAAATAAGGACTTCATTTATGTTCTTTTCCCAAATGTCAGTCTATGCATTTAAAGCTCATCATGGATGTTGTCATCCTGCTCAGCACCAGCGCCACCAGCGCTCTGGTACATCTTGGAGGTGATAGGGTAAGCGACGTTGGAAAGCTTCTCCTTCTGCTCCTCGAAGTCCTCAGCGGTAGCGTCAGCACCGTGCTCATCGAGCCACTCGTTGGTCTCCTTGACGGCGTCGAGGATCTGTAAAAGTCAGTATATGCGTTTCTAATATGAGTTAGTGGAAGAACTTACAGTCTCCTTGTCCTCCTCCTCAATCTTGCCACCAAGACCCTCCTCATCGTTGACCTGGTTCTTGAGGGAGAAGGCGTAGTTCTCGAGGCCGTTTCGGGCCTCAATGCGCTCACGGGTAGCCTTGTCCTCCTCGGCGTACTTCTCAGCCTCGGCGACCATGCGCTCAATCTCCTCAGGGGTAAGACGGCCCTTGTCGTTGGTGATGGTAATGGACTCCTGCTTGCCGGTGCCCTTATCGTGGGCAGAGACCTTGAGGATACCGTTGGCATCGAGCTCGAAAGAGACCTCGATCTGAGGCACGCCGCGAGGAGCGGGAGGAATACCGGTAAGCTCGAACTTGCCGAGGATGTTGTTATCCTTAGTAAGAGATCGCTCACCCTCAAAGACCTGGATCAGGACCACGGGCTGGTTATCAGCGGCGGTAGAGAAGATCTGGCTCTTGCGGGTAGGGATAGCGGTGTTACGGGGAATCAACTTGGTCATGACTCCACCGGTGGTCTCGATACCAAGCGTCAAGGGGTTGACATCCATGAGGACGACACCAGAAGTACCCTCCTCACCGGAAAGGACTCCGGCCTGGACCGCAGCACCGAATGCAACAGCCTCATCGGGGTTGATGCCCTTGGAAGCCTTCTTGTTGAAGAAGTCCTCAATGAGCTGCTGAACCTTGGGGATACGGGTGGAACCACCGACGAGAACGATGTCGTCAACGTCGGACTTCTTGAGCTTGGCGTCCTTGAGAACCTGCTCAACAGGCTTCATGGTCTTCTTGAAGAGGTCAATGTTGAGCTCCTCGAACTTGGCCTGTGTGAGGGTCTCGGAGAAGTCCTTGCCGTTGTGGAAAGCCTCGATCTCAATGCGGGTGCTCTTCTGAGAAGACAGAGTACGCTTGGCCTTCTCGGCCTCACGCTTGAGCTTACCCATGGCCTTGAGGTCCTTGGTGATGTCGACGTTGTTCTTCTGGTTGTACTGCTTGGCGAAGTAGTTGATGACTCGCTGATCGAAATCCTCACCACCGAGATGGGTGTCACCAGCGGTAGCCAGGACCTCGAAGATACCGTCATCAATGGAGAGAAGCGAGACATCAAAGGTACCACCACCGAGATCGTAGACGATGATCTGTCGCTCACCATCGGTCTTGTCAAGACCGTAGGCGATAGCGGCGGCGGTGGGCTCGTTAACGATTCGGAGAACGTTGAGACCGGCAATGATACCGGCATCCTTGGTGGCCTGTCGCTGGTTGTCCTGCGGAGGGTTAGCCGGCTGGTCAGCTCGAAAGAGGAGAAAGTCAAACTTACATTGAAGTAGGCAGGGACGGTAACGACGGCGTGGGTGACCTTCTTACCGAGGTAGCCCTCAGCGACCTCCTTCATCTTGCCAAGAACCATAGCAGAGATCTCCTCAGGAGTGAACTGCTTCTTAGCGCCATCAACCTCGACCTGGACGACGGGACGGTCATCACGGTTGACAACCTTGAAAGGGAAATGCTTGATATCGCCCTGGAGGGTCTTCTCAGAGTACTTGCGACCAATGAGGCGCCTGAACAGTTAGCATTGTGCGGTGTCATCAGAGGAATTCATGTATGCATACTTGATATCGTAAATAGTGTTCGTGGGGTTAGCGGCGGCCTGGTTCTTGGCGGCGTCTCCAACCAAACGCTCATCCTCGGTGAAGGCGACGTAAGAGGGGGTGATTCGGTTACCCTGATCGTTGACGAGAATTTCGACCTTGCCCTTCTGCATCACACCGACACAGCTGTATGTGGTTCCAAGATCCTGAGCTAGTTAGCGGGGTCATCATGAGCGGGTGAGAAGCGGTAAACCGTACAATACCAATGACGGTGCCGTAGTTATCGACCTCGTCGGCCTGAACAGTCTGGACGAAGGCCAGAGGAGAGAAGAGGAGGGCGATCCAACAAAGGAGTCCCAGGCCAAGGGCCATTGAGCTCCTTGAACGAGCCATGATGAGCTCTATGTGGTTGCTCTGCTTTCGAAAGCGCAACTAGACTCTGAAATGGGGAATGAAAAGAAAACAAATCAATCAATTGTAAAGCAAAGGCTTCTGAGTCTCGAGCCTTGCACACAAATTGTTTGGTATGGAGGAGAGAGGGGGTATCTTTGAATGTTGAAAGAAGCGGGTTTGGAGGAGGAAAGCCGACAACTTATTAAGTAAGGTGCCTGTCTCCAAAAAAAAAGTAGTTGAACTGTCCAGAACACAAAAGGCCAGATTTCACATCATTCGCGCAGCCCCACGTGACAGGGGTCCAGAAGTTTATGGGGTTCCTACACTGTGCAAGCCGCCTTTTCAGAGTCCTCCTTAGCCGAGTTTATTGGAGGAAGTACTCGCTGTACAAGCCGGGGACAGTGTTTCTAGGGCAAGGCTGCTGACCCCTGACACCTGTTTAAACACCGAGCGCCTCAACTTACAGGGCCAGTATCATTGCTGGCCTCTGCGTAAGACGCCACTTGTGTATCACTATTCTGATATTCTAGGTATGTGCAGAGAATGTGTTGGAACAAAGGATTGCGTGGGTTTTCTATGGGTTTCTACGCCTCGTGAGTCATGCGAGTCCTCTGCCTGGTTTAATCCTACCGAATGTGACAAGAATTGAGGTGAACCTTGTAGGCTGAGATGCTTTCTTTCCTCCAAGGTACAGGAGACTTGGCCTCTTACTATGTACTTCGAGAATATTCTCACCGGAACCTGGTCCTGGTGGGCCTTCGGTAGCAAGGCTCCGAAGGTGTCCTTTTGGGTGAGCGTGGCAACGACAGAGGATCCTCATATCCCTTAATATCGCCAATCGTTAAAGCAGGCACCATCTACGAGCTATCAATAAGTAGGTAGGTAGTTTATGGTTATGCGCATCAACGAAGGACCAATATTGAACTTTATCCCAAACTGAAGATTCCTTGAGCCATGATTGGGTGATCCGAAGTTACCCCACCATGCCACCCTAGACAACCATAAACCATCACCAATAGACTGACAATCCCTTTGAATTCCATGATGCTCTCTGTTTATCCCTTTTCTTACCTTAGGCTATTTTTATGCTCTTATGATAATATACGCAAAGGCGATCCATATACTTAGACTAGCCTTACCTTACTTTAGGATTCGTAACACGGCCTGATGGAATCTTATGGTTGTGTCTGTAACGCTTGTGACTGGAATTACATATACAATGTGGCAACCATATGCCAATATGACTCTTTGTACTCCTCTGTTGTGCTTTCCAAATGGCAAAACAAACAAATACAATATCAAGCACAGCTTACATCAACTTCTTTCCCAACTCATCAGGAATTCTATAGATTTCCCCAGTCTTGTCATCCTGAAGCCAGTGTTGTTCTGGAAGAATCGTTGGATTTGGATCTTTGATCGGCTGGATCAGAGTTCGATGCTCATGGTGGTGGATCGATCGTGTACGTGTTGGTTCGTAGATAGTGTGCACGTGAGGTCTAATATGCTCATGCACAACTAGGTCTTGGTTGTGAACGGTTCTGTCGAAGTCAAGGCTGTTCTGGAGGTGAAAATTGGCCTCGCCATTTGTACCAGCGCAAACTTCCTCGTTGATACGTTCAAACTCAGCATCCCTAGGGTGAATGGTCTCCAGGTTCCGGCGAATATTGACCTCTTGACTTGAATTTGACTCAAGGTTGATGTCTGATTCTTGGGATAAGGGCTTGATGTGCGTCGCTGCATGTTCGGGTCCTTCTTCACCAATTGCTAATCGTGAAAGTCTTGCCTGAGTAGGGCTGACTTCCTCAACGAGGTCGAATGGTGTTAGAGGGTCGATGTCTATTTCAGGAAGTGTTGATTCATCCGGAGAAACGGCCAGCCGAGACAACCTCGTTTCAAGGTCGTCTGTATTCTCCGCCTTGCTTGGCCTCACTGTCTGGTATGCAGCGTCCTGGAAGTGTTCTGCCTCTATTGAAGACCGCTGAGATATCCGATGAGATGCAACTTCCACAGTTTCATCTCCATACGAGCCAGTGGCATTTTCCGGCTCTAGACTGGGGCGCGGCCGTTCTAGTCTAGACGTTCTAGGCGTTGGATCTGTTTTCAACGGTTGAATTGCCGGATGAGCTAGAAAGTCGCCTGTGTTCTGGGCTCCAACCGTAGGCTGCGCCTGTAAAGTTTCAGGGCCGTTATGCCTCTCAGTTTTTGAACTTCTGTTCAGTAGACTCAGAGATTTCCGATGTCGAGGTTGAGAGTTCCTACTCGCCTCAATCGAGCTGTTCCTCTTGCTTGATGGGTGCGATTCTGAACCCTCAGAAGTGGCAGTGTTGGCATCACCTCCATGGAAAAGACGTGATGCCCTCTTCTTGATGGCATTTTTGAGACGGCCCGCCATGAGACCGGCGGGTTAATTGGACGTGCCCAGCAACGACGGGACAAGAGATAAAAGTGACAGAAACAGAAACAAGGGTTGCGGAAGTCTGAAGTGTATTAGTGACATTACGAAATATTTACAAGCGTGGTCTCCCTGGCCTGTGATGGGAGGTGGCTGTTGTGATCTGATTCGATTCAGAGACACTACATTTCATCATTGAGGATAGGAAGCATCGTGGTTACAGCATCTTTACATCACATTCTTCGCCATTGACCGAATCGCGAAGTCGGTCGGGATCGACAGACAGGATATGATGGAAGTTTGCGTATGTGAGGCTCGATGACGCCTTCCATCAGAGCTATAGCACGCTAGTGAAGCTTAGCATTGCCAATCTACAATCTAGTCTCAGCTCTGCTTGGCAGAACCTGCTCATCATTTCCTGTTATCTCCCACATCCCTTTGACTTTCGGAGAAATTGGACGAGGTTATCATCAATTTCGACCCGTCAATGGTTTCCGGTTGCGGATCAACTGCTCTCCCCAGTTGAGGCTCAACACACCATCCACTCAGATGGGCGAGACATGCATGGAGCTTCGCCATTATGTGCACCAGCGGAGCACCAGTTCCTCAGATTGCCCCTCGATCATGACGTCGATGAAGGCCTCTTTCAGCTGTAGTTGAGCTGCAGATGCCAGATCGCACTGACTCTGGAGACTGGAACTAACTCTTCCGTTGACGTGGACGTAGCTGTGGAGATTAAGACACGCACCAAATGAGGATCGCGGGATGACATGGAAGGCTTGAGGTCATTATCATTGCAGTTTCGGTGTGGACCTCCAACATCTTGATAGCTAGGAGCTCACTTTGGAACTCACCGTTGGCTAAAGCTCCATGTGATGACGTCCACGATGCTGCCCATGACGAAGAGGCGGGAAGGTCAGACAACAAGACGACGTAAAGCGCCTTCAAGTATATAAGCTTAAGCGTACCTCGACTTCTTCAGCAATGTCATCCTCATCATCATCAACATATAAGTCACAGCGAAACAAACGCCAATCAACAGATACCCCTGATTCCCATACACTTATAACTCACATCCCTAAATCAAACACAATGGAGAAAGCAAAGCAGGCCGTTTCTAGCTTCCTTTCCAACGACGGAAAGCACAGAACCACTGTTGACGAAGACGTTAAGCCTCACGTCACTCAGGAGCACGTCAAGCCTCACCAGCATGAGAGTGTAACCACTGCCCTTGACAAGGAGGTTCACCAGGAGCACCATCATACAACTGTCCAACCCATTACCCACAAGGAGACTCTGTAGGCGACTTTCTCTGTTCCACAATTTGCAACTACTAACAAACTCAGTCCCGAGCAGCACCACCACAACCTTATTCCTGTAGAGCACAAGACCTTTCACCACGGCAATGAGCAAGACACTCGAGCTACACTCGACCGAGAAGCTGCCAAATACAGAGACACCACTGAGACCCACAGCACCACTCACTCCACCGAGACTGCTCCGGTTCTCACAGGCGAAAGAAGTAAGTCACCCAAACCTCAAATCAAACAATGGCAAAGCTAACAACGACAACAGTTCATCATCACGTACATGAGCATGTCCAGCCTGTGATTAATAAAGAGACTGTTCAGCCTCATGTCGTTCACACGACCATCCCTATCCAGTACGTTACATATGACGAGGAATGGAGGGCATTGCGCTGATCTGATTTAAAGCGAAACCCATCATGCGGCACCAGTCCATCATGGCACCTCCACTCTCCCCACTAAGACTCTAGAGGAGTTTACTCAAGAGCGTGGTGGTCTCAAGGAGCGAGCAGCTCAAAAGCTCACTGAATTCGAGGGTTGCCCTAAGCCATACCGACGAGAGCTTCAGGGGGAGCAATTGGAAGGCGACAAGTCGATGCACCTTCACGGTCATGGTGACAATTACGGTGAGAATCAGGGCCTAGCCGGTCGCGAGGGGCATGGCATGGGTCACAACACTGAAGGTCTTGCCGCTGGTGCTGCAGCTGGCGCCGGAGCTGCTGCAGCTACTCGTAAGCACCGTCACGGTATTGGACACAAGGACCGCCGCGGATCCGCCTCAAGCAGCAGCTCCATGAGCTCTAGTGACGAGGAATCTCGTGGTCTAGGCAAGTCTTCCAAGACCAAGAACCGTGGTCTTGGTAGCTCAACTGGAACTGGTGTTGGAGCCGGAGCCGCTGCCGCCGCTGCTGGCGCCGCTCATTCTCATCACCAGAATCGTGAGGGCGCTGCTGCTGCTCCCTCTACACTTGAAGGCAACCGAGGCATTGGAAGCACCACTGGTCTCCAGTCTGGTTCTGGTATTCCCGGGGCTGCCGGTGCTGGATCTGGCGTAGAGTCCATGGGCACCACTGGTAACATGAACACCTTCGGCTCCAGCAACCGTGGTATTGGAAATCCTAACACAGCTGGTCTCAACAAGTCGCACACCAGCGAGTACGACCAGGTCAAGACTGGATCCCTCCACAACGACCCTTTGAAGAGTCAACACGTAAGTGTTCGTAACATTCATAATCTGAACTAAGCTAACACGCCTAGGCCCGTGGTGACTCTGGCGTAGATACGCAGACTGGCAAGAAGCCTTCTCTGATCGACCGTCTCAACCCCATGAAGGACGCTGACGGTGACGGCAAGAAGGGGCTTTTGGACTAAACTTTTGCTGAGTGTTTGGGTAATGGTAAAAACCAATTGTACGATTAGTGATACATGATGAGTTATGCATGACGCACGCAAGTTTAGCTTAGTACCTCTGTATTTACCAAGGTTTCACAACCTCCTTTACTGCATCATGACATATAGTGAACTCTAGTCTCCATATAAAGTCCCCTTCCGTCGATTCTTTGAATGTGATCGATATATCAAAGTTTCCTAAGCATGTTCTCTTGGCACTCGGAAACTTACATAACTATCATACGGGCTGAACTTCTAATCCGATTACAATTATCCCGCACTTTTCACCATGCATGAAGTATCTTGAATTCGAAACCTGTTTCTATTTGGGTGGGTGATTGCTAGAGTTTGTGAATTGGGCTCCTATTCATGACTGGATTTGTAATTGCGATCGCTTGAGTATCTTAGAACTGGGAATTGGTATTTGATGGACGCCACAACTGGAGCTCTATTCTCCTACCAAGCAAAGATGGTAAATATTAATATACTATGTTTATGAATAAGGACTCAACCCAGGATGTATGATCGCAACTGAACAATGGGAGAGCACTACTCTTACTGTGCACCATTGAGATGCCCAATCCTTCGGGAGCAAAAACCTTGACATCTTTAATTTGGCAACTAAGGATAAAAAGGCAGAAATTCCCTAAGTTTATTATAAGCTTGCATAAGTTTATCCTAAAGTTACCTAAGTATTTTTGCCACTTATAATCGAGGTCTCATATTTTCTTGCCCCTAACCCCCAAAAGCCAGTTGACTCCCAGGATTCACGGTGAGTTCACTCTCGAGACATAAAATGCACAAACTAAAGAATCTTGTGCGGAGCTTTTATTATATGCATGGCACTACTCTAATAATCCAGCAGCGACGGTTTCACCTCCACTTCGGATCACAACTCTTTGCCCTGACTCGAGAGGAACCTTAGCAGCCAGTTTGATAACCACTCGCGCGACACCACCAGGCTGCACAACTCTAGGTTTCTTCTTGACAATCGCTCCACTGGCCTTGTCCAAGGTTGCTGTAATTGAAACAATTTGTCCAGCTGAATGCAGTCGTCCACGATGGAGATCAACAGGCATGGGCATGAGATGTTCAAACGCCATGGCTTTCATGGTGAAAGTGTCACCACAGTTGATAGGATCCTTAATGTGACAGAGCATATCGCCGACTCGAATGTGAATAGGATCGATGTTGGTCAAAGCAACACTGACACTTTGCCCAGCAACAGCCCAGTCTTGCATATCCGAATCCACCATTATTGACTTGACATAAGCTTCTTCTCCACTTGGCTGAACTAATAGAGCATCGCCAATCTGAACAGAGCCAGAGTCAACTCGGCCAGCAATAGTCGTTGTGCCAAGCTGCGATCTGAAGACCTCAGAAATAGACATTCGGAATGGGTTCTTGAGAGCACGTGTTGTTGATGGCTCTGAGTTTTCGAGAGCCTCAATTAGTGTAGGGCCGGTATACCAAGATGCAGCTGTGTCTTCTGTTCGACGAACAAGATTGTCGCCATTAAGACCAGAAATAGGGATGAAATCAATATTTTTGGGCTGGAAACCAAGGCCAGCGAGGAACCCATTAACCTGCTGGGCAATTTCGTCAAAACGCTCCTGTGACCAGCCAACCATGTCCAGCTTATTGACGGCAATGACAAGCCTCTGAACACCCAGACTTCGCAGAAGCAACACGTGTTCTCGAGTCTGGCCCTTGAGTCCCTTTTCGTAAGCTCCAGTGTTTGCGTCAATAACCAAGATGGCAAAGTCAGCTTGACTGGCACCTGCGATCATATTGGGTACGAAATCCCTGTGACCTGGTGCATCAAGAATAGTGAAGCTGGTCTTCTCCGTCTCAAAATGGTTTGTTGCAATGTCGATAGTGACACCTCGTTCTCGCTCCTCACTCCTTTGGTCCATTACCCATGCCAGGGCAAAAGACTGTTTACCAGACTTTTCAGCCTGCTTTCGGTACCGATCAATAGTGTGCTTCTCAACAAATTTGAGTTCCAGCAACAGACGACCCATCAGTGTACTCTTGCCAGCATCGACATGTCCTACTTGATCAGCATAGCACATAGGAGAAGAGAAGTCAACATACCGACTACAACAAAACTGATACTTCTCTTGTTGGAACTATTTTCATATTCCTTCAAAACATCAAGTCCCTTGCTTTTAGGGGGCGGAGCCTCAGCAATATTCAGCCCGGCAACGTCCTTTTCAGCTTCAGAAACGTCCTTGTCTTTTTCCTTTTGGGCCTTTTTAGGAGCCTTGGCCACTGGCTTTTTTCCCGCTGATTGGAATTAGATTAGCCCATTATTTCGTCCTTGCAAAACTCGAACCTTTCGCCTGGGCTGCGAGCACTACGTCATCGGGACTGGGTTCGGCGAAAGCTTCAGCGACATAAATGGGAGAGGATGTATATGGCATAGCAAAAATCTCGTCAGGCCTTGGGGCTTTGGACGGAGCAGACCCAAAGAGCGTCCGGGCAAAAGCAGATGGAGTGGCTCGAGGCATAATGACTGGAAGGTCCTCATCCATAGACAATCCCTTGGGAGTAGAATCGATGTCTTTCTGATGGTTGTCGGTGATAGCCCCAACCTCTGTTGATTCCTCTTTGGGTGGCGATTTGGCTTGTAGCGTAGGTTCAGGAGCCTGATGAACTTGACCCAAGATTGGCTGATTCTCTTTTTGTGACTCATTGATGGAAAGTCTTCCCAGTCCCCTTTCGGCTCTTTCCAACTCTTTTTTCTCTTCGGTTTTCTTCTTCCTAGCGGCCGCAAGAGCTTGAAGCTTTGACATCTTGGGAGGCCCCTCGCCTCCTCCCAATAAGCCACCACGAGGACGCTCTGGCTCAATGAAGACAGCCTGGCGTTCTTTAGGTACGCTCATCCATGGCATGTCGTCAAAATGCCATGTCGGAACTCCTAGAGCGGGTGGAAGATCCATGATAGGCGTATACCCGTTTGGCAGACGTCCGTGGTCTGCTCCAGTCCCAAAGAGGCGTTGCGAAGCAGAAAAAAAGACTGACATACCTTCAGGCGCTTTCTTCGCTGGTTTGGGGGCCGGGGCAATGAATGTCTTCATCAAGTATGTAACTGACTTGTCGATATCGTAATAGTAGTGCCACAAAGCTTCCTCGATTTGTGCTTTTGTCACCTTGGTGGCTTCAGTGCCCAGAACCCGACGGACCTCTGCTGTTCCGTCATCCATGGCCTGGCGATCCTCTGGACTGAGCTCGTCTTCCACTTCCTCTTCGTAGTCATCTCCGTCAAATTCGGATACTATTTCGTTTGTATCGAAAGTATGAACGATTCGGTGGCGCGACATCTTGTGTAGCTGGATCGGTAAGGCGGAAGATGGTTTTGGTTGAAGATGTGGTTTGGCTCAGTTACTGGAGGATGTTGATAGAGGAAAGTGTCTGGAGAGCGAGAACAGAGGAACCGGGGGCTTTTATAGACAACAAAGAAGAAGGGAAAAAATATCTTTGACAAGCTCGCAAGTAAAGTTTCCGAAATTTGCTTTGGTGAGTTTGGATTCCAAGTGTTAACTTAAGTTAAGGTCGGAGTGTGTTTTAATGATGCATCGACGATTGGCGGGGCACAAGCTGGTAGTGGGGTTCACGTTCACGATGATCTCACTAAACTGAACTGCTGAAGCCTAAGGTCCTGACTGAGTTGTGGCGGGGTCAACGCCTGAGCCCCTGATTTCGGACTATCTCGTTTCCCCGCGCCGCGCATCGGTGTGCAAGGCACCCAAATCTTCAAAAAATTGAGGTGGGAGATTCGATCAAGAAAACGATAGAAGCTCCGGGCTGCCACCATATTTCGTGGGACTTTTTCGACATCGCCGTAAACGCCTTTACTCTAGCGGATACAGCTCCCCACGGGTGGACAAGTCACAGTCAAAATGGATTCATTGAGTGAGTCCTGCACAGTTTTGTTAATGAGGGGCGAGGGGTAGCTAACGAGGGGACAGATTTGGATGTGTCGAATGGTATTTGCGACGATTTGCCTTGATGGTGATTTTAAGCTAACAATAACAGCGGCGGTAATGAAGGATGAGCAAGGCCGACCTTTCATCGTCGTCAGAGAGTATGTTCATCATCATTGCAGCCTCACCGTTATTTCCAAACCGTTCTAATATCTTTTAGTCAGGGGAAGAAGAAGCGCCAGTTTGGTAACGAAGCCGTCAAGTCCCATATTCTCGCCGCTCGAACAGTCGCAAACATCGTTAAGTCCTCTCTCGGACCTCGTGGACTCGACAAGATTCTCATCTCCCCCGATGGAGATATCACCGTGACGAACGATGGCGCTACGATTCTACAGCAGATGGAGATTACAAACCACGTTGCTAAACTACTAGTAGAGCTTTCCAAGTCCCAAGACGATGAGATTGGTGACGGAACCACTGGTGTTGTTGTCCTCGCTGGTGCTCTGTTGGAGCAGGCTGCCGATCTCATCGACAAGGGAATCCACCCTATTCGAATTGCCGACGGTTACGATCAAGCTTGCGATATCGCTGTTGCTGAGCTCGACAAGATTTCAGACACCATCGAGTTCTCCCGAGAGGAGACCTCCAACCTTGTCAAGGTCGCCCGGACAAGTCTGGGCAGCAAGATTGTGTCCAAATCTCATGATCAGTTTGCCAACATCGCCGTTGATGCCGTCCTCTCCGTTGCCGACCTTGAGCGAAAGGATGTCGATTTCGAGTTGATCAAGGTTGATGGAAAGGTCGGAGGAGCTCTCGAGGATACCCTTCTTGTTAAAGGTGTCATTGTCGATAAGGACTTCTCTCACCCTCAGATGCCTTCAGAAGTCCGAGACGCCAAGATTGCCATTCTCACATGCGCATTCGAGCCCCCGAAGCCCAAGACCAAGCACCATCTCGATATTACCAGCGTCGAGGAGTTCAAGAAGCTGCAAAACTATGAGAAGGAGAAGTTTATTGAGATGATCCAGCAGATCAAGGACACGGGTGCTAACCTGGCTATTTGCCAGTGGGGTTTCGATGATGAGGCCAACCATCTCCTTCTTCAGAATGAGCTACCAGCCGTCCGATGGGTGGGCGGTCCCGAGATCGAGTTGATTGCTATCGCTACCAACGGCCGAATTGTTCCCAGATTTGAGGATCTGACCGCCGAGAAGCTGGGTACCGCTGGTATCGTCCGCGAGATGACTTTCGGCACAACACGGGAGAAGATGCTTGTCATCGAGGAGTGTGCCAACACCCGTGCTGTTACAGTCTTTGTCCGAGGTAGCAACAAGATGGTGAGTCCTATTGATTGTCAGGGGTGAAAATAATGCTAACACACTCAGATCATCGATGAGGCTAAGCGATCGCTGCACGACGCCCTTTGCGTGGTGCGAAACCTGGTCCGCGACAACCGTGTCGTTTATGGTGGTGGCGCTGCTGAGATTGCTTGCTCCCTGGCTGTTGAGGATGAGGCCGTCAAGACACCTGGTCTTGAGCAGTACGCTATGCGTGCCTTCTCTGAGGCTCTCGACACCGTCCCTATGACCCTGGCCGAGAACAGTGGTCTCAACCCCATCGCTACTCTGGCTGAGGTCAAGAGTCAGCAGGTCAAGGCTGGTCCTGAGGGCCGAGGAAAGCTTGGTGTTGACTGCATGGGACGTGGAGACAACAACATGAAGGACGCCTTTGTTATTGATCCTCTTATCGGCAAGAAGCAGCAGCTTCAGCTCGCCACACAATTATGTCGCATGGTCCTGAAGGTCAACAATGTTATTGTGTCGGGAGCGGATGACAACGACTTTTAGATGAAGATAGATGAGCAATGAATGAATACATGCTTGTCAATCTCATCATGACTGAGGGTTGGTTATGCAGGTAGATGATATCCATGTATGTATAATCAAAAGTACTGTATATTCTTCGTACCTGGTGTTGTTTTGTTGTGATAAAGTTGGTCTGCTTGTTGACCATTATGATTGGATGCCCTGTTATGATGTCTGACAGGGATCGGAGGAATTCCAATTCCCTTGGCTTACGTGCAAAGTAATCTAAACATGCCGAACCTCAAGCAGAATTCATCAATGGATCTTAACCACAAAATCCAATACAGATAATTGACCCTGTTTAACATTCTCTAATGCAGCCCTCCGAGACTGCGGCATCCGCCCCATTAGCCTACTCCGATACTACTACTGCCGTCACCAAAAGACGTCCTATTCCTCGAAAAGGTCATACCAAGTCTCGAGCAGGTTGCTCTAGCTGCAAACGGAGAAGAGTGAAATGCGACTTGACCACACCAGAATGCGGAGCCTGCGAACGATTAGGCCTGGAGTGCGAATACCTGAATAAGCCTAAACATGGCAGTCAAAACTCAGCGGTTGTCATCTCACGACCATTGCGAACTGACCCGGTTATGTTCGATTACAATGATCTGAACTTCTTTCGACATTTCCTCTTTGAAGCCTATCCTCCTCTGCCCATAGATGGATTCACAGTGTGGCAAATGGCCTCACAGCTTTCACATTCAGTAAGCTGAATGCAATGGATATCGGTTATGTGACTAATCCCCAAAAGCACGATTTCTTACTGCACTCTATGCTTGGACTTGGAGCGTCTCATCTAAGTTTACTGACACCTTCTGGGTATGAGAAAGCGGCCTTGAAGCATCGAGTTCTTGCAATCAGTGCCTTGAATAAGCACCTTGCAAAACCTGGTCTCACCAATCGAGACGCGGAAGCAGCTTTTGGGGCGATGCTTAACTTAACTTTTCAATCTGCATATATGAACGACGGGCTCATAGACTTTCTCACGATGGTCAGGGGTTGTAAGTTAATCCTCAGTAAACTCTGCAGAGCCCCCCCTTGCTCACTTTTGAAGGTTGGCTCGTTGGTACACAACCTTATGTCGATCTAGATCATACCATCTTCAAGACATTCGGGCGTGTAAGTTACCTCGAAAGAGTTAAGGCTCTAATACAAGATGGCCATGAAACGAACCATTATCTGGACAAAGTCATCGCCGAGGGATTCTGTCAAAGTGTGCAGAAGCTTGGTCCGCTGTGCCAGAGCGTCGCTGAATTAAAATATCTTGCCCATATGCAAAGAATTGCCACCCTAGCATCTACCAGCCCTGCAGAAAGTTCGTCTTCCCATATACTTTGGTTGCAGTATTGCTAATTCTTAGGCTACCATGAACTCGCGTTCCTGTATGATGGGCTTGGCAACCTCAGCGGCAACGACTTTGCTTCATTCATCGACCCCACGAATCATGCTTCACAGCTCGTTATCTTGCACATCCTGGTCCTTGAGTTTGTGATGAGCCGGAAAGCAGTCGAAGGAGACAAGAGATCTGCGTTGGGGAAGAAAGGCTACCACTGTAGAAAAGCTATGTCCAAGGTCTGGGTTCAGCAGATTCTCCGAAAGCTCCCTGTTGAGTATTACGAATATGGCGAGTGGCCCCTGAAGTTCATTAACAGTCTCAATTACTCGTTTGACGACGAAGACCAGGTCTGGAAACCTTTCTTTCTAAGCAATGGCAGAACAGTTCTACCAGCAGGAGAGACGCTTTCTTTGGCTGTAGGATAGATTTAGAGTCTATGAACACTACTAAGCGCAGTCATGTCTCAAAAAAAAATAAAAAAATAACTGAACTACTGCCATCAAGCCACGTCAAGCCAACCCAAATCCATCTTTCCTGCAATCTAAAACAATCTCGGAAAGACTTTCGATGACACACCTGTCAGAATCCCCTTATACTCTTGATCAATTGACCGTCTATGCAAAGACTATTTGCGCTCCTGAGCAAGCTCGATGGTATCTTCAATCCGAACAGACTTGGACCGAACGCCATTTCTTCCAAGATATCGACTTGGATGGTAGAAACAAAAGATACCGATAGCGCCAACCATTGGCAAGCTTTCAAAAACCCAGAAGAGCCACTCATGGCTGAATGCATATGTGTCTCTCCCTCCAGCAAATTCAACGACTCGAAAGATGCAGCGGACCTATCGAGTTAGCGTGTGTTGCAACAAGGTCCACACGACTTACCATGATCAAGATACTCGAGATGTAAACTGCAAGGACAACTTTCTGCCAACCCCTGGGCGCATCATCCACGGACTTACGAAGGGCAAGAACATGGAAGCGTCCAAAAACGCAGAGGAAGAGAGAGAAGGCGGCAAGTTGAAATCCCAACCCGGCTATAAGAATCTTCACCCCAATTCTCTCCATCTCTCCTTGCCAGTTATCCGAACTTGCGATACCAGAGCCGCTTCCCTGAATGAGAAAGGCAATCACATCGCAGGCAACAAATATCGGGGTAAGGCGACGACCTGGAATTCGGAGGATGCGGTGATGGGATGGAGGGAGAACACTGAGAATCAGACGGCTAATAAGAAGGTAGTTTCCAGCTGCAATGAGGACAGGAGCGAGAACCGTGTAAGTGAGGGTTAAGACAAAAGGCGTCTGCCGTGTTGTTTAGAGATGGGAGTAGACTAGACAGTATCGGACCAACTCACTATCTCTGACTGGTTTTGAACAGAATGAATTCTGAGATTATAAGCAGCAACTTCAATGGCTGAGCCTATGACAACAACAATGAAGTACCAGGCTCGGTACTTGATCAGGGTGAGATATGCAATGACAAGGAAGATTATGCCATAGACAACAGCACCAACCACAGCAAGTGGGAAGGATGGATCGTACATCCAGATGGACTCTTGATCTCCCATATTGATTCAGTTGTTCGAGTACGTAAAGATGGTATAAGAAATACTGTTATTCGTATAGATCGCTGACTTGTCCTGCTATGAACATCCTTCATCTCATCATATAGCATCAAATCTATATACATTTTCACAACATCGAGGCCACGAATTTCATCATGTCTGAATGCGACGGATACGTTGACGAGGATAAAGATATCGTTACCCGAGTTTTTGGATGCTTATCCCAGTGTCAGGGAAGACTCTGGTTGGTTGTCGGACTACCCTAGTTACGTGGCCCTGTGGCGATGAATGCGATGAATGCGAGATTAGTGAAAACGACTTATACGGCAACCAATTGTAGAGGGGATCCAACGATCAAATTGTCCTCATTTGAAAGTGTAAGATGAAATTAGAACATGGAAGGGTTTTCGGGTTATACTTAAGCTTATTTACAAGGGTGGCTTTATTTTATTCACTATCATAACTACTAACCTGTCAAATAAGTTACCACTAACCGACGAGAACAAGATCCTGTTAACATCTCTGAGAGGCACCGGAGGACCTCGGATCATGACTCAGTTCCGACACGGGAAAAGAGATCGGCACAAGGAATCAAGAAATTCGGAACCGAGGTGACGTTGACCTCACGAGATGAGGGCATTCACATGGACACATAGCAGTTGCAAGATTCTCGTACGTGTTGTTCATACTTCAAAACACCACATGATGCTATCTTGATATTGACAGCTGTAGGGATTTCTCATGATCGAAAGGCGTGTGAGACAAAAGTGTACTCAGACCCTGACTTGATCGATTGAGGCAGATGATTGGGGTCGGGGCGCCATCATGGCATGGGGTTGCGGCGAGTATGAGAAGCGTGACCTTGGTCACGCAAAAGGGAATAATTTTATTCTATTCGACTTCTCGGTTGATATCCTTAGCGAGTGTAAGCAAGCGCTTAGATCTAAGGCTGAGACATAGTCTGATTGCTCCAGAGTTAGCAAGACATGTGAGTTAGACTTGGGCAGAGACAATGAAGTTATCTTGTCTCTTCTCTTGTGTATCACCACCGGCACCTCAGCAGGCAGCCTCACGGCGGCGAAGCGTTACACACTGCCACCCGCCAGCCGCACTTCTCTAGCGCACTGCGACTATTGGATCGTATGTTGTAAATTTATCTCACATACCATCGATTAATACACGGTGCTCCTTTATCGTGACTTACCAGGAAGGGGAAACGGCCCGTCAGTGGGAACTGTGTCCCCCCAAAGTGCCTTCACCGATGTTCTGATTTTGAGTGTGATTATGCTCGCTGTGAGACTCAGAGATTGATGGGGTACCATTGTTGCTGAGGGGTGCATGTGAGTCAGTTGAGGGCTTGGTGTGAGGTTGACGCGAGATGCTGTGCATGTTAAGTGATAACTTACAAGTGAGCATGGAGAATCAAGAATTGAAAACGGTGAATAATGAAGATGAATCAATAAATAACTGAACAATTAAATAAGAACAATATACGACAGATAATATTCATTGAGGGCCAGTGTTCAAATCAATAAGAAGTGTATTCTATCAAGAGTCTATAACTGATATGTCAAGTTTGTGAGTTGGTAAAGGCAGAAAATGAAATGCCAAGTCAGGGCGACGTGTGGTTTGCATGACTACCAGATCTACCGTTTGAACCGTATCGACTCCCGTTGAAGATAAAAGAATTAAAAGCAACCAATAAATAATTCGCATTCATTTAAAACCCGTAAAACAAATAATCAAAACGGTACAATATTCTGCCCTGAATGTACAGACAACCACACAGCACCGGGTTCCCGGGCCTCACCGCCCACTGTGGTCGCTGTAACAGGCCTTGACGGTCATCTGCTCTCAACTTGCTGAGCTGTACAACCTCAAGACTGGATCTCAAGACGCACACTCCCCCCCACCATCTCTAATAATAAAGAGAGGCCTGTCAATTAACACCACAAACCCCAACGTATAACAAATAAAGATGGATGTCTCTTGCTTCTTCCCCGGGCTTAGTTGAGACACCATCAGCTCTACCGACTCTTCCTTCAAACGCAACACCAAAAAACAACAACAAAGGCCTCCATTTCCATGTTTCAACCCGCTTGTCGCACTCTCTGGCCCTTCTGTTTGCCTATCACGGGTCAGCAAACAGTGCCCTCATATGCGACGAGCCGTTTTCGAAGAAGGAAAAAGAAACTTCTCAGAGACATTGCATTACATGACGGATACGTCTACCAAGTAATCAACTTCCATTATCATAATGGCTTGCTTTGTCCTACATGCATGCGACGTAATGACCAAGCCAGACCCTATCAATGCACGACTGTCAAGTGTCAATGTCAATTGATGAATCTAGTGACTTCTCATCTATTTTATTCTTTTTTTAATGCTTCTTTGTTGCGGTCAAGTAGCCACGTTCTCTGTCCGGTGCTCACCAGATCAAAATCAAGTTTGGCTGATGGCCTTTCTTTTGGTGCCACGACATCACCACCTCGTATTGTGATATAGCCATATTTATCACATTCACTACCTAGGTGTTCCTTCATCGTCTGATTTGTTTTCAGGCTTTTACAACGGCTCATCTTGATATTATCGGGCAGCATCACGGACCCCTACTCATGAATCGATTCGTACATGGCCAAGCTCTGTCATTAATAGACTTGTGATAGATCTCAGCCACCACGGCTTGCAACATGCACGCCTTTAGCCTGAATCCCTGCTGATGACTTCCGAGTACTATTGTCCAGGCATTATGCTTGATTATTGATAACTTATATCTCGTAAGTAACGTACCGTTCACCGACGTCGATGTCAGCCACAGCCCCCGCGAAGCGGAACCCCCGTGACTGTCCAAAATCGGCATGTCAATGGATCTTCTCTCATCTCTCATTCACATTGTGAACTTCTCGACATTGCTCCAATCATCTTGACCCATCATCTCACGAGAGACAAATGTCCAAACGGACGACCTTCCGGGCGCTTCATGTCGTTCCCCGTCTGCAAGTAGGAAGACCAAGCAAAACCGATCGTCGATGCGGGGGTGATCTTGGGGAGGGACAACGGCAGAAGCTGCAGTAGGAACTGTTACAGTCACCTACGTCGAGTCAAACATACATGGCCCCGGCTTATGTGAGTGTCGTCCTCGTGGACCGTCTTGTGCAGCTGAAAGCTGGATCAACCTTCTACTGTAACACAGGTGGCTGGCTTTGACATTGACAGGCCGAAGTTCAAATGCCAAGGGTCGACGTAGTCAAGCCCTCGCGGGTTTCCCCTGGAAGACACGCATGTTGGCTTTGTTTACAAGATCTTAGAGGAGTTTAGATTATTTAGTGTATGTACTTCACTTCCCTTCCTTTGTTCTTATACGGTGCCACAGGGGACTCATATGGGATGACCGTCTTGAACTCCAGACAATGAATATATTTGAGCCAATGAGATATAGAAGAGCTCATAAAAAAGCTTGATGTTGGTTTGAGTTCTCTCACTGGACTTTTTTAATCAATTTTTGCATCTCCATGATTATAATTAGGTGCCATGACTGGGCGGGCTACGAAGCTGGTTTCACCTGGTGATACTGCATCTCGTCTTCCAAGGTTGAGTCATCATGAATTAGTAGACAGCAAAATAATATGAGGTATGAGTCAATTAAAAAGAAAGTATATCAATCATCGAATAAGAAATTGGCAATCTCAGTTGGATGTCTTCATATGGAAATGGCAGTCACGATGAGTCACTCTCCAATTCGCGTTAATGAATTTGGTTGTGCTCACGTAAGGAATCAACCCCAGAGACAGTGGAGAAGCTCGCCACTCCATCAACATCACGATAAAAACACACCCGTCTCTCCATTTCCATTGATTTCCCAATTACAGATCATAGCCATTATTCTGAGGCTGTATAGTACCGTTCTTTCCTTGCGCGGAGTTTGGGTTCATTTCGCGTCAATCGCTAGTTTTCAACTTCAACCATCGCCAAAATACCACCATTAACCGGCCAGCGACAGCCCACCTCTAAAAACGTCATGATTTCTACCAAAAAGTCAGGCTCGCCACAGACCCGTAAACAGGCTGTGGCTGAAGCCTCTTCTTCTAGAGTCGTCCCAAAGCCTGTGCCAGATTCGCAAGCTCAGGATCCTAGGACATATCAGATCGATCAGCTGCGGCGACGCTATTCGCCAAAGGAGACCACCGCGCCAGACGGTGCGACTTCATTGCTGTTCAAGATTAAGCCCTCGGATCCTGACTTTCCTTTTGAGCTGGCTGCTCTCGAGTGTGATCTCCGTGTCCCGCAGGCATATCCGGATGAGAAGCCGGTGCTGCATGTGAAGAACAAGGACATCCCAAGGGGTTTTGGTATCAATATCGAGAGAGGATGGGATGGACTCGTGGAGGAGAGACCTGGGGCTACGTTGCTCGCTCACACACGAGAGTTGGACAAGAATTTGGAAAAGTTTCTGTCTGAGCAAAAGGCCGAGACAGTCAAGCTCGTGACCTTTAGGGACACGAGGCATGTGGAGGCACAAAAACCTCAGACAAACGAGCCAGTACAGCCCAAGCAAGTCTCTGAGCCAGCTCCGCCAAAACCTCCCACCCCCTTTACGTACGTTCCAGAACCGTCGTACACAAGAGATGAAATCGCCGCTGCAAAGGAACGACGTGCTCTTGAGATTCGTCAGCTCGAGGCGCGTATGAAGAGGACACCCGAGTATCGTCGTTCTCCTGATGGCGTCGTGTACACGCTGCCGCTGCAACCACTAAAGCGCTCGGAGCTTCCACCAGGACTGCAATCTGTCAGGAGTCTTCACTTGATTATTCCGCTGATTTATCCCCTACAGAACCTCCGCATTCAGCTCAATAATGTCGAGCCTGAAGATGCGGAGCCTGTAGAGGATCTCTTCTGTGAAAAAGCAGCTGAGCAACAGCAGATGTCTCTCATGAGTCATCTCAACTACCTCGCACAAAACATCCACAAACTGGCGAAGCAGGCACAGGCACAGGCACCCAAGGTCGAACCAGCAGCGTCGGTACCTGAAGATCAACCCAAAGATGCAAAGGAAACGGAGTCAAAGTCTGAAGATAGCCATATTCAGGTAATCCCGCGACCTCCTGAGTGGAACCACGTCGATGGAGATGAATCTGAAGATGACTCCAGCTCTGATGATGCTGATGAGGGCGGTGCTGTGTTAGAAAATGAAGAGAAGGAACCACAGGTCGCCATGCCAGGTGAAACCCCTGAGCGCGGTACCATGTTGTCGTTTCCATCTATTGAGTTGCACGGTATTGAAATACTTCAGCTCTCCATCTTGGGTATCTGTGTGAAGTGCGAGCGATGCAAGACAGTCAACGAGGTCACAGGCCTAAAGCCTGACGTCGAGAAGACATTGAGCTGCAAGAAGTGTGCAACGCCGTTTGCCGTCAAGTATCGACCTACACTGGTTCACGAGCATTCTACTAGGGCTGGGTTCCTAGATCTCGCTGGGTGCAAAGTGGCAGATATGCTTCCCAGCACCTTTGTCCCAACCTGCGAGAGATGCTCTACCCCAGCTCCTGGTCTTGTCTCAGTACGGGGTTCCTCTGTCACCAATGTCTGCCGAGACTGTCACGGTCATTTCACTTTCAAGATCCCTGAAGTTAAGTTCCTCTTCATCACACCTGGTTCGCGCCCTCCGCCTACCGCAGGGCCGCGGCGGAAGCAGGAGAAGCTGGGCCTTCACGCGGGAGAGCAACTCCCAAACAAGGGCGCATGCTCGCACTACCGAAAGTCCTACCGATGGTTCCGTTTCTCATGCTGCAGCCGGGTTCATCCCTGTGACAAGTGCCATGATGATATGGAAGATCATATCAATGAATGGGCCAACCGTATCATCTGCGGCTGGTGTAGTCGCGAGCAAAACTATTCTTCAGCAGTTGAGGCGTGTAGATACTGCGGCCGGTACCTGATAGGCAGAAAGGGCAGGGGATTTTGGGAAGGCGGGAAAGGGACCCGTGATAGGAGAATGATGAGTCGGAAGGATCCGAGAAAGTACAAGAGGATTGGTGGCTCGGCAGCTAAAGACAAAGAGACCTAGAATGGGCCTTGCCTGGCGGTTCTTTGTCACAGCTGAGAGGCGCCAGGCTGAAGCTTTCTGAGTGCACTGTACATCAGCTGTCAGCTTAGATGTAACCCCATATCAGCTGAACGATAATGCTCGTTGCCACTGGTCATCATTGCCTTTCTCAGCGGTTACGAGCCGCCAGTATTTACACTTCATGAAGATCTGTAACCATGGCGATAATAGAAAAGGATTGTCACCGTTTCGCAAACAAGAGTACCAATCTTGGACATGTGAAACGTGTGAAGGGTGGGGGTTACGCAGCCCATTCATGTGAGCATCCTGATTCTATTCCCGTCGGTATCTCGCTGTAGCGACGATATGATTTGAAGATGTGGGAATGGAGTGTCACATTGAGTTATGAGGCGTTTGTGTGGGAGTAAATGGCGGCAATTGGTGGGAAGGTTATTATTGGTGATTATTATTATGTTGAGAAGAAATAAATGGCTGAGAATAAAAATTTAAATAGGCAAATAAGATATGAGGATTAAATCGCTACCTACTAATTGGTTCCTGTTACATCCAGTCGGAATGGGTGGTGGTGATTGTAGTCAGCACAATGCTTAAAGAATACTTGCGAATATGTTGATAAACTATGGAGTATAAGTACGCCGCTTTATTTTAGCGATACGGCCAAGTTGTTGGGAGATACTGTGATGAATTCTAGAGTGCAAGTTGAATCATTTGTCTTGTCTTCTGTGTGGTTGTTGCGCGGATTCATATGGTCTGAATGACGATACATTGGCGATTACCCCCCATAAAGATCATGTTGATGTATGTAAAGATTGATTGGATGCAGAGTTTTCAGGGTGTGTATTGAATGAAGTCGTACGCAGCCGTTGGATATCACGCAATTCTTCATCACTTTGCCATTACATACTGCAGGGCATGCGCTGTAATGCTGCAACTCACATGCGTCCTGCGAACTACTGTTGGCATGTGAAGCGAGGGGAACAAAAGAGAGAGTTTTCTCAGCGGTATCGGACACGATATTCAAGTTATTGCTTATGTTGGCGACATCGGATGCGTTGGAAGTTGAGGCGTGACGTGCTGCGCGGGATGATTGATGGGAGCGTGGGATGTGGTGAGATAATTTGATAAGATAGATAACAGATGGATGTTCTTCTGGAAGCTGAGATCAAGTCACGCGTGAATATGCAATTAATGTTAACTTGTTTAGGTGTAACAAGATGCGTCTGGCTAAGGCTCTGAGCATGACAGGACGACCAACGGTATGCAGGGACTGTAGGGCAAGGTGTTGAAGAATATGGCCCACGATTGAACAATAACGAACCAATGTCTGAGCCGTATCAAAGCACAATGTAAGTCGACTTGAAGGCATCACCAAACAAGTGATTCGATAGCCAATGCTGTGGCGTACCAGTTTACCCCATAGTCCACTCTGAATCATGGATGGACCCCTGTAAAAGGCATCACAGGACTGTTCTAGCTTTCGACGCTGAGGTGTATTTCTGGCTTCCTCTCCACTCTGGGTGATGCCACATGAGGAATATTGAAACAAACACAGACTTATTACCCCTGATGCCTCGACAGGAGAGCGTGATATTTTCTAGCTCAGTTTGTTGTTTGCTTCACTCCCCTTTCTTTGATACTTGGCCGAGTAATGAAAGAATGAAAGAGGCGCCTGAATGACCGCGGATCAACGGACAGACGCGCCGGACCGTCGCTGGCCCCCATCACGGGACCTAATTATGGCTGGACGGGGATGAGATCCGTGGTTAGTTTAGTGCTTTGTGAAACTTGAGAGAGTCAGTTGAGGTGAAGCCAAGTCAGATCATGCCAGGGCAGAGTTCAATGGCTTTGACTATGGCTTGTGAAAGGTATTTTACAGAAGGCTTCAATTTTCATCAAATACTCCAGTCACACCCTGTCTCTAACATTCCGTCTGTTCCTTTGTCGAGTATCACTTAACAAACAGATGACCTTGATATGAAACGACTAGATATATCAATCATCTCGGTCAACCTTGTTAGCATAGTTTGGCTTCATGTCACGGCCACGGAGACCAGACAGACTCACACGTGCGCCATGACCCCCATGCGTAAGCCCTGTCTCTATTCATCCCATGTTATCATGCCTTCAGGCTTCTCATCTCATTTTCCCTTGTGCCAAGCCAACGTTCCCGACTCAGGCTTGCCCCCGCGGGTCCTCTTCCGGCGCCAGGGAGACCCCTGAAAGTGACAGACAGGGGAGGCCTAAGCCCTTCTAGAAGGTCAAAGCAGGCATGATGTCGTGAGTTGATGCCCAGTGATTTATCAGACAAATAATAATATTTCATTCCATTTTATTATTTTAGTTGATTTGTTTAAACGGTGGTTTATACCATGGCTACTAAACGGTGACCGTTTGCTTCAAGACCAGTTTATTGGAGTTGGTCACGGATGATACCGATACTGCGTTAATTGTAGTGATCACATCCACCAATTGCTTCTGCCACTAGTATCCCTCTCTCCAGACTCAACCCCTATCTCGCAAAGACTGAACATAGAGATATAACTGATATTCAATTGATCCTACCGTTTTCCAACTACCTGCCATTAAATCAAAACATAAACAGACTCCGGGTTTAACATCAAAAACCAATTCGCATATCAAAAACCCTTTGGCCTAAATCCATCTCCTGGCGTAGATAAATGCTTGTCTATGGCCCCCAATCCAAATCCTCAACTCGCCTCCCTGATCTGATGATATTTACCGAGCTGCACTCTGCACGTCGGGACTCTCAACCCATGGTCCCCGCTATCGCATCTCAACCGCTGTCAGAGGTCAGCCCGTGAAACCGTCAACCCCAGGTGGAATTTTTGTATTGGTAACGAATAGGCGAATTCCTTAGGCTTCACCAGATACTGTGATTGGATCTTCTCAGCACAGTTGCTCCATGGGTATAATAAAAAGAACGGTGTGGACTTGGGCTTTAATCCTTGGGAGTGTGCTCGAAGGATCGACGGGCTCATCTCGACCCTTGGCTTCGCTTGGAACTCCATCGATATCGCGGCTAAAGCAAGGGGTATATGTTGGGCATCACCAACAGACGAGCATCCGCATTGCTATTTCGGGACGAGTAAAGCACCGGAGTCCGGAGCCCTAGTTTGATTGCCCCGTAGCCTTATGGAGAATCTTGTCTGAGAAACAATACCAGGCCCGCCCTATCGCGGTATCCGAGAATCGACTTTCCGGTGTCGTCTCTGCCCTGACTTGGGCATCCGAATCCTCTGGAAGTTTCGGGCACCTTGCGAACAGACACAGGATCAAGGCTAAGCCGGCCAAGAGGCTACCTGTCATCCAGAGACACTGCAGCGCTTTCGCCACGGCGTTCATCATGTGCTCGTGTTGACCAAGGCTTCCCTGTTCGACGGAGGCTTTGATCATCTTCAAGGCGTTGCTGATCTGAGCTGTGTCGAGGCCCATCTTTCCGAGCTCCTTTTCCAGCTGAACGGAGAAGACCGCGATACCAATGGCGATTCCCATGCATTGGCCCATCGTTCGAAGGACATAGATCATGCTGATTGCATGTCCAGCACCCTCCTCATCGACTGTGGCTTGTACACCAATATTCATGACTGGAATAAGCAGGCCCATTGCGATGCCCAGGAATAAGGTGATGACCAAGATCACCCACGTTGGGGTATCCTTATCAAGAATTGTCATAACTCCAAGCATGATGACCAGGAGAGCCCAACCACCAAGCAAGAAGCCCATGTATCGTCCTGTCTTGCACGCAACAAATCCCACCACAGCCGCCATAGGAGCGACGGTGATAGTAGCTGGAAGTGCCCACACGCCAGTCATAAGCGGTGACTGGCCTTTGATACCAAGAAAGTAGACGGCAAGATAATATAGGACCATCCACATGAGAATGCCGTGAATAGTCGCACTGGCAAACTGGAGGACTGTCGATCGATGTCGGAACATACTCTTTCGAAACATAGGCCTTTTTGTCGTCTTCTCATAGAATCCTAGCCCTATGAACGCGAGGATCGAAATGATTAGAGGAACGATAACCGCTGCTGACTTCCAGGGGAAGCGTGAACCACCCCAAGTCAGAGGGAGGAGCAGACTGACACTGGCGATGATGTATAGGAAAATTCCCACCCAGTCGAGATTCTTGATGAGACGCAGGTTTCGCTTCTCTTTATCATATCCTAGGAGAAACATACCTCCTATCAGGCTACTCCCAAGGAATGGAAGGGTGCACCAAAAGATCCATCTCTACAACGATTAGTATCAGGACATGTGGTATGGTAATAAAGGATACATGCCCATTGGGAGTCTTTGTTCTCAACAACAGCCCCTCCAATGAGAGGTCCAGCAATAGTTCCAAGGGCCCAAGAGATGTTCTGATACGCCATCCATCGCGAACGCTCACGGATCGCGAACAGATCGGCGTGAATCATACCCGACAATGCCTGAGGTCCTCCTGATCCTATTCCTTGTACAGCTCGACCTGCAAGAAGCATTATGCTACTTGCTGCAGTGCCGCAGAGGACCGTTCCAAGGATGAAGATGACGAGGGCTGCGATATATGCTGGCCTTCTCCCAACGACATGTGCGATTTCGGCAAAGATGGGCTGAGCTATAGCTGTCGCCAACAGGAACACCGAGCCCATACTCAGGCTTTCGGAAAAGGATGCATTCAGTTCTCTTGCGAGTGACTGGATCCCTGTAAGTGATGGCTCCACAACTGGGAAGGGGTAACTTACAGGAAGGACAACGCAAATGCAAGTCGCATCGAACGCCTGAACGAGAGAAACCGTATTCATCACGAGCAAGATGCTCAGCTTGCGGAGATGACTGAGCTTTGGTTTATCTCCATGTTGTTCTTGAACCTGGCCTTGGGAGGCAACAGGCGCAACGGCCTCTTGGACCTTTTCGGTCGTCATGTTTGCCATGATTGAAGATGGTTGTAAGGATGAAAATTCCAGAATCACGACAGGGCACACAGTATTTGTGACATTTATAATCAGGTCGATCAGCCAATTCCTTCATGATAAGATCACGTAAAGTTTTAGGGCTTTTGTTTACCAAACGTTAAATAGGTAAACAAGGCCAGGTGTAATCAAGGGGATGAGGGGGTCTTCACCTTTACAAACACTCATGTGCCAGAAATGTTCCTCAAAAGTCTTCTGCTATTCATCAGAAATAACAGCCATGGAACACCTTAATGGCCCGGCGATCCTTTCTGGATTCCTCATGTCCAGTGTTGTTTACTGGCATGTTTACTTCCTTGTTGACTACCTCCTCCGCAAATATACCCCAACCATTCACGAACGACTCAAGCGCGAAGACGAGTTGCGGAAACTCTTGCCCCTCATTATCACACTTGTCCGAATGGCCTTCGGACTTACTGTAACTCTGCCGTCCTGTATTCAAGCTGCGAGAACTACACCATGGGGAGTCGATCAGCCCCTGAATAACGCAGGGAAAGTTTGCATTGTATCGCAGCTCGCAGTGTGGTCCAACGAGCTGCCTCAGGCCCAGTTCTACTCTGTGGAGCTGTTCGTACACCATATTCTTTGTCTTGTTGCAACAGCCAACATCATTCTTTCGCCGCCGATACACCAAATCAAGCCTCTCTACATCTACTTTGGGTCACTGTGTGGTGATATCGGGCCGGGATCTGTCATGATACTACGAATGGCTGGCCATAAGCTCAAGACCTCGAAGCTGTTGTACAATGTTTCCTTGGGGTCGACCTTGCTGTCGATCTTTTGTCGCATTGGAGGCGCTTTCTACACCCTAACCCACGTCCTCACCGATCCCTATAATCTTGCCGACTGGGTAAGCGCCCTTGGAATCTTGCTCTTTGGATCCTACTCTACATACACTGCGTTTCAACACTTGGGACGACTCGAAATCATCAAAGTCGATCCCGTGCGATACAAGGTCACGTACTTCTGCCAATTCGCGGTGCCTATCTCGCACTCGTTATTGGCAGTCGCCTGTAGCTTTACACTCCTATCAACCTTGTTCCTGTACGGAATCTTCCTTGAGCGACCTTTGAGGCCTGGTGAAACACATCGACAGTCACTTCATAGCCTTATTGCCGTCGCAATTGGGATGACGGGAGCTCTAATTGCAAGGCTCGCTTACCCGCAAAATGCCTCCCGATCTAATCCATGGGGACGTTTGTACGTTCCGTTTGGCACAATCTTGGCAGGTATATGTATCTCAATCATCGGCACTTTCACGAACGATGCGGACCGCGACAAAGTTCTGGCATCGATAGGGGTCAGCTTACCTTTGTTCTTCTCCCTTGCCAGGGTAGCTCAATACTACGCAGCCAAGGACGTAGAAGCAGCGCGTGATGCGAAGCTGCCTCCAGCGGACAGCTTCATAAGGAGACACGCGGAGATTGCTCTAGAACATGCTGTCATATTCATCATCATTCTGGCACTTTTGATTCCCAACCTCCTGAGTCTCCTGGACGCAGCACGTCTTTCAATTGCAGCATGCCTTGTCGTGCAACTCCGATATCGTTGGACTATCATGCCTCTAGCCGCTGCAAACATCCATGGGCTAGCAGGCGTTTTGCTAGCTATCGTGCTCATCGTGTTGGAGCCTGGCTTCATTGCCTTTGCCACAACGGGAAGATACATTCGCCTTGAAAGTTCCTGGACCGCCATTTTCCAAAACTATCTGCTTCTTGGGGGAACTGTCATGGCTGCCATCTTTGTGCCAAGATCCGAAACTGCATCTAGGCCATGCGAGACTGTGACAAAGCCTTGCAGGTCGAAGAGATTCCATCCTATCACCATTCTCTTCGTCTTCTTCTGCATTTTGCAGGCAATGTTGATTCGAAAGTACATGACTTTCGATGGGAAGACGCCAGAGATTTGTCCTGGTTTTGTGAACTTTCGATCAATCTTTTCAGACGTTTACACTTGGGTGGGCGCACTACACATGGCTTCATTGCCGGTAGTTGTTTTAAGGGAGCTGGAGTAGGAATGCATTAGGAAACATCGATTGTGTTTCAAAGACTCTCACGCACTCAGCCGTTTTCCTATAATTCATTCCCGCTCCACTGCTTGTTTGTTCACTGCCTGCCACCTGCCGGACACTGGCAGCTCAGCTTGCCTTTTTCACCTCGTCACTGTGAATCAGTGGCCTAGGCAACATAATATTATTTTCCTTTATCCATCCTCTCTCTTTTTTATTTGTACGTGACTGAATCTGCGTCTTCTTTTCTGCCGGGGCTTCTTCCATTCCTCTCACCTCCCAAACTCCAGTCATGTCGGCCGAACAATCACAGGAGGAAACTCATTCGCAGCGAGAGAGAGATCTCTCTGCAAAACTCGAAGAGGCAGAGTTGGCGATCCAAGCCAATTCGCGACGTGAAGCAAAACTCCTTGCCGAACTTCTCGAAGCAAAGACAACGCTTCTCGATGAATCACAACAACGCGAGCATCGCCTTTCGAACCAGCTGAAACAAAACACAGTTGACCTTGATGCGTCTCACAAAAGAGAGAAGAAAACTTTGACCGAACTTGAAAAACTTACTTCCGAGTTTGATGCCTTCAAGAAGAGCGCCGATGACCCGTCATCGGAAATGCTTGAGAAAGAAGCTGCTCTCGTTGCGTCTCGACAGCAGGAACGACAACTGTCGATGGAGCTTCAAAGTATCAAGAATGAGATTTCCTCCTATAAAAACAGCCGAAAATCTATGAACAAAGAGCTTGCCGACGCAAAGAAGGATCTGGAACAATCTCGGGGCCGTGTAACGGAACAATCAACTCGCCTCCAGGAGGCCAATGACAAGGTCCGAGAACTTTCAAAGGAGCTAGAACGATCCAAACAAGAGATTCTTGATATGGGCAAGGCCAGTGAACAGGCAGGCCGTAACTACCAGAGCCTTTGGTCTCGGTACAACAGACTACAAGAATCCAATCAGAACAATCAACATTGCCAACAATCGACAGCCCAATGGCCGCCGCTTCCATCATCCTCTCGGGGTTTTCGATTCGATGAGCCGCCACAAGAAATAAACCCTATTTTTGACTTCAGGCGCGGAGCGTATCAGCAAGGGTCGCATGTTGATGTGGCACAGAGGTTCGGAACACCGACATACTCGACGGCCAAGTTCGGCACAGTGAGTACTATACTGCCAGGAGGCTCACGGTCATTCAGTTTCGACGGCAGTTCTCAACCAAAGACTACTTTCAACGGTTTTGGAGCTGCCACCCTGCAGCAGAATCCCCAACCTATTCCTCCCAGTGGCACTGGAAACCAGAAACGGCAACAAGATAACCAGCCTCAGCAAGGTGCAGCCGATCCCAAGAGACTTAAGAGGGAGACATAGCTTTTCAGAAAGCTAAATTTTGAGATAACAGCTCCTCAATACGTCGAAACTACGACATGAATGGTGTCGTTTCTTCTTCATGCATGAGATTGGAGATAGCTCGGTGTGCTACACATCGAATCACACGTATAAAGACATTCCACACAATGTCCATGGTCACTGGACGTCAGTAAACATGTTAAAAGCCCTAAATTTTGAGCAGCAGGGATGATGGAGGAAAGGAATTTCTAAGAAACACATGGTGGGCGAAAATGGACGGATATGCTGTCGGAATCATGGTTGGGGATTTCAGCGATGTGTGAAGCACGACTCAACAGAAACAGTCAATATCTACTGAAAATTGTAATTTTAATGCTTCCTCAAGCCTCAGTTCAACGTTATACCGAGAGGTCTTATAGTTGAGTCTCCACCTGGTGGTTCAACTTGCTATGATAACGTACTTGCAATCTTTTATGAACTTCCTCTAACAATGTCCTTCATGTGGCATAAAGAGGTATCGTCTTTGATATTGACTGATGTACTAAGACTACAATGATTAGCTATCGCAAAACGACCGTACACGAGGACAAGATATAAGAAAGATCTCCTTTTACCCAAGCGAACTCATATCATTACCCTTATTACCCGAACAGCAAGATTCCTTTACATCTGCAGAGACTATGTGCTTCACTGTGATAACCAAAGTTGCGATAATCTCTACTATATATTTGGAGAAACTCCTCGCTTAGAAATATCGTATGTTTCTTGAGCTTGTCCTGAGTTTGATCGCCTGGTGATTGACCTTTGGTGATGCAATTGAGGTCTCAGGCTGGGCGTGGTGATTGTCGAGTTAGCAAGACAACCATTCGCTTTGTATCGTCAACTTGTCGATCGTGCGAGTCATGACATCTTGTCAAAGACTGGCTAGCAAGTCAAGTTTCTACAATAGTCTTAAGAAAGTGACATGGTGTGAAGGACTTGACATCATTGGAGATCAGATCTCCTATTGCCGAACTTGCTATGATGTAATGGATGCTTTTGGCGATCCGATCCAGCAAACTTTAGGAACAGAAGAGCCAAATATGGTATTGAGGCTTAGTTCCTGGCTAATGTGGAAGAGACAAACAATTGAATTGGTCGCGAGTCAAGTGTTTATGTTACTATGCACACTCCTGAGACTGATCGTATCCATTTGCCCCTTGGCCCAACAACTGTCCTTAGGAAAGGTATTGGCCAATAGAAATATTTGAAAGTCATTGAAAAGATATAGGAAGTTAAATGGTGAGATTATGTGATTGGTATAATAGTCGATGTATCTGTGGCCTGATCCTATAGCTAACCCCAGGTAGATTATACAAATACTTTGCCATATATGGTTGAAGAAGGATGTCTCGTCGACTACGGTACGAGACTTGTATTGAGCATCACTTCCATAACTAGCACCGTTAACTGGCCATCCTTCAACTTACAACTATAAATCTGTATGAGGGCATCGCGGGGTTTCTCCCTATGCCACCCTCCAGTAACACAACCCGTTTCAGATTAAACAATAAAGTATTGAGTATTAGGCAAGGTTAAAATCTCTGACATCATATCAGATCTTTTCTTGACCGAGGTAGCTGAAACGGGGTGTTTCAATGTCCATTTTCGGCATCACGTGGGAGTAATTTCATCAGCGATGATATGTATGTCAACTCTAGGCTGCCACTCGACTTTCATATGATTGATTTCTATTACAATTAAATCTTACACCGACTCAGGATCAGGGATACTCTGACATTATCACATTGTGCGTGCCAACGCATCGACTCGGCCCGTATGCCACCATCCTTGGCCACGGGCCGTGGATCGACACCTCATCTTGTGGTGAATACCACCAACCTTCAGGCACAGCAACTGCTGAAGGGCCGAGAATATGCTGCTCTGGGGTGTCAACCCATATTCCAGCCCCGGGCCCGCGGATCAGACCCTCGATGCATCCGCATGAATGCGATGGCCAGCATCCAGGTTCTCCGCATCAACCCATCACCAGGCCTCCTCTCTGACCATCACATGTCGCCTGTCAAACTAAAAGGAGAAGCTGCCATCTTTATCATCTCCTCTTGATTACGGCCCTCCGATCCGATCAGGGTCTTCGTTTGCACGGCATAGTTTCTCCGTCGGCTGACCCCTACTGTCTTCCCCGGAACATGGGGTTTCGGCTTCAATTTCAACCCACGCAGAACCGTTTGTTTGGGAAGTTGGGGAAATCCGGACGAATTTGGGGGTCAAATTGCTCGGGAGGGGGTGGCAACTTGACAGTCGACAGCAAAGCACATGGAAGCCAATGGCCTGGAAGCTGGAAGCTCCCCGTGGCATGATACCATGTCAGCAGGCACAGGGCCCTGCAGGCTATTATGTCTGGTAAAACCTGGAGTCTGGGGTAACATGAGTTTGATATGCACGACCTGCCCGTCTCAGCAGAGGCGCAGCCGAACCGCTGATTACCAGTAAACGATTATTAGTCAAGGACTCTGGATAAGAACTGCATCAATTTGCGTGTTTTGTGATAATCTCTGTCTTATCAGCCAAGTGCATTGGGTAGTTTCCAGCATCAGAAGACACCTTTGCCTATACCACCATCAAAAGCCTTCAGCCGACGAGGAGGCTTATTCTTCGATCGACATGATGGCTTTATGCTAAAACCACACTGGTGGTACTGCACACAACCAGACAGCGAGTCTGGGCATTTACTATAGCCATATCTGGCATGTTCCAGTATATCACTGCTTAGGCCTCTATAATAGGATGTTGACAATTCAGCCGCTCACGCAAGAATGGTCGACGAGTTGCACACGACAGTCAACTTGGCGTTGTTGACACAACGTCTCAGCAATATCAAGGCTGAATTCAATAGACGTCAATGGTCGACATCGTTCCCCCCCCCCCCCCAAACTTCAATCAATTACCGGCCGCGGCACAATGGCTTTAAACTCTCGGCAGAAGATACAAAGGAGGGAATATCAACGGCCACTTTGGTGGGTGCGGAGAACCTTCACCACGTGGTACGCTTAAGAAATGGTAGTAGGTACATGAGATACCTCCAAAACGCAGGAAATTGACATCTGCTTAAGCTAAGCACTAGGGGTGACAGTCAACTAAAGTTGCCCAGTCGGCTTCATGTTCGGCAAGTCTAAGCTTCGAGTGGTGTTCTCAAGGGGTATATTTTGTCGGTATTCAATTCATCTGAGGTTTCCAACACGCGGCTGAACAACCTTGAGCTGAAGTGCAGACCTTGGATCAACCAAGCCACTCCAACAACTGTAGTTTCACTTGAATCGTAATTCACATCCTCCACCATCTCCAACTGTTATCCCCTCATCGGCGACTCCGTTGATAATGGACCATGAAACGCATGCCCACATGGTGATTACCGATAGAATCTGCGGACCCATATTGTCGACTTTGCCTCCCGTGGCTAGGAAGATGACACAGCCACACGGATTTCACGTGTCAAATATGTCAACGAGTGAAAGTAAAAAAGCGATCCATTTATTTATCACAGCTGCACCAATAAGAGAATATCAATTACCCTGCCATTGCCGGACCGACAGAGGCAGTAACGGTTAACTGATATCAATGGCTTTGAGAAGGGCCGCGGCGAGACATGCAAACGGTGATGAGGGTCCCGTCCCAGCAAAAAGGCATTATTGAGGGGCCGAGGAGCGCCGTAAAGTCGCCGGAAACAAGACGATTCTTATCAGTGGAGATGTTGAAGTTTATGGAGTTTGTTCTGGAGGCCTTCTGGATCCATTCGATCTCACAAAATCTCATGAGTCAGCTCTGTCTGGCTGACATCGGGGCATGGCGGAGACTGATGATGTAAGAACCAGATTTTGATGCCCAACCATAACCGTTTGCATTAGAGTTTACAAGGCTGATTACAGGGAGGCCAAACTGTTCCGTTCCAGATATCTTCTCCACTACGGATCCGAAAAGAGATTGGGTGGAGATGAGGGATAAAATACCGAATTAAATTATTGATTTATCGAATTTCTCATTCGTCGGGCCATTGTTGGGGTGTTGATAACTAACAAGACTTGAAGTTGCATTTCACAGTGTAATGTCTCGTCGAAATGCCAGAAAATACCGCGTTGTTTTAGCTCAGCATCCTCTGCTGCCGCATCGTCAACAGTTGCCTTTTCGAGCCTCAGCTTTAACCCGCGCGTGATCGAGAGAAAATTGATGGAGGTGTGAGATGTTCTTCTCCACGTGCGGGAGAAGACTTCGAGAAGGCCTAAAGGCCTCATGAGGGTGATGGGTGATTGGTCAGGGCACCTCGGACTGAAGTCCGCCCACCACCAGCCATAATAGGGATAAAGTAATGGTTCGTGCTCGACAACACCATCATGGATAAATCATGAATGGAAGCCTGAGGTGTCAATGTGGATCGTGAGATTACTGCGCTTGTGTTCCCAAGTCCCAAGACTCCGACAACGGGCGCTCAAGACAAACGCGGTTGTCCCTAAAGTGTCTAAGTGTGTATGGCTGTTCTTACGGGAGATGGTCCGTACGTAACTACTCTTCCCGTGCTCAGTTCCCTGCTAGAAGTAGAACAGATGTCTCATTTCCGGTTCACTATTCGGTCATAGGCGACCGAGATGACCTCGTCTCGACATCAAAACACCACAACCCGTTTGCATCATTGAACAACGCATCAACACCAAAGAATGCGAAAATCCCATTCTCATTGCACAGATCCATAGCCGCGTGATGTTCCGATGCGGGTTCGTCAGAGCAAGATCTGCGAGATTTGGAGATTCTGGGGTGTCGCGAGAACACACCACTTGCACCCCAGAGTATGACGTAGCAACACCCCAGATCTCGATGGATCTTGGAGAAGCAGAAACATCGATATCAACTCGAGTTTTCGATACTGACCACTGTTTAAGTTACAGGCTGCAGGACAGGACAGCAGCCCTGCATACCCGTTGTGATGTTTAATTGATCACCAGCCTTGGCTCACCAAATTTGTTATTTTGACGAGAGGGCAATCGCGATATCACAACATGTGCCTGATTTTTGTCATTGCACACCACAACCTTTTCGTTTTGTGGTTTTTCTCGATAGCTTCTCCATTGTTGATCTTATTACAGTGTGGACCGCTTTAGGCATGGTTTCCTATTGATACATCAACATCAGTCTCCAGTCAATAGGTTCTGGGGCATCAATACACATAATGTACACCAAAAATGGCAAAAGTCCAGCATCTCGGACTCTCGGTGGGTTTCCGGTCAGTAATTAAATAGTAAGAGTTAAGTAAGCAGTCCCGAATCTTCTTCGTTACTACTACCTGATATCCTGTAATTTCTCGTGTTAGTGGATGATGATTCCGCAAACCCCGGTGAACCCTTGGTCGTTGGTCGTAACCCCGTCT